ATCGCTTTAGTGTGTATGTATAAATTGAAGGAATTAGTTTTGCAACAGTAGGTCCGTCGGAGCCGTCATACAAAAGAACCACATTTGTCCCTTTGTTGGTACATTGTGGATGTCTTCAAATTGTGAGGACCACACATTTATTGTCTGGATACTTCATGTATACCAGGTGTACACAACGGCATAATGCATAATCATTTCTAATAGCCCATGTTATGTCAGTCTCTATCATGTAGAGCCAGGCATAGAGCCTCGTGTTCAGTGTGGCGTTGTGTATCGTGACTGTGTGCGCCCTACTGAGTGATCCCGGCAACACGCAGCCTGTGCCAGAACATTTGGTAGAATACTGAAGAGTGACGTTATTTTATTGTTGTGAGATGTTAATAGTTGCGTTATTTTTTTTATTCAATTTGGCTATTTGCGTACTTTGGGAACATCATTAAAATGGACAAGTAATTTGGAAGTCGCAATGAAATAGCATGAATTGTTTTGTCCGCACATGGATAACCCCATCCCGATCACCCCCCCCCCCCCCCCCCCCCCCCCCCATTCCCACCACACACACACACACACTCACAGACACACACACACACACACACTCACAGACACAGACACACACACGCACTCACAGACACACACACACACACACACACACAGAGAAAACAACAACAAATAGACAGACACAAACAGAGACTCACAGACACACGCAAACATACATACACACATATTATTATGTGACTTTCCTGGCATCAACATATATTTCACAATTCTGTTTCGTTTATAGGTCGTGAGAAAAGTCACAAGCACTTTGGGAGTGTCGCAATAAAATCATAAACATTTGGACAAGAAGCAGTTTCATGACACAGTGTTTTGTTTCTTGATTTCAAGAGGGTTGAAAGATCAGTACGTTTTCGAGGGGAAGGGGTAGGTGGGTGGGTGGGGTGGGGGGGGGGGGGGGGGGGGGGGGGGAGGTGGGTAGTGGGATGTGTGTTGACGTTTGTTATAGACACTCAGTGATGAAATCATTATTCAACATGTATCTGTGCAACCGTCACCCCGATATGATACAATAAGATTAGGTTGCATACTGGCCTTGTCTGCACTGACACAAAACTCCCTTGGAAGGTCATAATTTACACGAGGCCAGTCTGAATGGTGTCAACAATCTGCGTATCACCAACCTGCCTATGAAACATATAATGTTGCTAATGGCCATTTTATGTGCGTGTGATGGGATAATAAACTACTTACTGCCGTCAAGCAGGATGACTCTGTTCCACAACTACTTCTTCTTCTTCTTCTTCGACTACTAATACAACTACTACTACTTCTACTACTACTATGCCCGCAAACGATGACCAAATGGATCGGGTGGTCAAGCTAGGTGAACTGATTGTTTTCATGTCATTGTGTCCCGACGGCGTGGGTCGTGGCTCACAATATCGATCACTGGATTGTCATGTCCAGACTGGGGGTACGGGTGGCCCAACTGTCTAAGGCGCCGCGATTCGCTGTTCAGAGTTGCGCCCCTTGCACACGCCAGAAACCTATGGTTGTTGGTTCGAATCCCGGTTCGCCCTGATTATGTTTCTAGGTTTGTCAGCACCATACCCGTGCTTCTGGGTTTCACGGAAGTGGTAAACGTCTGCGACCTGCATCACTTCGGGCCTTCCTCGACATTAAGCTGACACGCCGTGATATAACTGAAATACTGTTGAAGGCCAACTCACTCACTCACTAACAGCATACTCGTGTACAGAGTATGGATAGGAATCTCCGTTACATTGTCATCCATATCACGTTACTTTGTTATTGTCCAAAATATCATCTGGGTTCCACGTGTCGTAACCTCAGACCTCGGTGGGTTTTACCGAAGTGGTCAACGTCTGAGACCCGCATCACTTCGGGCGTTCCTCCCACATTAATTGACACGCCGCGTTAAAAGCGGCGTTTAACCCAACTCACTCACTCACTCACTGCTACAGATAATAAATGAGGTTCTGATATTAGCAGTTATGATGATAACATCCAAAACCACGATGATAACAACGATAATACTTTAACTCAAATATATCAATATACAACACGCAGTGTATCACAAAACGGGCGTAGATTCATATAATCATCTTTTTCTAACATGTTTATGCGAGTGTGAGTCATTGCGAATTGTCGACGCGAACTATTATACACACAGACCAAACTAGGCCGGTATTGACTTACAAAGGGCGAGGACACAACACATGCCCCTTGAATCGTGAGTTTTGAGATGGTAAGCACTGTATGATCTGGTATGGCGTCTCTAATCCGAGTATAGTATGACTACATCAGGCTTTACCGGCAGATGAAAACACGATAGCTCAAGTCAACAAACGCCGGCGGGCTTGGATAAAGCTTTGGTTTGCTCGTGAATAGAAAATCGTGTGTGTGTGTTGCGTGTTATGAAAGGCGTCAATTTGACTCAGATATCTTATGGACCCTGTCAGTAGTATACGAGAGATAATCATTTGATGACACGACAGACCGTGGATGAAGTTTAATGTCATTTAAAAATATATAGGACGGTTCTATGTAATTTGTTGACTTGATCGATGATCGAGACATCCGTCACATACAGACGTTCAATGTTCAATGTGTTTATTACCCATGTGGCCGTATGTACAGTGAGTAACAGGAAAGTGATATAATGAGTGAGTGAGGTTTTACCCCGATTTTAGCAATGTTCCTGCAATATCAACGCCACCAGAAATGACCTTCACGATCTACCATGTAGAGAAACGAACCCGGGCCTTCGGCGTGACAAGTGTACGCTTTTACCACTAGACTACCGCTACGCCTCTTAAGAAATATGAGTGTTCTACCACATCAGACTGAAGCTATTCTTTACGAGAATCTTTAACATCATTATCCCTCTGTCTCAAAACCACACAACAAGATTCTATCCTAATTATGGTGAAATGATGTCAAAGTTCCAAAAACAGCTCCATGGTTAATCATTCGAAATAGCAGAACACGTGTGTAGAGAGAGGTGCTGGAAAAATACGTGATTTGTATCAACTACGTCCAGAAACAAACTAAATAATGATTATCAGATGTATGTGCTGGTAAAAATATATTTTGGCATCAACCACGTGTATGTTATTACTATCAACTACTGAATTCCGGTAAAATACATAATGAAGATCAAGTCTGTGTTGTTTAAAAATTAACAAATTAATGTCTTTAAGTCAAGGATATACTAGCACATCAGTTAATAAAACTGATGTATACGAGGGTCACTGGGGGCTAAGTCTGGGTTCGAACAGTTAAATCACCCACCCTACAGCCCAGACTTAGCCCCCAGTGACTATTTCCTGTTCCGGCAAATGAAATCTGCCCTTTGTGGAAGGCGCTTCCAGGATGACGAGGACTATAAAGGCTGCCACAGAGGCGTGGTTTGAGGGCCAGTCTGCGGATTTCTATAAAAGTGGTATTAAAAGCTTGAAGGACAAACGGAATAAGTGTATTGAGGTGAATGGAGATTATATTGAAAAATGAAAGTGCAAAAGATATTCTGCGACTTAGTCTTATATTGAAGTTGCAAAACTTATTGAACGCCCCTCGCACGTTTGTATTATTAACAGTTGAGTAAAATTGCCTGTAGGCAACAATAGATTGCCTGTGTAAACTGATGTAGAAGATATATCTAGTTATCGTGAGACTTCTACTAGACTAGAGAAAGATAAGTCTAGGACAGGTAACTAGTTTTCCGGGTTTAAGCGTAGTCAGCAAACAGAAGCTGATTGGCAGTGAGCTGTCAATATAACACGCGCCATGGTGGGCTAGCCTCGTGGTCAAACTCACCTCACTCACTTACTTGTCGAGCTGATAGGCCGGAGCTCGGCTACATGCAACGAGATACCCATATGCTGATTCCAAGACTTGCATAATGTTAATAAATCATAGATATGTACAACACTATCTAAACTTTCATGTCGAGTCTAGCCTCCGTGGTGCGCACATGTTGTCTCCCAGGTATACACTCTGTTACAGTCATAATGCCATGGGCGTGGTCTTGACTCCTTCAGCTGTTAGATCGCTGACAGTCGAATGCTTCTGTGTTATACAATATGTTATAGGCATTATGTCATAGACTTGTTCTTGACTATTTCAATTGCAGATGTCTGACTGTCGAAGATCCTGTCTTATACAATATGTTATAGACATTATGTCATAGACGTGTTCTTGACTATTTCAACTGGTAGATGTCTGACTGTCGAAGAATCCTGTGTTATACAATATGTTATAGACATTAAGTCACAGACGTGTTCTTGACTATTTCAGCTGATAGGTGTCCGACTGTCGAAGGATCGCGTGTTACCTCCAAGATTTACACTTTTTTATAGACAATATGTGATAGACGTGTTCTTGACTATTTCAGCTGATAGGTGTCCGACTGTCGAAGGATCGCGTGTTACCTCCAAGATTTACACTCTTTTATAGACAATATGTGATAGACGTGTTCTTGACTATTTCAGCTGATAGGTGTCACTGTCGAAGGATCGCGTGTTACCTCCAAGATTTACACTTTTTTATAGACAATATGTGATAGACGTGTTCTTGACTATTTCAGCTGATAGGTGTCCGACTGTCGACGGATCGCGTGTTATTTCCCAGATATGCACTTTTTTATAGACAATATGTGATAGACGTTTTCTTGACTATTTCAGCTAGTAGGTGTCCGACTGTCGAAGGATCGCGTGTTATCTCCAAGATGTACACTTTTTTATAGACAATATGTGATAGACGTGTTCTTGACTATTTCAGCTGATAGGTGTCCGACTGTCGAAGGATCGCGTGTTACCTCCAAGATGTACACTATTTTATAGACAATATGTGATAGACATGTTCTTGACTATTTCAGCTGACAGGTGTCAAACTGTTGGAGGATCGCGTGTTATCTCCCAGATATACACTTAGTCTATTTTATAGACAATATGTGATAGACGTGTTCTTGACTATTTCAGCTGGTTGGTCTCAGTCTGGCCATCGTGGGTGCCTACGTGCTGTATCTGAAGGAGAAGAAGGTGCGGACTCCCATTGACTTCTTCTTCGACCCGTCATGTCTGATGTGTCTGGCAGGCTGCATCGCCTTCCTCCTCGCCTTCTTCGGCTGTGCAGGCTCCCTTAGGGAGAACACCACCTTCCTTAAAATTGTACGTACATTTTGTTTTAGGACACTGTGTTATCTCCATTTAATTGGCTGTGTGATATGGTATTGTTGACGTTTAAGGGTAACATAGCATCATTATAATTTTAAACAAACTAAAATTTTAGTTTTATGAATGTATTACACACTCTCTTAAGAGTCACATATTCGCTGTGATTATGTTTCTAGGTTTGTTAGTACATATGAGGTAAACATCTAAGACTGCTTCACTCCGGGCTTTCCTCTAGCTAACATGCCGCGATATAACTGAAATAATGTTCGAACGGAAGAGCGGAAGGTCCGGGGTTCGATCCCCGGCCGCGTCATACCAAAAGACGTTAAAAGATGGTACTTGTTGTTACCCTGTCTAGCGCTCGGCATTAAGGGGCTAAAACAAGGACTAGTCGGCTCGGAGTCAGTATACTGTGTCTGAGTGGGGTATTCATGTTAAATCGGCATCAGTGCGGACTAGTACAAGCAGCCACACACACACGCGCGCGCGCGCGCGTGCATGCACGTCTGTATATAAATGCAATAATCTTGGACGCGACGTAAAACCCCATTTCACCTCACCTGAAAACAGGGGGGCACGTGTAAGGCGCCGAAATTCGCTGTGCAGAGTTGCGTCCCTTGGGCACGCCAGAAACCTATGATAGTGGGTTCGAATCCCAGTTCGCCCCGATTATGTTTCTAGGTTTGTCAGCACCATACCCGTGCTCGTGGGTTTCACCTAAGTGGTAAACGTCAGAGACCTTGGGGCTTTCCTCCCACATTAAGCTGACACGCCGTGATATAACTGGAATACTGTTAAAAGCGGCGTTAAACCCAACTCACTCACTCACCTGAAAACAAAATGTCCAAAGCGGCGCAACACTCACTCACGGACACTCTTCAAGTATACGGTCCTTATCTTCATCCACCATCCATTTCATTCATGGTGTAGTGGATACAGCATCTGCCCGGAGAGCAGCATTTCAGAGTTCGATCCCCTGGCCACGTCATACAAATAGACGTTAAATTTTGATTATGATACTTGTTGTCGGGAATAAGGGTATAAGATAAGGATTGGCCGGCTCGGAGTCTGGACTAGTACAAACACACATATCACTGAAATTATCTTGACCGCGACACTAAATCCCATTTCACCTCACCTCATCATTTCTTGAGAAGTGGACGGGGAGACGTGCTTTGCTTTAAGTTCACTTTCACCATCGGCCTCGGTGAGCTGAAACGTATTCTATTTGACTGCCAAGCCAAAACATATGGACATCACATCATTCGTATGATTTTAATGATGTACAGAAGCACTAACATGCCCTTATACAGGCAAAACAAGCAAGCTTTTGTTAGAGAGGACAGGTTTTTTGCATGTATAGTCCTTGGTAATTGTTTACGTCAGTTTTCCTTTTTTTCAAATTTATCTTTTTTTTCAAATTTATATTTTTTTCTTTATAGTATTATGTTGCTTCGTAATGCTTATGTTCTATTTATATAATTCATATACTCTTTCAGTGGAAGGTTGTTTTATATGTGTACATATTTATATTGTTTTATATTCTGTCGTAAGGGCGGTCGTGTAGCCTAGTGGTTAAAGCGTTCGTTCGTCACGCCGAAGACCCGGGTTCGATTCCCGACATGGATACAATGTGTGAAGCCCAATTCTGTTGTTTCCCGCCGTGATATTGCTGGAATATTGCTAAAAGCGGCGTAAAACCTCATTCACTCACTTGTCTATCGTAACCATAAATGGGTGGCTCACTTCTATTTGTTTTTATAATTGGGACTATTTTGTTACATACAAACAAACTTGGATTTATTGTTTACAAAGGCTGCTATTATTGACTGCACCTCCTGTATACAGTGAAAACATTTATTCCAGACCCCGGTAATCCGGACAACCTATATTCCTTACAACTACATCTAACGAATGAATTGTTTATCAGGAAATCCGTTGATAGGTGGATGTAACCGGGAACCGTACAGTCCGGATTAACGGGGGTGTGAATTAAAGAGGGTTCACAATGGTGCATCTAAACCCTGGTCATCCTGTTTCAGTATTTCTACCTTGTGGGGTTGTTTCTGTTCCTGGAACTGGCCCTCATCATCTTCGTCTTCGTCTTCTACTACGTCCCCGACGCCAGGACGACGCTCAAACTCTACCCCGAGGATGTTCTCAGGGAGGCAATCGTCAAGTATAGAGATGACGACGATATGAAGAATCTCATTGACGTCATGCAGCAGACTGTGAGTTGTCTCCCTTAGATGTAATTATATGATCGAATTGGGAACACTGATGAGTGAATGTTGTTTAACGCCGCAGTCAACAATAGTCTAGCTACCTATAGGCTGACTTCATACGTTAAAAGATTGTTATTTGATACCTTTCCTGGCGCTCGGCATTAAGGGGATTAAATAACGACAGTATATTGTATCTGAGTAGGGAAGCCATGTTAAAACTGCGGCATGGTAACTCGGCGGAGTAGCACTATAACTCCGCACGCACGCACGCACGCACGCACGCACGCACGCACGCACGCACGCACGCCTCTATGTGAGTGCAAAATTCTTGAACTCTCCGACTGCCACCGTGGTCTTGTTGTTACAAGCACACACACACACACACACACACACACACACACACACACACACACACACGCATGCACATCGGTATATAAGTGCAATAATCTTGGACGCGACGTTAAACCCCATTTCACCTAACCTTGAACGCTCTGTTAAACCCCATTTCACCTCACCTTGAACGCGCTGTTAAACCCCATTTCACCTTGCAATCTTGACCAAGCTATTAGCCATTTTTCATGGCAGTTTCCCAGGGCAGGCGGGGGACTACGTGAACATGGTTATATGACTGTGTTGCGAAGGCGCTACTTAACCTCAACCTACAACTGCATGTATCATTGAGACAGGAACTGTCCAAGCAGAGACCTCGGGTGCCAGGTCACGCGACGGTCACTGCAGCGAAGGCGAACTAGCATTACGTATACAAAGAGAAGTAAATACGTACATACTCTCAGAAATGAATTGTTATGTCATTCATCGCCTGGCTGCTGTGGATATTTCCGGATCAGCTGGAAATGCTTATCCTCATCTTGATATACCTCTGTCCCACGGACCTGCGTGCTGCGTACTGCTTGCTGAGTGCTGCGTGTAGCTGTGAACGGTTGGTTGGTTGGTTTGTTTGTTGTTTAACGCCGCACTCAGCAACATTCCAGCTATATGACGGCGGTCTGTAAATAATCGAGTCTGGACCAGACAATCCAGTGATTAACATTATGAGCATCGATCCACGCAATTGGGATCGATGACATGCATCAACCAAGTCAGCGAGCCTGACCACCCGATCCCGTTAGTCGCCTTTTACGACAAGCATAGTCACCTTTTACGGCAAGCATGGGTTGCTGAAGACCAATTCTACCCCGGACTCTTCACGGGTCATCTGTGAACGGGGTCTCCCACCTGTACGGCTCATTTCTCCACGACTATATACAATAACACGTTCTCCTTCGCCTACAGTCAGATAATTACCACCGATTTCAGGTTTCGAAAACGCACGAGTGATCAATTAGTTATGGGGCGGTGGGGTAGCCTTGTGGTTGAAGCGTTCGCTCGTCACGCCGATGTGTTGGTTCAATTCTCCACATGGGTATAGTTTGTGAAACCCATTTCTGGTTTCTCCAACCGTGATGTTGCTGGAATATTGCCCAAAGTGGCGTAAAAACATACTCAATCACTTACTCGATTAGTATATTCATTACGACTCTCAGTAGCCATTTTCCCGAATGACACGAGTGATCAGCATTGTTAACCGTGCAGATTTAACAAATGATAATCAACATGGTTGAACTGACCCCTCTCCAGTTCCAGTGCAGATGTAAACAATAACATAAATGAACAGACCCCCTGTCCAGATTATACGCCTAGGGCCAGCTACCACAAAGACAGGGTGACCGACAGAGCATTCGGAATGTTTACACTACGGTGGGAATATTTACACTGCAATATACTGTCCCCCGGTCTTTAAGTTTAGTGGCTGTATATATGTATACCCCTCACCCAGCCCCCACCCTCGGGCTCCGGTGGTAGGCTATACTCAGTACATACGCTGCCTGGAAGATTGAGGCCGCGATATATACATACCTAAGTTCCACCTGTTTAAACAGACCCGGCCAGCTGTTGCTGCAGACTCATATCCTCGTCGGTTGTGATCATAAATTAATAGCTTGCCCAGACGGGGACTTTTATGTTGGCAATAAACTAATGTCGGTGTCACATACAGCGTGATGCATATTTCCTTTCAAGTTAGGAAACAGTTTTATTATTATTCGACACAGAAGTCACATTTAAATGTATTGGAGATGATTTCACAATATTGTACGACGCTTCAAGCACAATGGCATTTGCTTGAGTTATAGTAAGCTTTGGGGTTTTGTTTGGATATTCAGATATTTCTTCAGCTACAGACGCAAAACCAGGCATATTTTTTAATTAAAACTAGGAGCCTAAATATTCTTTTAGGAAACACCTTGCAACAATGAATATTCGTGGCAGAGAATGTCTTTTTTCCAACAGAATATAATAATATTTTTATTTTATTTTATTTTTGTTAAATTTTCAAGCATTTTCTAAGGGCGGTCGGGTAGCCAAGTGGTTAAAGCGTTCGATCGTCACGCCGAAGGCCCGAGTTCGACTCCCGACATGGGTACAATGTGTGAAGCCCATTTCCGGTGTCCCCCGCCGTGATATTCGTGGAATATTGCTAAAAGCTGCGTAAAACCGAACTCGCTCACTCACGCAAGCATTTTCTGGGACAGTAAATGTTCTAATAAAAAATCCCTCTGAATATCAGATGCTCGGTCCCTTACCATCTTTCCGAGAGGCTCTTTACCAAATTACAGAAGTACCTAACATACAGGAGTAGGATTACTGCCTCCTAGGGATAATATTGACAAAGGGTATCGATTACGAGACCGTAGCATACTTGAGTGAGTGAGTACGTTTGGTTAACGTCGCTTTGAACAGTATTCAAGTTATATCACAGCGTGTCAGCTTAATGTGGGAGGAAAGCCCGAAGTGATGCAGGTCTCAGACGTTTATCACTTTCGTGAAATCCAGGACAAACCTAGAAACATAATCAGGGCGAACCGGGATTCGAACCAACGATCATATATTTGCGGGCATGTTTGGCGACTGGGCCACTAGTGCCCCGTAGAATACTTGAGCGTAGAATACCAGTGTATCGACCAGGAGGAAGAATAGTACAGTGTAGAATACTACAGTTTAGAGTCGTGCTGTGGTCTTTGTAACAACACCGTTTTAGAAGCATTTTGGTATTGATTACAGTACATGTCTGTCGCCAAACTATTATTGATCTAGACTTGAGGAAGTTAAGTTAATGTCGGTTTTATGGTGCTAGCACACGCAGATACCAGTGTAACACGAATCCACCTCTCAGACACAGTATACTGACTGAGAGCCGACCAGTCCTAGTTTAAGCCTCTCTATGCTGAGCGCCAGGCATGGTAACAACAAATACCATCTTTTAACGTCTTTTGATATGACGCGGGCGGGGATCGAATCACTTACCTTCCGCTGTCGGGGAAACGTTCGATCCACGAGAAAAACAGTAAGGAGATATAATGTCTGGAGTATATGGCATGGTGTCATCTATGCTGTCTTTCTCCCTACAGCTGCTGTGTTGCGGGTTAAGCAACGACGACAAAGGCTACCTGGACTGGAACCTGAACGTCTACTTCAACTGCACCGACAGCAACAAAAGTCCAGAGAGTTGCGCCGTCCCCTTCTCCTGCTGTAACATCAAATCGGTGAGACTCATCCTTTAGTGTCGCCATGTTGTTTTAAGCCGCACGTTGCAAATATTCGAGCCCTAGGACGGCAGCCTGAAGCTAGCATGCTCCAGTCTGAATCAAACAATGTTGAGATTGATATTATGTTGTTTGTTGAAAACATGTTGTCACGAGTACACAATGGAGAAGGCACAGCTTGAGTTTTGCGTAATGATTACATCTTCCCAAGGCAAGTGAGTTAACAGACTATAAAAGTCCAGTTTCCACCCTTGCCGAACTACGCTGATATTATGGAGTGACATTTGGCTGGACTAACGAGTCTATGCATAGTCCAATCAAAATCACGAAACGAAATCGAAATCCGGTTCGTAAACTGTCATGCAGATTTCGGTCAATAGCAGGATTTGCAAAGCATGTGCACCGCCAACTCGTTGTCAACAGATATTTTCAAAATCTTTTCATGTTTGTAATTAATGTGCTCACATGATTTGATGCATTTCGCGATGTAAGACCCGTTTTATCACAATAAAGATCTTGATTGTCGAGCTGATCGTCCTGACTTGGCGCCACCATTTTGTTTGAAGCAAATGCAAGTGGTATGAGTCTGATTGGTCCATTGGAGAGGGCTTAGAACGGATGTAACTGGTAATAGCCACTGGTGGCGCAACGATCGAGCCCAGGAATTCCAGGCTATTTCGGCGAGGGTGGAAACTTGACTTTTAAAGTCAGTTAACTCTCTTGCCTCGGGAAGATGAATGATTATGACCATGATTGGACCAGTCCATGTAACGTGCCTATGTGGCGCTTTGGTGGATGCACATATACAGTTCATCTGTGGATGCGTCAGTCTTGAAAGTCGTGTCCCACCCCTTTTTTTTTATTTTATCACACAAACGTTGAATTTTTGTTGTTGTTGGTTTTTTAACGCCGCACTGAGCAATATTCCAGCTGTATGACGGCGGTCTGTAAATAATCTGGACCAGACAATCCAGCGATTAACATAGTGAACATCGATCCACGCTATTGGAAAACGATGACATGCATCAACCAGGGTATGAAACTCCCAAAAATTTCAGTCAGACCACAGGACTGGCTAGCTGAAATACTTGCCAGCCCTGACCAAAACCTGCCTGCCCACTATAATCATATGTTTCTCAGGATAATTTAATTAAAAATATGAAAACTGATTGCTTGTAGCATAAGCGCATCGCTAAATGTTAGGTTGTCTAAAAGCTAACGGGGTTTCTTTTTGGTTACATTTTATCATTCATCTTTACATGTGAATTAATGCTTATCATCGGGAAATATTTAGAATATTTTTACATATGAAATATAACCCGACCGTCGAGCAGGGGGATTTGAAAATCTGACAGCCCGAGTTGAAATCAACCCGTCTCGGACGGTCGGGCAGGCAGGTATTTCGAACACTGCATCAACCGTGTCAGCGAGTCTGACCCCACTATGCATAAAGTCCCTTCTTACGACCAGCATAGGTTGTGGGAACTCTTTCTAACTTGGAATCCCTTCGGGGTCGTAGTCAGGTTGTAACCTTGCTGCGTCAACTGCATCAAACCACATTTGATCTCCATAGAAAACGATAACAATTAACAGTGAATGTCTGCAACTGTTAGTAACTATGCAACTAAATAGTTATTCACTTGTCATCAGCCAGATCAGTGAGCAAGCTGAGTAGACTTTAGAAATGCAGGCGTGTTGTCGTGAAAAGCCCACGGATGCATACAACTGTGGTATTTGTATCTTTCAGGGCGATAAAATCAACATTTTGTGCGGTGGTGGAGCCCTAAAAGAACAAGATGTAAGTATTTCTGTTAAGTGTGACAAGAATACGAGTGCGGCCTAATTTTAGTCCATGTCGTGGTCGCAACTGGCTGTGATGATCAAGCATTCGCAAACTGGAACATAAGAAGCGTCAAAAATCTCCACAATCGATACTGGAAGAATTCCCAGTAAATGTAACGAAAATATTTGAAACGAGGTTACAAAATGAAGCCGGATTGTTAGAAGGCTGACATCTGGTTGTCCCAAGAACCCACGCTTCCTTCGCTTTGATTGGGCGACCATGGCGACTCTGGATGTCGAGGTCAGATTTTGACGGTATCCAATCGTAGTACCAGATAAGATTTTGATTCGATTGTATGATCTAAAACGTCAAGCAATAGTGCAGTATGTTTTCTAATCCTGATAAACGAAATCTTAGTCGTTATTTTTGTGTCGCAATATAGCTAAGTACAAGTAGTACAACATGAATCTAAACGGACGCTACTTCGTGATAAATACCAGTGTAACTCAAGAACACCGTTAGACTAACGGCGGCAGCTGATCATAGCCACCTGTTGTATATTTCATGTTTGAATATGTCCATTGCAGGCATCGGCACAGCTGACGTCCCGGATATACACGCAGGGATGTTTGAAGGGGGTCCAGACATTCCTGGATGGATCGGCGCTCATCATAGGGGGAGTTTGTATAGGAATTCTGTTACCTCAGGTGAGTTCTTATCATCATCACCATCATCATCATCATCATCATCCAGTGGGCGTTGGGTTAGCCTTGTGGTTAAAGCGTTCGCTCGTCACACCGAAGACCCTGGTTCGATTCCACATCATCATCATCATCATCATCATCATCATCCAGTTGGTGGTGGGGTAGCCTGGCGGTTAAAGCGTTCGCTCGTCACGCCGAAGACCCGGGTTCGATTCCACATCATCCCCATCATCATCATCATCATCATCCAGTGGGCGGTGGGGTAGCCTTGTGGTCAAAGCGTTCGCTCGTCACGCCGAAGACCCGGGTTCGATAAAACATATGGGTACAATGTGTGAAACCCTTTTCTGGTGTCCCCCGCCGTGATATTGCTGGAATATTGCTAAAAGCGGCGTAAAACCAAACTCACTCACCCACTCAGTTTATCATCGCTAAGCAACATCAGTGCTATAGAAACGGAAAAGTAATGGTAGTGGGTGAGTGAATATGGTTTTACTCGCTATGCAGAGTTGCGTCCCTTTCGCTGTGCCAAAAGCCAATGATCATGAGTTCGAATCCCGATTATGTTTCTAGGTGTGTCAGCACCAAACCCGTGTTCGTGGGTGTCACCAACTTGGTAAACGTCTGAGACATTAAGCTGACACTCCGTGATGTAATTGAAATAATGTTCAGAGGAGTTGAACCCAACTCACTCACTCACTCATGACATTCAATACATTCGCTCTACCTTCCAGGCGCTGTTCGTGTGTCTCGCGCGGATGCTGAAAGATCAAATCTTGGAACAAAGATCGAAATGGGCAAGGTCATGAGGAGAACTGATCTTGCAATAATTCCGGATGATTCTTCTTGTGGTGTCGTCAAAGACAGAATTATTGAATATGCAAAATCATTATGATTGCAATACGACTTGCAGCTCAAGTGAACGTTGACTTTCATACCATATTCGGAGTTGTGATAATATATTTTAGGGATTTTCCCACCGTATTTCTTGTGCAAAGTATTTTCACGAATCTTTATTGCTGCCGTTTGAGATCTCTAAATGTAAATGTTTGTACATAAAATAATTTCTATAAGTGAATTGGATATTTAGTCTTTCATTATATTCAAGTAACCATGGAAACGTACAGAAAGCGATATATAGTTACTTTCGTGATACAACCAAACATTTAATGCCTTCACAAAGTCACAATTGACGTCAAACGGGACTGAGTTTACTTCAACTTAGTTATCTTCAACGGTACGTTTAATTGTGGTAGGTGCACACAATGCATATCATCTACCCGACAGCAAACAGGAAGCACTGTTTTGAAATAAAAGTTCTTGTATTTTCTGCCGGGTATATTTCATTCTAGTTTTTGGTTCTGAATGTATTATAAACATCTATTGGTTAACCTTCACGAAACAATGATTCAAAAGTATTTGTTTTGTTGCCGTTCTATTCCATTATTTAAGAGTTTGTACATTTTAATTTCATAAAAAATAATATTGGAAATCGGTCTAGTCTAACCGAGTATTAAGCTTGTGGGGTCGTGATTTTCGATTGACAAGTCACATTGGTCCCATAAGTTAAATATTGTTGACGCTTTATGACTTTCAGTCCATCTATTCTTCCAACGATTTTATTTAAATGACCACACGTGCTCATCGGTTCACCAAAGTGGTAAACGTCTGGGACCTGCATCACTTCGGGCTTTCCTCCCATATTAAGCAGTCACGCCGTGATATAACTGGAATACTGATCAAAGCGGCATTAAACCAAACTCGATCACATTATGACCACATGTTGGTTTCCGTACTCCAGCAAACAACGTTTCCGTACGTCATGGGGTGACGTCTTTTAAGTAACAATTTAATAGTTGGAATGACTCATTAACCCCCTGGATGCCACAGGGACATATAATATATATGTTCCTCTTTAATCTTCGTTTTGAAGTGGAACAAAATTAAAAATAAATTCACCGACAAAAGAAAATCGAACACCATACATATTGGTTAATGTATGAAGAATTCCTCATATTTAAGAGATATTAGATTGGTTCGACGCAGAAACGAACATACTGGTATGTTGCGTTAACCGACGCTCATGAACGCATCACATGTGACGTCAAAGATCCCTGACTCGAGATGCACCATATGTCTCGTGCAGGATTAACGTGTAAAATTGGAAATCACGTGCAGCATATCGTGATAAGAACGACGACACTGTGGTAACACCTGACTTATTGTTTGTTTTGTTATTAAGTGGTGCACATTGGAAACATCTCTTCTTAACGTACACACTTCTCTGTATGTTTCTATGGTTCGCGTTTCTTTTGGCGGTGAGTATATATCATGCAGGCTAATTTAACACCAATTGATAGGATATTGAATAGTCAACATCTCTGTGTCATTTTTACAGTTAGAGGTAGGCCAAGTGCAAATCTGCTTTTCAGAACTTGAATATGCGTCTGAAAAAACTCGATATTCACGCGGTTAGGGCAGACAAATATATAAATTCTTAAAAACAATCTTGCATTGTTTGAACGTTTGTTGTCATGATCCTGAATAGTCTCCCTTTGTCTGAATTGTCTCCCTTTGTTGTGTACGCACATAGCGGGCCAGCACACAGCTTCAAGGCTCTTCTGTCAGTAACTGTTTATTTTTATTTAATTCATGTGACACAACACAAATAATTAAACCATAATGTTTAGTATGACCGACACAGGGAGTAACCTTTCTGCGCCAGATCATCAAAGAATGTTTTGACGATCACCCATGATGCGTTCCTTGATCACCCGACAGACTGACACTTATTCAATAAAATATGGTATCGGTGTTATTTATTCAGGAACGTCGAATTCCAGACTATAATTAATTATTCTACAGTTACAAAGTGTGTTGTTTGGAATTACGAGGTTGATATCTGTAACAACCTGGACATAACGTCCTACCAGACTGTACATTTTTTTCACATTTGAAGCAATAAATATATTTTTGTAAACAACATTTTCATTTTTATTCATCTGAAAATTAACACCATATCAACAAGCTAATACTGGTGTATAGAGAACAGATTAAATGTGCCTTCCTTACAACAACAGTATGTCCTTCTGATCCCGACGCTCATGCTATCGTCCACTGGGTTTGGGCTTCTCGTCGAGCTGTGTATCAAAGGTGTGAGGATCACTTGAGGATGTGTGAAAATGTTTGTTGAGAGCCAGACATATTTGTGAAAGAAAAGAATCTGTTCCCGCAAGTGCTGGGGAAAATAATTTGTCCTCGGGTTATACACAGATTCCACCTCTCATACTATTTGGATTTGCTTCAAACAAAATTGCGGCGCCCAGTCAAGTCGATCTGATCTATAATCAATATCTTTATTGTAAAAAAATAGGTCTTACCTCGTGAAATACCTGAACACCTTGAGCACATTGATTTAAAACATGAAAAAATTGGAAAATAATGTGTCGACCCCCAGTTGACGGTACACATGTTCTGCAAACCGAATGTCGATTTCGTTACGCGATTTTGATTTGGCTATGCATAAACTCGTTAGTCCAGCCAAACTTTAACTCCATTATTCAACCCTAGTTCGGCACGGTGGGAACTGGACTTATATAGTCAGTGAACTCCCTTACCTTGTGAAGATGGGTAAATATCAGCTCTGTGTCTAATGGTGCTGTCATCGGAAATGACTCACATGCTTATTCAATTTGCATTATATTATTACATTGTTTATAAATCCCTCGCCGCTCTATCGTTAAATTTAGAAAAATTTGTGTTATTTTTAAAGTTGTGGAACCAAGTTCAATTTCGTCAAAACATCTGACTTTTCAGCTTTGTACACCACCATTCCACATAAAAAGATTCAGGAAAATCTTCATTTCATGATCCATTGGACTTTAGGTATAATAGGAGGTGGGATGTTCTTTAAATAATGTGAGGATCTCAAAAACAGCCCATCCTTTCAGTGAGCGTCTACAACGCCATTAGTTGATGATAAGTATTTTTATTGTCCAGTGACACCCCAATACATGTATTTGCACTGAGTGAGTGAATGAGTATTGTTTTATGCCGCTTTTAGCAATAATCGAGTGATGCTATTCCAGCAGGGCAGACCAAAAGTGGGCTTCACATATGGTGCCCACATGGGGAATCGAACCCAGGTCTTCGGCGTGACGAGCTAACGCTTTTACCAATAGGCTACACACCGTCCCATTTAGAGATTGCAAGTACTGATACAAATTCACATTGGTGTTTTACATGGCCCAAAATAACAGAAGGTAAAGCAGCGATGCTAAGCGAAAACCAGTCTGCATTACGTGTAATAGGTCAACTTGGTACACAGCGACTCTGAATGACCTTATGACGTAAGTAAACTGGTTCCCCGTGGTTGTAACGCGATCAGGGTGGCCTCAACAGGAAAAGGGCCGGTTTAACTGCGGTCCGCCTGCGAGTCGTGCATGTTATTCCCAACATGAGTGATTCAGGACCTGACAGAGATATCAGCAGAAATGACAGTGAAGTGAAAGAAGGCACATTCTGGTTGGCAAGAAATGTCCTTTTGAGATATCTTGGATTTATTTACTGTAAGTGTTATGTTATGTGGAATATTTTAAATGTAAGTCTTTGTAAACACATATTCGAACAGGTTTCTGGTAGCAGACACATCGTGCAAATTGAGAACTCTCGTGGAAATGTTTATACCAATTGTCCACAAACCATTACCCTGAATACAGCCATACCATTCCTTTGTAATCATATTTTGTAAGAGTATGTGAAAACCACGAAAGGTTCGAGTGTAATGCCTTGACATTGTGTTTGCATGATGCCATGCATGACGCAACACAAGGAAACACGATAAGAGCTTATCTCTAAGTTTCTAGATCAACAGCTATCGATAACACGACTGAGCATAAATACAATGCCTAAAGAATATCAGGGGGGAGAGAGAGAGAGAGAGAGAGAGAGAGAGAGAGAGAGAGAGAGAGAGAGATATTAATTGGGGAAATGTGTCATAATCCTTTTTGTCAAAGCTGAAAAGTAAATAACACGAAATATGAGATGATCACTGAACATCAGTGCTGCCACCCTGTGTTCGCGAATGGGCAAGCACAATCACCAGGAGAGAGAGAGAGAGAGAGAGAGAGAGAGAGAGAGAGAGAGAGAGAGAGAGAGATTGGGAAAATGTGTCATAATCCTTTTTGAAGTTCGAGGTCACTTTGTCGAAGCTGAAAAGTAAATAACACGAAATATGAGATGATCACTGAACATCAGTGCTGCCACCCTGTGTTCGCGAATGGGCAAGCACAATCACCAGGAGAGAGAGAGAGAGAGAGAGAGAGAGAGAGAGAGAGAGAGAGAGAGAGAGGGGGGGTATTGGGAAAATGTGTCATAATCCTTTTTGAAGTTCGAGGTCACTTTGTCGAAGCTGAAAAGTAAATAACACGAAATATGAGATGAGCACAGTATGGCTACACTATTGTAAGGCGCAGTGGAAAATGTTTCGATCGTCGCGCCACCAGTGGCGATTGCTAGTTATGTCCCTTTCATGTCTCTCCTATTGACCAATCAGATTCCACAAAATGGCGGCGCCCAGTCAAGACGATCTGATCTATAATCCAAATCTTTATTGTAAAAAAATAGGTCTTACCTCGCGAAGTACCTGAACACCTTCAGCACATTGATTTAAAGCATGAAAAAATTAGAAAACATGTGTCGACCCCCAGTTGACGGTACACATGTTCTGCAAGCCGAATGTCGATTTCGTTACGCGATTTTGATTGGGCTATGCATAAACTCGTTAGTCCAGCCAAACTTTAACTCCATTATTCAACCCTAGTTCGGCACGGTGGGAACTGGACTTATATAGTCAGTGAACTCCCTTACCTTGTGAAGATGGGTAAATATCAGCTCTGTGTCTAATGGTGTTGTCATCGGAAATGACTCGCATGCAAATTCAATTTGCATTATATTATTACATTGTATATAAATCCCTCGCCGCTCTATCGTTAAATTTAGAAAAAAATTGTGTAATTTTTAAAGTTGTGGAACCAAGTTCAATTTCATCAAAACATCTGACTTTTCAGCTTTGTACACCACCATTCCACATAAAAAGATTCAGGAAAATCTTCATTTCATGATCCATTGGACTTTAGGTATAGTTAGTTACACCTCTGTCTTCAAAGATTCATAATCATTTGTCAAAATTTTTCTAACAAAACAAAGCGAAGTGCTGGATTCTCACACAGATCTATGTATAAGATGGGCATAGGACATTCAAGCAAGAAGTAAGCATCCACACGGGCACCAATTGTGCTTCCCTGTGTGCTGATCTGTTGCTTGCGTCAAGATTCATAGTGACAACTATCCCCAAGACGGTTTCACAATAGGGATGACTTCAACTTTTCCTTTATGTCGAGCAACATTCCAGCAGTTCCTGCAATTGGTGCTTACATTTCACAACTCTTCACGACTCTTGTTCAAAAGGTAGTTGATCAGGGTTACAACATTCAAGGCCTAAAGCCTTCAAACCGTTTTATGTTAGACATATGGAGGACATTTCCAAATTTGACCAAAATGATGTCCGATGCAATTCCCTATTTTGACTTGTACCATATGTTTATCGGTATTTGCAGTAAAGGTGAAAATGACTAGGAAGAAAGGAGATAATAACAAACACATTAAACGATTTTTTCCGAGGAAGGTGTCAGATTATCCTCAAGTTTGAAGATCCAGATGAAGGGTTAGACAATTCCAAAGCAAGGCAGCAACTGGATAGGGCATTGGATCTCTCAATTCATATGTCCGGCTATCCACTCAGAGGCCTCGCTGGTCCATCTTCCGATCAAGCTAAGAGTACAACAAGCCATCGTTGATGTGAAGAACAGAAGTTCTTAATGTAGTCGATTCTAGTTCATTGTACCTAGATATAACAAATTCAGATAGCACAAGGAAATATAGGGAACATGAAGGTCTTTAGATTTCACTGGGGTCCCATTTCCAGTCAGTTGTGGGATATACCTAGGTTTGAAAGTCCTGAAATATACCTAGGTTTAAAAGTCATGGAATATACCTAGGTTTGAAAATCATTGGATATACCTAGGTTTAAAAGTCATGGGATATACCTAGGTTTAGAGTCAAGGGATACACCTAGGATTAAAAGTCATGGAATATACCTAGGTTTGCAAGTCATGGGATATACCTAGGTTTAAAAGTCATGGGATATACCTAGGTTTAGAGTCATGGGATATACCTAGGTTTGCAAGTCATGGGATATACCAAGGTTTTAAAGTCATTTGATATATCTGGGTTCAAAAATCATGGTATGTACCTAGGTTTGAAAGTCATGGGATATACCTAGGTTTGAAAGTCATGGGATATACCTAGGTTTAAAAGTCATGGGATATACCTAGGTTTGAAAATCATTGGATATACCTAGGTTTAAAAGTCATGGGATATACCTAGGTTTAGAGTCAAGGGATACACCTAGGATTAAAAGTCATGGAATATACCTAGGTTTGCAAGTCATGGGATATACCTAGGTTTAAAAGTCATGGGATATACCTAGGTTTAGAGTCATGGGATATACCTAGGTTTGAAAGTCATGGGATATACCAAGGTTTTAAAGTCATTTGATATATCTGGGTTCACAAATCATGGTATGTACCTAGGTTTGAAAGTCATGGGATATACCTAGGTTTGAAAGTCATGGGATATACCTAGGTTTAAAAGTCATGGGATATACCTAGGTTTGAAAATCATTGGATATACCTAGGTTTAAAAGTCATGGGATATACCTAGGTTTAGAGTCAAGGGATACACCTAGGATTAAAAGTCATGGAATATACCTAGGTTTGCAAGTCATGGGATATACCTAGGTTTAAAAGTCATGGGATATACCTAGGCTTAAAAGTCATTTGATATACCTAGGCTTCAAAGTCATGGGATATACCTAGGTTTAGAGTCAAGGGATACACCTAGGATTAAAAGTCATGGAATATACCTAGGTTTGCAAGTCATGGGATATACCTAGGTTTAAAAGTCATGGGATATACCTAGGCTTAAAAGTCATTTGATATACCTAGGCTTCAAAGTCATGGGATATACCTAGGTTTGCAAGTCATGGGATATACCTTGGGTTAAAAGTTATTGGATATACCTAGGTTTGAAAGTCATGGGATAGAACTAGGTTTGAAAGTCATGGGATATACCTAGGTTTAAAAGTCATGGGATATACCTATGTCGAAAGTCATGGGATATACCTAGGTTTTGAAGTCATGAGGTATACCTAGGTTTGAAAGTCATGGGATATACATTGGTTTGTAAGTCCGATGAACATTTTTGCTATGGGAAGAAATATATACTCCTAAAAATAAAAAGTTTTAACGCATATGTGTTTTTCAAGAAATTCATTCTGTGATTTCTACACGGATTTAAAAGGGATTCATGGGACATGTGTGTGTTTGGAAGTTTACAAAGTGAAACAGACTTCCTCAAACGTTGACGGAGAAGTCTTTGTTGGTCACAATAACGTTACAATCTCAAGCACTGTAACTGTAAGCCTTGTATCGTGTGTGTCCACTATCAGCCTCAATGAATGCACGAGAACTCTTGTTCGAAATCTGAACAGGACTTTATATGAAGTCCGTTCTTCAAAACCAATTTTCGTTTATATATATGTTTGACGTTTGGCGTCTACTTTTGCAGTTTGGGCATTTCTCATTGCCTTGCATCAGAACAAACGGTTGTTTGGAAAAGAAGGCTTTCTCCCAAACAATGCCAGTGCAGATCTTGGATACATCATCAACAGACTTGCAAACGCAGATCGAGAGGGTGTTATTAACGTTCCAAAAATCGTCTACTGGTTTTTCAAGGACAACAAGCAAGATGAGAATACTCTTGTTTTTATCACGCATGTCGGCTTGGCTCTGTCTCTGTCCCTCATCATTAGAGGAGCAGCAAATTGGGTTTTGATGTTGTGTCTGTGGACCATATACCATTTACTTGTTGACGCCGGACTGCAGTGGTAGGTAGATTTGTTTATATTAGATCTGTAGCTTCGCATTGACAAATACTTTATTGTTTAGATTAGAATTATTTTGTAAACCCTTATTGCAAAAAAATGCCTCTTGATAAAACTTTACATTGAAATATTCGCTTTGAGACTTTCAACAGTATGTATACTAAATCCCCAGTAAATAATCGTGTTTTGTTTATGTTGTAATCTTTATCACATGATTCGTTTATCTTTTATCATAGTGTTGTGTCTGTATTGTAACCAATCTTTAAGCTGATCCATAACCAACGTTATTGTACTTTCTTTTGTAGGTATAGCTTTGGTAAGTTGATTTGTTTCTTCGTATAATTTACCAGTTTATATATTTCTAGTTCAGTTGTTTGCTTAACAAAGAAACCAGTCGAATTCAATATGACAAACAATACTAAATAGTTTTGAAACTATTGGGATAGTACACGTGGTTTTAACCTGCATCAGATCTCATGTTATGAATGATCATAACTGATTGTAAAACGTCCGTGTACTGCTTTTGTCCGCTCTTTGTATCATGCCTTGGGCATTAATTAATGACATTGTCTTCCCTTAGGTTGGGAGTTTCAGCTTCTAGAGACTGGATTCCTGGCTACATTCCTGTGCCCTGTGTGGAGCCTGAGACAACCACCGACATCTCGCGCTGTCATCCGGGGGTTCAAATGGATGTTTTTCCGCATAATGTGGTTTTTGGTTTGTATAACATTTCATTATTGCTAAGGAAATAGTAAAATAGAAGAGAACATCCTGTGTTTGTTGTGTCTCTGTCTGTCTGTCTGTCTGTCTGTCTGTGTCTAACATTATAGGCAGTACTTATTGTTTATAGCTGTTAGACACAAGTATTACATTGATTCTTGGTCATCATGTTTTTGTTTTTGTTATAGACTTACGACAAATTCCGGAGAGATCTTGTTATTTGCTCTACATATTTCACTTGCATGAATTATCATTATCAGGTAACTACAAAGCTGTGAATATAAAACGTGAACGCAGAGAAGAACATGTCTCGATTCTTCCCTGAAACAGATTCCATAATGCATAGGTCGTAAAAGGCTAATTATCGGTGAACATTATGTAAAAGGATCACTGAAAATCAGTGATGACACCAGGTGTTCACGAAAAGTGTATGCATGTCCTGTCATACCAGTAGCACCGGCAGCCATGAATAATAAATAAAGATATTTTGCATGACAAGGCAAATTCATATTACTACTCAACTACTCATGTGGCTACTAATGGTGTAGCCATGCAATCTGTGTTATAGTTTAACCAAGTTCAATGACAACTACGTTCATCATCAAAATAATGTATTAACTTACAAAATGTAATGACAGATGATAAGAACTATATGTAAAGTTACATTCCCCACAGACCAGGCCATTGAGTGACAACAGTGACAGTCGAGAGATGAGGCTGAGCCAGCTTGCTATCTACCATGTGTTTGCTCCATGCTTCCTGATATTGGGGCGCAGAATGACCATCATTGCAGGAGCAATAGGCATATATTCTCAGGTATGTCCACCAGATTAACACTGAAAGTCCAACAGACAATGTCTTATGTGTGTCCACCAGTGTATGTCTCATGTGTGTCAACCAGTGTATGTCTCAGGCATGTCCGCCAGTGTATGTCTCAGGCATGCCCACCAGTGTATGTCTCAGGCATGTCCACCAGTGTATGTCTCAGGCATGCCCACCAGTGTATGTCTCATGTGTGTCCACCAGTGTATGTCTCAGGCATGTCCAGCAGTGTATGTCTCATGTGTGTCCACCAGTATATGTCTCATGTGTGTCAACCAGTGTATGTCTCACGTGTGTCCACCAGTGTATGTCTCAGGCATGTCCACCAGTGTATGTCTCAGGCATGTTCACCTGTGTATGTCTCACATGTGTCCACCAGTGTATGTCTCAGGCATGTCCACCAGTATATGTCTCAATCATGTCAAACAGTATATATCGGTCTGTGACATGTTCACCAGTATATATCGGTCTGTAGTATGGTCACCAGTATATATCAGTCTGTGACATGTTCACCAGTATAATACATCGGTCTGTAATATGGTCACCAGTATATACCGGTCTGTGACATCTTCACCAGTATATCTCGGTCTGTAATATGGTCACCAGTATATATCGGTCTGTAATATGGTCACCAGTATATATCGGTCTTTGACATGTTCACCAGTATATCTCGGTCTGTAATATGGTCACCAGTATATATCGGTCTGTAATATGGTCACCAGTATATCTCGGTCTGTAATATGGTCACCAACATATATCGATCTGTAATATGGTCACCAGTATATATCGGTCTGTAATATGGTCACCAGGATATATCGGTCTGTAATATGGTCACCAGCATATACCGGTCTATGATATGTTATATATTCAGGTTGTTAACGCCTTTTCAATAGAAATCTCAGAAGCACGGTACGGTAGGGCACGGTAGGTATAAGGCATCGTAATTCGCTGTGAGTTGCGACCCTTGGGCACGTTAGAAACGTATGATCCCGGTTCGCTCTGATTATGTTTCTAGGTGTATGTAACAGTACCATACCCGTGCTCTCGGGTTTCACCAAAATGGCCCCTGGGCGTCTGAAGCCTGCATCACTTCGGGCTTTCCTCCAAAATTAAGTCGTGATATAACTGGAATTCTGGTCAAAACGACCCGTGAAGATCCGGGGTAGAATAGGTCTTCAGCAACCCATGCTTGCCGTAAAAGGCAACTGTGCTTGTCGTAAGAGGCGACTAACGGGATCGGGTGGTCATGCTCGCTGACTTTGTTGAAGCATGTCATCGGAATATTGCTGAGTGCGGCGTTAAACAACAGACAAACAAACAAATCTGTTGAAAACGGCGTTTAACCCAATTCATTCACTCACTCTTTATTTGTTTCCATTGCACAGGTTTCGTTAATTTACAGTGGAGACCTGAGTCTGTTCAACTGGTTAAACATTGTTCCCTGTTTGGCATGTTTTGATGATCGGAGTGTAAGTTGGCTGCTGCCCGGGCGTTTGAGGAGGCAGATAGCCTACAAGCAAGAGCTCAGGCAGACAGAGGGTAAGGATTTTGTCAGTAATTTCCTTATTGTCTATCAATAGTCTATTTTTTTGTTTCCTGTTGCATTGAATAATGTGCATTAACTCAGTCGCATATGTTGGTGATTGTTTCAGGTCTTAAAACGTTCAACCTCTGTTTGGGACTCTTCATTGCCTTGCGGGGTATTCAAGTTTTAATCAGACTAAATGAAGATATGCATTTGATGAACGAAAAAAAACAATGAGTAGCTACTGACTTAACCCTTTAACTCAAGCTTCATATATTCATCCAAGTGTATAAGTATTTGTATGTGTCACAACTATACAGAGGACCCTACAGCTGTTTCCTGTGGTAGTAGTGCCAGGAACTAGCTGGAACTCTTTTACTGGATCTTCGTAAATGAACAAGAGTTTGTGACTTTAAGAATGTAAGAAGCAGATAGAAAGAATCAAATGTTGTATATTTTCTGTGAGCTGTGGGAAACGAATATCCAAATGTGACGCCCCAAGCACAGATACATTGCACGGAGCATATGATCAATTGAACTTCCATATTAGATGATAAGACAGCGGTTAATTAAGTGTGACTTCTCTGGATTGTAAATCAACAGGATAGTTGTCGTTGTTCATTAGTACTTATTGTTTTGTTTGTTCCGTCACATGAAAACGACCAAATACATCCCTTTCGTTACGACGGTTGGCTGGAATGTTCTGAGCCAAATTACAAAGGGCGTATAGTACACCCCTAACAGTTTGCATGTATAAGTATAGTGGACTCAAATTCGGATATCCGTGAAAATCGGACCTTTTCTCCGGTCGCCTCAGTTCCTCAATACATTATCATTTCTCACACTGATCTACAATTCTCTCATTCGGATTTTTACACTTCGGACGAGGGACTAAAATTTCGGTCTCAACAACCAATTTACTATTGAAAAGAAGCTGTCTGAATCAGACTGGACCAGACCGGACCGGACCGGACCGGATGTTCTCTCACTTTGAACTAAACTCAGTCACTGTCAGATAAAACATCAATGCTAATCCTGCATGTAATCCTATTGTTGTCCGCTTCGTTAATAGAATTTACTCACCTGTTAATGAGAAACTCTTAATTCTTAGATTAACTCAGTGTCGTTAGCATGTCCATAATAATGGTAAACAATATTTTCCATGTCAACTTTATAGGGGATAATGTTCCTTCCTTTGGCACTGTTATGAATTGGACGCGAAGCTCAACGGGAAGAGAGAGCCTCGAAGATGATCCAAGATCAGTAAGACCTTCAAGTGCCTCCACTACGGAACATGTTTATAAAATACATGACATGATAATGGATGATCGACAGACTCACCATACGTCACGAAGCCAATATAGTAGAAATCTCTCAAGAGAGAGTTAATTCTGAGGAATAAACTGGGCATGACAAAGGTTTCAACGCACTGGACTCCAAGACTCAGAAACAATACCAGAAACGCTCCAGGTTCATCATATGTAGTGAGAATCTAAGTTTTCAAGCAGACCCTGCTGAATTATTGAGTGATTTGTAACTGTCGATGATCTTTGGGTTGAGCACTATCAGACAGGCTAAACAAGAGTCAAAGCAGCGGAAACATCAAAGGAAACATTCCAAAAGAATCCTACTGGTAGTCTACCTCCTGAAATGCCAGACCATCCATGGCCAATATGCTAATCTGCTTATGGGGCTACTGCATGAGAACATCAAGGCTATGCTTGACCTGCAACTATAAGTTTATTGTTCCACCAGGACACTTTACATCCCCATTACTTTCACCAGATTTTCCACAGTAATATATGATAATTCCACCTCTTCCACAACTGGAAGAAAGAACAGCCATATACCAACTGTATGACGGAGACCTGTTAACAATCGAGCCTGGACCAGACAATCCGGTGATTGTTACTGTGAGCAACGATCAACGCAGTCGGGGTACGTCGTCACATAACGGACCGAACTAAGCCTCATAACCCGATCCTTGTAATCACCCCTTACAACCAGCATAGGAGACCCACGAGATGTATGTCTACAGTGTCACATACAGAAATATCGACCAAACATATCCTACGACCATTGATATCACATACAGAGATAACGATAAAAACATTAACAACGACCATTGATAACACATACTGAGATGACGATAAAAACATTTACAACAACCATTGATATCGCATACAGAGATAACGACCAAAACATATATCCAACGACCATTGATATCACATAAAGAGATAACGATAAAAACATATATCCAACGACCATTGATATCACATACAGAGACAACCAACGATTAAAACATATACAACCACTATTGATATCGCATACAGAGATAACGACCCAAATATAGCCAACGACCATTGATATCACATACAGATATAACGATAAAAACATCTCCAACGACCATTGATATCACATACAGAGATAAAGACCAAAACATATCCAACGACCTTTTATATCACATACAGAGATAACGATAATATATACTGAACCGCAAAAGAAACGTCACCCCAAGTAACATTGAATGAAAAGTTGTCATTTAAATATCTGGGTATTTTGTCAAAGTTTCTAAAATTTAACATTACCTTGTCCGGAAAAATGAAATTTGATGAGAAGAAAACAAAGCAGATGACCATAAAACCGATCGCCCAAACGCATCACGGCAACGGTCATGGTAACCCGATGCACGTGAGTTCCGTGCAAATTGAAATACACCTGCGTTCCCCCATTTCTTGCCCTATAACCCCCCCCCCCCCCCTCCCTCCCCCCCTCCCCCCCGATCTGATACCAGTCATTCGTTATTGAATTGCTACAACATGCCAAGATTGACAAGAAATCAGCGTCACCTAGCCCTAACACTACAGATGACTGACCACGTAGTGGAAGACCAAGGGTCACCACCCGACGTTACAGAGATAACGATTAAAACATGCCCAATGTCTCGTATATCGATATCACATGGCAAAGATAACAAAAGAACATATCGACATTTCATGTGTAAATTTATATATACTCACCGCCACACTCGCATATCATACATGTTGGTTAATATATATGAAGAATTCATATTCTAGAAATATTAGATTGATTCGACGCAGAAACGAACATACTGGAAATCTGTCTAACAGAGTATTAAGCTTGTGGAGTCGTGATTTACGATTGACAAGTCACATTGGTCCCATAAGTTCAATATTGTTCACACTTTATGTCTTTTAGTCCAACTATTCTTCCAACGATTTTATTTAAATGACCACACTTGCTCATGGGTTTCACCAAAGTGGTAAACGTCTGGGACCTGCATCACTTCGGGCTTTCCTCCTATATTAAGCTGACACGACTGGGATGTGACTGAAATACTGATCTAAGCGGCGTTAAACCCAACTCACTCACAATATGACCACATGTTCAATTCAATTCTTTATTGTATGAAAGGCCACAGTCCCATATACAGCGGAGTTACATAACATATTTCATAAGATACAAAGTCAAGGTAACAATTCACATCGTAACAAAAACACACAAAGCCAGGTGATGCTGTATTAGAGGATCCTTGTAGGACAGTAATGTAGACAATCTTATAGCATTTAAATGAGATAAAGACCACAGCGGTAAGTGCTTGTTTCTTCGATTTACGTATATAGGGCAAATAAACATAAAATAGTATTCATCTTCGACAACACTGTCACATGTTCCTTTCCTTACTCCAGCAAGCAACGTTTCCGTACGTCATGGATTGACGTCTTTTAAGTAACAATTTAACAGTTGGAATGACTCATTACCCCCCTGGATGCCACAGGGACATATAATATATATGTTCCTCTTCAACCTTCACTTTGAAGTGGAAAAAAATTCTAAATAACTCACCGACAAAAGAAACTCGAACATCATACATATTGGTTTATGTATGAAGAAGTACTCATATTTAAGAGATATTAGATTGGTTCGACGCAGAAACGGTATGTTGTGTTAACCGACGCTCATGAACGCATGACATGTGACGTCATAGATCAATGACTCGAGATGCACCATATCTCTCGTGCAGGATTAGCGTGTAAAGTTTGGAAATCACGTGCAGCATATCGTGATAAGAACGATGACACTATGGTAACACCTGACTGATTGTTAGTTTTGTTATTAAGTGGTGCACATTGGAAACATCTCTTCTTAACGTACACACTTCTCTTTATGTTTCTATGGTTCGCGTTTCTTTTGGCGGTGAGTATGTATCATGCAGGCTTATTTAACACCATTTGATAGGATATTGAATAGTCTACATCTCTGTGTCATATTACAGTTAGAGGTAGGCCAAGTGCAAATCTGCTTTTCAGAACTTGAATATGCGTCTGAAAAAACTCGACATCCACGAGGTAAGGGCAGACAAATATATAAATTCTTAAAAACAACCTTGTTTGATCGTGTGTAGTCATGGTCCTGAATAGTCTCCCTTTGTCTGATTAGTCTCCCTTTGTCTGAATAGTCTCCCTTTGTCTGAATTGTCTCCCTTTGTTGTGTACACACATGGCGGGCCAGCACACAGCTTCAAGGCTCTTCTGTCAATAAATGTTAATTTTTAGTTAATTCATGTGACACAACACAAATGATTAAACCATAATGTTTAGTATGACTGACACAGGGAGTAACCTTTCTGCGCCAGATCATCAAAGAATGTTTTGACGATCACCCATGATGCGTTCCTTGATCACCCGACAGACTGACACTTATTCAATAAAATATGGTATCGGTGTTATTTATCAAGGAACGTTGAATTCCAGACTACAATTAATTATTCTACAGTTACAAAGTGTGTTGTTTGGAATTACGAGGTTGATATCTGTAACAACCTGGACATAACGTCCTACCAGACTGTACATTTTTTTCACATTTGAAGCAATAAATATATTTTTGTAAACAACATTTTCATTTTTATTCATGTGAAAATTAACACCATATCCACAAGCTAATACTGGCGTAAAGACAACAGATTAAATGTGCCCTCCTTACAACAACAGTGTGTCCTTCTGATCCCGACGCTCATGCTATCGTCCACTGGGTTTGGGCTTCTCGTCGAGCTGTGTATCAAAGGTGTGAGGATCACTAGAGTATGTGTGAAAATGTTTGTTGAGAGCCAGACATATTTGTGAAAGAAAAGAATCTGTTCCCGGAAGTGCTGGGGAAAATAATTTGTCCTCGGGTTATACACAGAAAATAGTGTTCACAGGTAGGATGTTCTTAAAATTATAATGTGAGGATCTCAAAAACAGTGTTTGCCAATCCTTTCAGTGAGCGTCTACAACGCCATTAGTTGATGATAAGTATTTTTATGGTCCAGTGACACCCAAATACATGTATTTGCACTGAGTGAGTGAATGAGTATTGTTTTAAGCCGCTTTTAGCAATAATCCAGTGATGCTATTCCAACGGGGCAGACCAAAAGTGGGCTTCACATATGGTGCCCACATGGGGAATCGAACCCAGGTCTTCGGCGTGACGAGCTTACGCTTTTACCAATAGGCTTCACACCGTCCCATTTAGAGATTGCAAGTACTGACACAAATTCAAATTGGTGTTTTACATTGCCCAAAAGCACAGAAGGGAGAACAGCAACACTAAGCGAAAACTAGTCTGCAGTTACGTGTAATAGGTCAACTTGGTACACATCGACTCTGAATGACCTTATGACGTAAGTAAACTGGTTCCCCGTGGTTGTTGCGCGATCAGGGTGGCCTCAACAGGAAAAGGGCCGGTTTAACTGCGGTCCGCCTGCGAGTCGTGCATTTTATTCCCAACATGAGTGATTCAGGACCTGACAGAGATATCAGCAGAAATGACAGTGAAGTGAAAGAAGGCACATTCTGGTTGGCAAGAAATGTTCTTTTGAGATGTCTTGGATTAATTTACTGTAAGTGTGAAGTTATATGGAATAACTTAAATGTAAGTCTTTGTAAACACATATCCGAACAGGTTTCTGATAGCAGACATCGTGCAAATTGAGAACTCTCGCGGAAATGTTTATAATGTTACAAACCATTTACCCGAATACAGCCATACTTTTTCTTTGGAATTCTATTTTGTTAGAGTTATGATAGCCACGAAGGGGTCGAGTGTAATACCTTGGACATTGTGTTTGCATGATATAATACATGACACAACACAAGGAAACACGATAAGGGTTATCTCTAAGTTTCTAGGTCAACAGCTCCCTGTAAATCGATAATACGATAACATCGGTAAGACGACTGAGCATAAAGGAATGCATATGCATAAATAGAAGCTGTTTTGTGAAATAGATCAAACTTTATATGCACATATGCTGTATTCATTTCGCCAAGCAAATTGTCACGTTTAAGAAAAGAACAGTCATACTTATCGAGAAAAAGGGATGCATACATCCTTGAGAAATCCACATTTCCGGGTTCCATTCCCATTTTTTACAGATTTCATTTTACACCATGGTTTTTATTTGAAGTTTACACGATATACGGTTTTGACATTGGACATAGAGTAAGGACCAAACATTATGTGATTATATTGCCAACTATGACGTTCAGCTTGGCCTCAGTCTATAAGGGTTACACTCCAGTGAACTCGCACAGAGTGAAGTCAGTCGTTAAATGATTGATAACTAACTGAACTCAGTATCCTATTATCTATAACTTGTCAACTTTTTTTTTCAGAGAGAGAGAGAGAGAGAGAGAGAGAGTGAGAGAGAGAGAGGGAGAGAGAGAGAGAGTAAGAGAGAGAGGGATAGAGAGAGAGTATTGTGCATCACATGGCACAGATAACGAACAGAACATATTGATATTTATTGGGAAAATGTGTCATCATAATCCTTTTTGAAGTTCGAGGTCACATTGTCGAAGCTGAAAAGTAAATAACACGAAATATGAGATGAGCACAGTGTGGCTGAACTATTGTAAGGCACAGTGCAAAATGTTTCTATCGTAGCGCCACCAGTGGCGATAACTAGTTATGTCCCTTTCATGTCTCTCCTATTGACCAAGCAGATTCCTACTATACGTCTCATACTATTTGCATTTGCTTCAAACAAAATGGCGGCGCCCAGTCAAGACGATCTGATATATAATCAATATCTTTATTGTTAAAAAATAGGACTTACCTCGCGAAGTACCTGAACACCTAGAGCACATTGATTGAAAAAATTGGAAAATATGTATCGATCCAAGGTGACGGTACACATGCTCTGCAAACCGAATGTCGATTTTGTTACGCGATTTTGATTTTTCTATGCATAAACTCGTTAGTCCAGCTAAACTTTAACTCCGTTATTTAACCCTAGTTCGGCACGGTGGGAACTGGACTTATATAGTAAATTCTCCCTGAATTGTCAAGATGGGTAAACATCAGCTCTGTGTCTAATGGCACTGTCATCGGAAATGACTCACATGCTAATACAATTAGCATTATATAACTACATTGTATATAAATCCCTCGCCGCTCTAGCGTTAAATTTAGTTGTGGAACCAAGTTCAATTTCGTCAAAACATCTGATTTTTCAGCTTTGTACACCGCCATTCATTCCACATGACAAAATTAAGGGAAATCTTCATTTCATGATCCACACTATACCATGACTTTAGGTATAGTTAGTTACATATCTGTCTTCAAAGATGCATAACCATTCGTCAAAAATGAGCGCAAATGTTATTACTAACAAGACAATATATGAAACGCTGGATTCGTGTAAAACTTGGGCATGGGACATTCGAGCAAAAAATAAACATCCACGTGGGCTCTAATGTGATTCCCTCTGGGCTGATCTGTTTCTTTATGCGTAAAGATTCAAACAATCCTCAATACGGTATCACAAGAGTGATCACTTCAACTTTCCCTTTATGTCGAGCAACATTCCTTTGGGGTACAATGGAGCATGCCCGTTCTGAGATTTCCAAGAACGTCATACAACATTGGTTAAAAAGTTGTTTGATCAGGGTCACAAGATTCAAGGCCTAAAGCCTTCAAAACGTTTTATATTAGTCATGTGGAGGACATTTCCAAATTTGACCAAAATGATGTCCTATACAATTCCCTATTTTGATTTGTACCACATTTTCTCGCGATTTTTTTCAGTTGAACAATTGACTTTCCTTGGTATGTGTTTGTGATGGGTGTCACCGGTGGGTTAGGATACTCTAACACCTGGTATCATCATTTTTTATGGTGATTCATAAACACATGGGTGGCGTCATTCATTGGGTGGCGTCTACCGCAGCCCACAGGCGACAATTTCATTCGTGACTAGGATGTACTGCAGTGTCAACGTGGTACAAACAGGTAAACCATCGGAGGTAGGAAGTACTCTGCCGCCCATTGGCTAACATTCTCTGCCGCCCATTGGCTAACATTCTCTGCCGCCCATTGGCTATCATTCTCTGCCGCCCATTGGCTATCATTCTCTGCCGCCCATTGGCTATCATTCTCTGCCGCCCATTGGCTAACATTCTCTGCCGCCCATTGGCTATCATTCTCTGCCGCCCATTGGCTATCATTCTCTGCCGCCCATTGGCTATCATTCTCTGCCGCCAATTGGCTATCATTCTCTGCCGCCCATTGGCTAACATTCTCTGCCGCCCATTGGCTATCATTCTCTGCCGCCCATTGGCTATCATTCTCTGCCGCCCATTGGCTATCATTCTCTGCCGCCCATTGGCTAACATTCTCTGCCGCCCATTGGCTATCATTCTCTGCCGCCCATTGGCTAACATTCTCTGCCGCCCATTGGCTATCATTCTCTGCCGCCAATTGGCTATCATTCTCTGCCGCCCAGTGGCTAACATTCTTTTGAAGAAAACTGAAAAAATGGTATTTGCAGTAAAGGTGGAAACGACCAGGAAGAACAGAGATACAATTAACACACTGAACCAGTCAGGTGTCAGATTACCCTTAAGTTTGAAGATCCAGATGAAGGTTAAGACAATTCCATAAAGAAGATGTATACCTCTTTCGGCGATACCAGCAGCAAGGAAGCTGCTGGAAAAAGCGTTGGATCTCTCAATTCATATGTCCCGCTATCCACCCAGAGGCCTTGCTAGTCTGTGGGCACGGGTGGCCCAGTCGTCTAAGGCGCCGCGATTCGCTTTGCAGAGGTGGGCATGCCAGAAACCCATGATTGTTGGTTCGAATCCCGATTCGCCCCGATTATGTTTCTAGATTTGTCAGCACCATACCCGTGCTCGTGGGTTTCACCGAAGTGACCTGCATCACTTCGTATTTTCCTCCCACATTAAGCTGACACGCCGTGATATAAGTGGTATACTGTTAAAATCGTCGTTAAACCCTCACTCACTCACGAGTCCATCTTCCGATCAAGCTAAGAGCAAAACAAACATTCATTGACGTGAAGAACATAAATGCTTAATGTGGTCGATTCGCGCATATGTGTTTTTCACGTAATTCAATCTGTGACTTCTACACGATTTTGAAAGGGGTTCGTGGGACATGTGTGTTTGGAAGTTTACCAAGTGAAACAGACTTCCTCAAACGTTGACGGAGAAGTCTTTGCATGTGACAGTTAGGTCACTATCAAAACCAATTTTCGTTTATGTATTTGTTTGACGTTTTACCTCTACTTTTGCAGTTTTGGCATTTCTTATTGCCTTGGATCAGAACAGACGGTTGTATGGAAAAGATGGCCTGATCCCATACAAAACATCCAATACACATCTTAGAGACACCATCAACAGATTTGCTGACACAGAACAAGAGGCTATTTTCTACCACAGCCTACCATATGATAATGTTCTTGCTTTTTTAACGCAAGTTGGCTTGTCTCTGTCGCTGTTCCTCGTCTTTAGAGGAGCAGCAAACTGGCTCTTGATGTTGTGCCTGTGGACCATTTACCACTTACTTGTTGACGCCGGACTGCAGCGGTAGGTAGATTTGTTTAGATTAAATCTGTAGCGACTCATATCTAAATACTTTAATGTTTAGTTTTAGAATCATTTTGTATCACCACATTATTAAAAAAACCTTTTGATCAAACTTTACATTGAAAAATTCGCTATGTGACTTTTAGCGATATATACACACAGTCACCAGTATTATAGACCCGTGAAGATGCGGGGTAGAAAAGGTCTTCAGCAACCCTTGCTTGCCGTTAAAGGTGACTATGTTTGTCGTAAGAGGCGACTAACAGTATCGGGTGGTCAGACTCGCTGACGTGGTTGATTGCATGTCATCGTATCCCAATTGCGTGGATCGATGCTCATGAAATCAATCACTTGATTGTCTGGTCCAGACTCGTTTATGTACAGACCGCCGTCATATAGTTTGAATATTGCTGTGTGCGGCGTTAAACAACAAACAAACAAACACCAGTATTATATCTTGAATTTCAATTCTGACAGTTCACGAGAATAATCTTGTTTTGTTTATATCTTTATCACATGATTCGTTAATACTTTGTCATAATGTTGTGTCTGTATTGCAAGAAATCTTCAAGCTAATCCATAACCAATGTTGTTGTACTTTTTGTAGGCACAGCTTTGGTAAGTTGATTTGTCTCTTCATATAATTTAGAAGTTTATATCTTGCTATTTCATATACAACAAACAATACTAAATTACTTTGAACCTATAAGTACACGTGGTTTTAACGTGCATCATCCCTCGTGTTATGAATGATCATATTTGACTGTAAACGTCTGCGTACTACCTCTGTCCGCGCTTTTTATTCTGCCTTTGATATCCATTAATGACTGGTATTTTGATCGTTTAAGTAATGCCATTGTCTTCCCTTCAGGTTGGGAGTTTCAGCTCCTAGAGACTGGATTCCTGGCTACATTCCTGTGCCCTGTGTGGAGCCTGAGACAACCACCGACATCTCGCGCTGTCATCCGGGGGTTCAAATGGATGTTTTTCCGCATTATGTGGGGATGGGTTTGTATAAAATTTCATTATTGCTAAGGAAGTAGTAAAATAGAAGAGAACATCCTGTGTGTGTTTCTGTGTGTCTGTGTGTGTGTCTGTGTGTGTCTGTGTGTGTGTGTGTCTGTGTCTGTGTCTGTGTCTGTGCCTGTGCCTGTGCCTGTGTATGTGTCTGTGTCGAACTTTATAGGCAGTACTTATTGTTTTTTCTCTGAGCTACGAGTATTACATATGTTATTAGTAACCAAGGTATGTGTTTTTTTCTGTTACAGAGTTCCGACAAAATCCGGAGAGATCATGATATTTGTTCCACATATTTCACTTGCATGAATTATCATTATCAGGTAACTACAAAGCTGTGAATATAAAACCTGAACGCCAGAGAATAACATGTCTCGATTATTCAACGAAACAGATTTCATAGGTCGTAAAAGGCTAATTATCGGTGAACATTATGTGAAAGGATCACTGAAAATCAGTGATGACACCAGGTGTTCACGAAAAGCGTGTGCATGACCTGTCGTACAAATAGCACCGGTAGCCATGAATAATAAAGATATTTTGCATGACAAGGCAAATTCACATTACTACCCAACTACTCACGTGGCTTCTAATGGCGCACCCATACTGTCTGTGTCTTAGTTTAACCTAGTTCAATAACAGCTATTTTCCTCATCATAATAATGTATTACCTTACAAAATGTAATGGTAGGCGATAAGAACTATATGTAAAGTTATTTTCCCCACAGACCAGGCCATTTAGTACCGACACTAACTTTCCAAAGACGTGGGAATACCAGTTTTATATCTACCATGTGTTAGCTCCAAACCTCCTGATGTATGGACGCAGAATGACCATCATTGCAGGAGCAATAGGAATATTTTCTCAGGTATGTCTACCAGAATAATACTGAAGGTCCACCAGACTATGTCTGATGTGTGTCCACCAGTGTATGTCTCATGTGTGTGCATCAGTGTATGTCTCATTTGTGTCCACCAGTGTATGTCTCATTTGTGTCCACCAGTGTATGTCTCATGTGTATCCACCAGTGTATGTCTCATGTGTGTCCACCAGTGTATGTCTCATGTGTGTCCACCAGTGTATGTCTCATGTGTGTCCACCAGTGTATGTCTCATGTGTGTCCACCAGTGTATGTCTCATGTGTGTCCACCACTGTATGTCTGATGTGTGTCCACCAGTGTATGTCTCATGTGTGTCCACCAGTGTATGTCTCATGTGTGTCCACCAGTGATTGTCTCATGTGTGTCCACCAGTGTATGTCTCATGTGTGTCCACCACTGTATGTCTCGTGTGTCAACCAGTGTATGTCCCATGTGTGTCCACCAGTGTATGTCTCATGTGTGTCCACTAGTGTATGTCTCATGTGTGTCCACCAGTGTATTTCCAATGTGTGTCCACCAGTGTATGTCTCATGTGTGTCCACCAGTGTATGTCTCGTGTGTCCACCAGTCTGTGCCTCACGCTTGTTTAACGGTCTATGTCTCAGGTATGTTCACCAGTGTGTGTCTCATGTGTCCACCAGTGTATGTCTGATGTGTGTCCAACAGTGTATGTCTCGTGTGTGTGAATCAGTGTATTTATCATGTGTGTCCACCAGTGTATGTATCATGTGTGTTCACCAGTGTATGTCTGATGTGTGTCCACCAGTGTATGGCTCATGTGTCTCCTCCAGTGTATGTCTCGTATGTCCACCAGAATATGTCTCACGTGTGTCCAACAGTGTATGTCTCATGTGTGTTAACCAGTGTATGTCTCATGTGTGTCCACCAGAGTATGTCTCATGTGTGTCCACCAGTGTATGTCTCATGTGTGTCCACCAGTGTATGTCTCATGTGTGTCGACTAGAGAATGTCTGATGTGTGTCCACCAGAGTATGTCTCGTGTGTGTCCACCAGTGTATGTCACATGTGTGTCGACAAGAGAATGTCTGATGTGTGTCCACCAGAGTATGTCTCATGTGTGTCCACCAGTGTATGTCACATGTGTGTCGACTAGAGAATGTCTGATGTGTGTCCACCAGTGTATGTCTAAGTTGTGTCCGTCAGTGTATGTCTCATACATGTCCATCAGTGTATGTCTCATGTGTGTCCACCAGTATATGTCTTAGACATGTCCACCACTGTATATCATAGACATGTCCACCAGTGTATGTCATAGACATGTCCACCACTGTATGTCATAGACATGTCCACCACTGTATGTCATAGACATGTCCACCACTGTATGTCATAGACATGTCCACCACTGTATGTCATAGACATGTCCATCGGTGTATGTCTCATGTGTGTCCACCAGTATATGTCTTAGACATGTCCACCACTGTATGTCATAGACATGTCCACCAGTGTATGTCTCATGTGTGTCTAACAGTATATGTCTTAGACATGTCCATCATTGTATGTCTATCGGTCTCATGTGTGTCTCATGTCGTAAGCTTATATCTTAGTATGTGATATGTTGACAAGTAGATATCGGTCTGTGATATGTTCACCAGTATATCTCATTCTTTGATATGTTCACCAGTATATATCGGCCTGTGATATGTCCACCAGTTTATATATGTCTGTAATATGTTCACCAGTGTATCTCTCTCTGTGATAAGATCACCAGTATATATCGGTCTGTGATATGTCCAACAGTATATCTCGGTCTGTAATATGTTCACTAGTATATATCGGTCTGTGATATGTTCACCAGTTTACCTCGGTCTGTGATATGTCCACCAGTATATCTCTGTCTGTCATATGTCCACCAGTATATCTCTGTCTGTGATAAGATCACAAGTATATACTGGTCTGTGATATGTCCACCAGTATATATTGGACTGTGACATGTTCACAGTATATATCGGGCTGTGATATGTCCACCAGTATATCTCTGTCTGTGACATGTTCACCAGTATATCTTGGTCTTTGATATGTCCACCAGTATATATCGGTCTGTGATATGTTCACCATTATGTATCAGTTTGTGATATGTTCACCACTGTATATCCATCTGTGACATGTCCACCAGTATATATCGGTCTGTGATATGTCCACCAGTATATATCGGTCTCTTATATGTCCACCAGTATATATCGGTCTGTGATATGTTCACTAGTATATATCAGTCTATGATATGTTCAGCAGTATATATCGGTCTGTGATATTTTCACCAGAATATATATCGGCCTGTAATATGTTTACCAGTATATCTCAGTCTGTGATATGTCCACCAGTATATCTCTGTCTGCGATATGTCCACCAGTATACCTCGGTCTGTGATATCTTCACCAGTATATATCGGTCTGTCATATGTCCACCAGTATCCTCGGTCTGTGATATCTTCTCCAGTATATATCGGTCTGTGATATGTCCACCAGTATATCTCGATCTGTGATATGTCCACATTTCTATCTCGGTCTGTGAAATCTCCATTAGTATATATATTGGTCTGTGATTTGTCCACCAGTATATCTCGGTCTGTGATTTGTCCACCAGCATATCTCGTTCTGTGATTTGTCTACCAGTATATCTCGGTCTGTGATTTATCCACCAGTATATCTCGGTCTGTGATTTGTCCACCAGTATATCTCGGTCTGTAATATGTTCACCAGTATATCTCGGTCTGTGATTTGTCCACCAGTATATCTCGGTCTGTGATTTGTCCACCAGTATATATCCATCTGTGATATGTCCACCAGTATATATTGGTTTGTGACATGTTCACCAGTATATCTTGGTCTGCGATATGTTCACCAGTGTATATCCATCTGTGATATGTCCACCTTTATATCTCAGTCTGTGATATGTCCTCCATTATATATCGGTCAGTGATATGTTCACCAGTGTATAACCATCTGTGATATGTCCTTCAGTATATATCGGTCTGTGATATGTTCACCAGTATATACAGATGTGTTATACGTTATATATTCAGGTTGTTAGCACCTTTTTGAATACAGCAGAATCAAGTTACCTTTTTTGTGGGAAAGGGCACGGGAGGTATTAGGCATCGTAAGTCGCTGTGCAGAGCACAGCCCTTGTGCACGCTAGAAACCTTTGATCGTGGGTTCGAAACCCGGTTCGCTCCGATTATGTTTCTAGGTGTGGCAGTACCATACCCGTGCTCGCGGGATTCACCAAAGTGGCCCATAGGCGTCTGGAGCCTGCATCGCTTCGGGCTTTCCTCCCAAATTAAGTAGTGATTTAACTGGAATTCTGGTCAAAACTACGTTTAACCCTATTCACTCCCTCACTATTTATTTGTTTCAATTGCACAGGTTTCGTTAATTATCAGTGGTGACCTGATTCTGTTCAACTGGTTAAACATTGTTCCCTGTCTGGCATGTTTTGATGATCGGAGTGTATGTTGGCTGCTGCCCGGGCGTTTGAGGAGGCAGATAGCCTACAAGCAAGAGCTCACGCAGACAGAGGGTAAGGATTTTGTCAGTCATTTCCTTATTGTCTATCAATAGTCTATTTCTTTGTTTACTGTTGCATTGAATAATGTACATTAACTCAATCTCATATGTTGGTAATTATTTCAGGTCTTAAAGCGTTCGACTGCTGTTTGGGACTCTTCATTGTCGTGCGGAGTATTCCAGTTTTAATCAAAATACTTGAAGATCAACAAATTCCAATTACCAATGAGAAGCTACTGACTTTACCCTAAAATTCAAGCTTCATATATCCATCCAAATGTGCGATTGTTTGTTTATGTCAGAAGTATACAGAGGGTCCTACAGCTGTCTCCTGGGCCCTGTTCAACAAAGCGATCTCAGCGCTACGACTGTAGTAAGTCAGTGTTAATGAATGGGAGTTACGATCGACCTTGCGCTAACATCGCTTTGTGGAACCGGGCCCAGGGGATAGTAGTGCCAGGAACTTGCGGGAATTCTTTAATTGGAGCTTCGTAAATGAGGCAAGAGTTTGTGACTTTACGAATGTAACAAGGAGATGGAAAGAATCAAGTGTTGTATATTTTCTGTGTGCTGTGGGAAACGAATATCCAAATGTGACGCCCCAAGCACAGATACATTGCACGGAGCAACATCGTTTCCGGAAACAAATATTTCAATAAGGGCATATGATCAATTGAAATTCCATGTTGGATGATGAGGCAGCGGTTAATTAAGTGTGACTTCTCTGGATTGTAAATCAACAGGATAGTTGTCGTTGTTCATTAGTACTTATTGTTTTGTTTGTTCCGTCACACGAAAACGACCAAATACATCCCTTTAGTTACGACGGATGGCTGAAATGTTCTGAGCCAAATTACAAAGGGCGTATAGTACACCCCTAACAGTTTGCATGTATAAGTATAGTGGACTCAAATTCGGATATCCGTGAAAACCGGACCTTTTCTCCGGTCGCCTCGGTTCCTCAATAAATTATCATTTCTCACACTGACCTACAACTCTCTCATTTGGATTTTTTACACTTCGGACGTGGGACTAAAATTTCGGTCTCAACAAGCAATTTACTATTGAAAAGAAGCTGTCTGAATCAGACTGGACCAGACCGGACCGGACCGGACCGGATGTTCTCTCACTTTGAACTAAACTCAGTCACTGTCAGATAAAACATCAATGCTAATCCTGCATGTAATCCTATTGTTGTCCGCTTCGTTGATAGAATTTACTCACCTGTTAATGAGAAACTCTTAATTCTTAGATTAACTCAGTGTCGTCAGCATGTCCATAATAATGGTAAACAATATTTTCCATGTTCCATACGGACATGTGTCAACTTTATAGGGGATAATGCTCCTTCCTTTGGCACTGTTATGAATTGGACGCGAAGCTCAACGAGAAGAGAGAGCCTCGAAGATGATCCAAGATCAGTAAGACCTTCAAGTGCCACCACTACGGACTACACCATACAAGGCTCGCTAAATACAATGTTTATTCCCAGTGCTGGATATTTACCATCCCCAAACACACTCGCGTGATAACCTCTCTTTATGTTTCTATGGTTCGCGTTTCTTTTGGCGGTAAGTATGTATCATGCAGGCTTTTTAACACCAATTGATAGGATATTGAATAGTCAACATCTCTGCGTCATTTTACAGTTAGAGGTAGGCCAAGTGCAAATCTGCTTTTCAGAACTTAAATATGCGTCTGAAAAAACTCGACATCCACGAGGTTAGGGCAGAAAAATATATAAATTCTTAAAAACAACCTTGTTTTATCGTGTGTAGTCATGGTCCAGAATAGTCTCCCTTTGTCTGAATAGTCTCCCTTTGTCTGAATAGTCTCCCTTTGTTGTGTACACACCAAGCTCCTCACAGCGATAATCCGTTCGGGGAGCTCTATACTATCGCTGCCACCAGTCAATACTCCCCACTGGGATAGGTGGCCCCAACCATGCTTGGAGTTGAACTCGCAACCGAATGACCGTTATGTTTACAAACAAGTGACGACTGTCGTGACGCCGAATACACTTACCGCTGATAAATTACTTTCTTTGTTTGTCAATTTGTATTTCTATTTCATTAAAAGTATCATCTTTAATTGATGTAGTAAGAATGTAAGGGAGAAGTTGGTTGATTTTCTGTTAGTCTGCAATCTCGAACCAATCTGATTATTAAAAAAACAAAGTAACTTCATCTGGAAAACATGGTCAGTAGTAAACCTTTTCAAAATGAAATATGATGGCATTCTCAAAGACATAAACCAAATTTCAAGATTCTTGTAATGGCCGCGCCCACACTGGTTACAGCGATGTTACTGAGAGTGTAACGAAGGTGTCACGCGCTGGAATGGAGCTTGTGTACACACATGGCGGGCCAGCACTCAGCTTCAAGGCTCTTCTGTCAGTAACTGTTTATTTTTAGTTAATTCATGTGACACAACACAAATAATTAAAACCTGATATTTAGTATGACTGACACAGGGAGTAACATTTCTGCGCCAGATCATCAAAGAATGTCTTGACGATCACCCATGATGCGTTCCTTGATCACCCGACAGACTCACACTTATTCCATAAAATATGGTATCGGTGTTATTTATTCAGGAACGTCGAATTCCAGACTATAATTAATTATTCTACAGTTACAAAGTGTGTTGTTTGGAATTACGAGGTTGATATCTGTAAAAACCTGGACATAACGTCCTACCAGACTGTAAAAAATGTTCACATTTGAAGCAATAAATAAATTTCTGTAAACAACATTTTCTTTTTTATTCATGTGAAAATTATCACCATATCCACAAGCTAATACTGGTGTATAGAGAACAGATTAAATGTGCCCTCCTTACAACAACAGTGTGTCCTTCTGGTCCCGACGCTCATGCTATCGTCCACTGGGTTTGGGCTTCTCGTCGAGCTGTGTATCAAAGGTGTGAGGATCACTAGAGTATGTGTGAAAATGTTTGTTGAGAGCCAGACATATTTGTGAAAGAAAAGAATCTGTTTCCGGAAGTGCTGGGGAAAATAATTTGTCCTCGCGTTATACACAGAAAATAGTGTTCACAGGTAGGATGTTCTTAAAATTATAATGTGAGGATCTCTAAAACAGTGTTTGCCCATCCTTTCAGTGAGCGTCTACAACGCCATTAGTTGATGATAAGTATTTTTATGGTCCAGTGACACCCCAATACATGTATTTGCACTGAGTGAGTGAATGAGTATTGTTTTAAGCCGCTTTTAGCAATAATCCAGTGATGCTATTCCAGCGGGGCAGACCAAAAGTGGGCTTCACACATTGTGCCTATAAAGGGAATCGAACCCAGGTCTTCGGCGTGACGAGCTAACGCTTTTACCAATAGGCTACACAACGTCCCATTTAGAGATTGCAAGTACTGACACAAATTCACATTGGTGTTTTACATGGCCCAAAAGAACAGAAGGTAGAGCAGCGACACTAAGTGATAACCAGTTTACAGTGCGTGTAGTAGGTCAACTAGGTTAACAGCAACTCTGCCTGACGTCATGACGTAAGTAAACTGGTTCCCCGTAGTTGTTGCGCGATCAGGGTGGCCTCAACAGGAAAAGGGGCGGTTTAACTACAGTCCGCCTTCGAGTCGTGCATGTTATTCCCAACATGAGTGATTCAGGACCTGACAGAGATATCAGCAGAAATGACAGTGAAGTGAAAGAAGGCACATTCTGGTTGGCAAGAAATGTCCTTTTGAGATATCTTGGATTTATTTACTGTAAGTGTTATGTTGTGTGGAATATTTTAAATGCAAGTCTTTGTAAACACATATCCGAACAGGTTTCTGATAGCAGAGAAATAGCTATGTACTGCTACACTTTTATCGAGACATCCACTTGTCGGTGATACATAGCTACGGATCACGCGTTCATGACGTTCTACTAAACCCCAGGGCTGATTTTGCACCGGTCTTCACAATCTCAAATTGAGAACTCTTATGGAAATGTTTATACCATTTGTCCCCAAACCATTACCCTGAATACAACCATACCATTCCTTTGAAATTATATAATGGAAGAGTTGTGAAAACCACGAAGGGTTCGACTGTAATGCCTTGGACATTGTGCTTGCATGATGTAATGCACATCACAAAATATAAACTGGTAAACTCGTAAACACAACACAAGGTAACAAGATAAGGGCTTATCTGTTAGTTTCTAGGTCAACAGCTCCCTGTAAATTGATAACACGACTGAGAGAGAGAGAGAGAGTGTATTGTGCATCACATGGCACAGATAACGAATAGAACATATTGATATTTCTTGGAAAAATGTGTCACTTTGTCAACGCTGAAAAGTAAATAACACGAAAATGAGATGAGCATCGTGTGGCTACACTATTTGTACGCGCAGTGTTAAATGTTTCAATCGTAGCGCCACCAGTGGCGATTGCGAGTTATGTCCCTTTTCATGTCTCTCCTATTGACCAATCAGATTCCACCTCTCATACTATTTGCATTTGCTTCAAACAAAATGGCGGCGTCCAGCCAAGACGATCTGATCTATAATTAAGATCTTTATCTTATTAAAATAGGTCTTACCTCGCGAAGTTCATGAACACCTTGAGCACTTTGATTTCAAACATGAAATAAATTGGAAAACATGTGTCGACCCACATATATTCATGCTCTGCAAACCGAATGTCTATTCCGTTACGCGATTTTGATTAGGCTATGCATAAACTCGTCAGTCCAGCTAAACTTTAACTCCAATATTTCAGCCTAGTCCGGCACGGTGAGAACTGGACTTGTAAAGTCAGTTAACTCCCTTACCTTGTGAAGATGGGTGAATATCAGCTTCGTGTCTAATGGCGCTGTCATCGGAAATGACTCACATACTCATACAATTTGTATTATATCATTACAGAGCAAATAAATTTCTCGCCGCTCTATCGCTAAATTTATAAAAATTGGTGTGATTTTTAAAGTTGTGGAACCAAGTTCAATTTCGTCAAATTATCTGATTTTTCAGCTTTGTACACCACCATTCCAAGATAGACACAATTTTATGGATAACAACTTCTTTATTGTACTGTAATAGCGACGTTTCGGTATAGATCCTTATACCGTTGTCCTGCAAGACTGAATGTGTCTGTTTTGTCTGTAGAGTTTATAATTAAGGTTGTGAGTGCCGCTAATAATTCTTGTTATTATCTTGTCCATTTGGGGATGGGGGCTGTAATTGCGACTGTTGGTAGTGGGCTTAGAGTATAGTGTTTTTATCCAGGGGGAGTTAGAAAATTGTAGGAGTTGGCTATGGTTGAGGGAGCTGATGGATTTTTTTAATAGGGTTTTGACTTCAGCTTTGGATGTGTGGAAATGGATTTGGAGGGACGGGTTGGTGGTGGCAGTGTTTGCAAGGGTATGTGCTATTTGGTTACCGGGTATGTTTGAGTGGCCCGGGGACCATAGGAAGTGTATATGTTTGTTTTGTGTGGAGAGATTGTAGGTAAGATGAATAATGTTGTTAATGAGATCGGGCCGGGTTTTGGAGTGTTTGTTTTTGATTTGTGTGAGTGCGCTTAGGGAGTCATGATCAGAGATGATTAGGAAGTTGTTTTCATTTATTGTTTTAGTAGAGTGAATTGCAGTAAGAATGGCTAACAGTTCAGCAGTGTTGTTATTTGAGTGGTTAAGGTAGTGGAATTAGTGGATACGGGCGGGGTTTGATCAATGTGTATGCTTATGCTGGAAACGTGGTTTTTGTTTGGGGAAGCGTCTGTATATATGTGGGTGTATGTTGGCCAGGCCGTGTGTATGTGTGTGAATGCTAGTTTTGTTTTGTCTGTTTTGTTAAGTTTGGGTTGTGATTGGAGTAGTGTATGTATGGAGGTATCTACTTGGGGGGCGGGGAGGTCTATTATGTAATAGGGTGGTAGTGGGGTGTGAGTAATTGAGGAGAGTTTGTGGGTTTGGATTAGGTGATATAGGTGGAACATGTAAGGCGCTAGGTTGGGATGCTGCTTGAATTTATGAGCTGTGTATTTGTTGATGTCTGCGTATTTGCGTTTGATAGTGTTGAAAATGGGGTTGTGTTGAGCCCCAGCCCAGTAATTAAGTATTGTTTGTTGTATTCTGTGGGTGATAGAGAGCGTGTTGGTCATTAATAGGAGTGTAATGTGGGGGGTACCAGTCCTGGTGCCAGTGGCTATTTTTAGGGCTTTATATTGGATAGATTTAAGCTTATTGTAGTTAGAGGTGGAGATGCCGCTGAAGACCGGAGCGGCGTAGTCTATTTTTGGTTGGATTAGTGTTTTGTATATGATAAGAAGAGTTTGCTTGTCAGATCCCCAGTCGTTGCCTTTGATTGATCTCATTAAGTTTAAGTCTTTTTCACAAGAGGCGACCAAATTTGAAATATGGGGACCCCATGTTAGATGCTGGTCGAATGTAGCGCCTAGAAATTTTGCTTGTTTTTGGAAAGTAATTTCTTCATTGTTGAGATATAATTTGGGTGAGTAGTTTTGCATGTGTGGTTTTTTGAAGAGAATTCCTATTGTTTTTTTAGTGTTTATTTGGAACCCCCATTTGGACGCCCATTCTTGAATTTTATGGAGTGCAGACTGGATTTTAGTTTTTAGTATGCTAATAGAGTTGGAGGTGGCCCAAAAGGAAATGTCGTCTGCAAATTTAGCTGTAGTAATTTTGTCTTTTTTGGTATAGTTTGGAAAGATATCATCAATCATGAAATTAAATAAAGTTGGGGAGATAATACTGCCTTGGGGGGTCCCATTTTGTAGTGGGTGTGTGTCAGAGAGAGTTTGGTGGGATTTAACTATTATAGTCCTGTCTTTAAGAAATGAATGGATGAAGTTAAGAATTCTACCGTTAATATTTGAATTTTGAATTTTTTGTATAAGGCCGTCGTGCCAAACCATGTCGAAAGCTTTGCTAAAGTCTATAAAAATGGCCATAGTGTACTGTTTCGTGGATTGTGCTATCCTAACATCGTGTTCTAAATGTAAGACATGATCAAGGGTTTGTCTATTGTTAGTGAAGCCGCTCTGGTCCGGGCTTAGTAACTTATGTTGAGAGATATGTTTTTTAAGTCTGTTATTGATAATGAATTCCATAATTTTGCATATATGAGATGTGAGAGAGATTGGGAGCCATGGGATATACCTAGGTTGGTTTTTTTGAGCAAAATGGCAGCTATTATGAACTCTACTAGTTTGCTGGTGTGTGAATGAAGTTTTCGTGGTGTGATGTTGGCAGAGGGGGCTGTTTTGAGTTGTTGTATTTTATTGGCTAGGAAGTGTTTCCGATGTTTAGTGATGTAGTGTGGGACTGGCCTCTGTTGGTTGGATGTGGGGGTGGGGGTAGTGACGAGGGTGGTTGGGGGTGTGGGGAGGGGGGATGGGTTGGTTTGTTTGGGTTGGGTTTGGGAAATGACTGGGGGTGGGGGGGTGGGAAGGTGAGAGTGGGGAGGAGGGATTTGTGAGCGGGTAGTTGGGGGGGGGGGGGGGGGGGGGGGGGGACGGAGTTGATGGTTGAGTTTAGGGAGTGGTCAGAGTATGGGTAGGGGGAGTCCTCAGGGTCGTCAGGATAATATTGTAATAAGGGAATAGTGGCTGGTTTAGGTAGGTCGGACTTATTTAGGTTTTTATTTAGTTTGAGAATGTATTTCTGCTTAGTGGGACAAGTGTTTTGGTTGGAGGTGTGCCCTTCTGCATTGCAGTTGACACAATAGGGTGACCATGAGCATTCCTGGATTGCATGGTTCTCGGATCCGCATTTGGGGCAGAGTGGTTTTTTTTTACAATCTGATGATTTGTGATTGAATGAATGGCAGTATATACATTGAGGTGGGTTTTTCCGAATTGGGTGAACTTTAAAGTTGAGGGCCCCGAAGGTAATGTGGGTGGGGAGAGTGGTGGATTTAAAAGTTAAGAAGACAGTTTGTTTGGTTGGACGACCCTTGGTGTTTTTACGGTTGTTGATGGCTTTGAAATTTGTGATTTGGGGTTGGGGTTGGGGTTGGTTTTGGGATTGGTTGGCGAAAGAGATAAATTCTTGAATGTCCTCTGGGGTGTCTCTAGAGTCTAGGTAGATTACTCCTTGAATTTCAGTCTGCCAGTTGGGAACCTGTCAGTTAATGTTGAGTCCATCAATGATGGGGGAGCGGATGGCGTGATTAAGTGAAGTTTGGTCTGTGAACGTAATTTTGAACCCACGGCCGCAGGCGTTTATGAATTTGAAGTTGATTTTTGCTTTTTTGAGGCAGACTGCAAATTTATTTGGCGAGAGGGTTTCGTTAAGGGGGGTGGTAGAGTTTGCGTGGAAGGCGAGTAGTAAGAGTTTAGGCGTCTGGTTAGGTTGGGGGTTTTGTGGGGGGGGGGGGGGGGGGGGGGGTTGGTAGGTCACATGTTTTTTTGGGACTAAGTTGGTGTTCAGCTGGGGAGTTGGTTGTTCTTTTGTTGGTTTTGGTAGGTGGGTGGGGGTATGGGGGTGGGGAGGGGTTGTCTTGGGGGGGGGGGGGGGGGGGGGGGCGAGAAGGGGAAATAATTTCCAATTCTAGGCCAAAGTTGGGCGGGATGATGTTTAAATTGTGGGATTTAGGGAGCCCGGGGAATTCTTTTGGGTCCGGGGTGGAAAATATGGATGTGTATAGGAGCGGTGAGGTGATTTCCATGTTTAGTGAGAAGGAGGGGTCCATGGTTGGGTGAGGGATGGCAAATGACAATAACACAATTGAAATGAAACAACTATATACAATTATATACACAGCATGAAGAAATGTTTAGCATACAGCTGGTATTTAGACAAAAAATGGGAATGAACAATGAAGAATAATATAGTAAGGGGAGAAGGTAGGGTGACTTATCTAGTCTTTTGTCCTTTGTGAGAGTCTGTTAAGTCCTGGGGGTAGCGCTTGGTGGGGGGGGGGGGGGGGGGGGGGGGGGGGCGGCCGGCTTGGGCGTTCGAATGGTCCGAATCCCTGAGATGTTTGTTTGCTTGTTGTGAGCTGTGAGATCCAGGTAGTTGTTGACGTTGGGTTGGTGTTATAACCTCCTTAGTGTGAAGATTGATGGTTAGCCACAGGGGGTGTGAAATTCCTCTCCGGAGAAAGTCATGGGATATACCTAGGTTTGAAAGTCATGGGATATACCTTGGTTTGAAAGTCATGGGATATACCTAGGTTTGAAAGCCATGGGATATACTTAGGTTTGAAGGTCATGGGATATACCTAGGTTTGAAAGCCATGGGATATAGCTTGGTTTGAAAGTCATGGGATTTAGCTTGGTTTGAAAGTGATGGGATATAGCTTGGTTTGAAAGTGATGGGATATAGCTTGGTTTGAAAGTGATGGGATATACCTAGGTTTGAAAGCCATGGGATATACTTAGGTTTGAAAGTCATGGGATATACCTAGGTTTGAAAGCCATGGGATATAGCTTGGTTTGAAAGTGATGGGATATAGCTTGGTTTGAAAGTCATGGGATATAGCTTGGTTTGAAAGTGATGGGATATACCTAGGTTAGAAAGTGATGGGATATACCTAGGTTAGAAAGTCATGGGATATACCTAGGTTTGAAAGTCATGGGATATACCTTGGTTTGAAAGTCATGGGATATACCTAGGTTTGAAAGCCATGGGATATACTTAGGTTTGAAGGTCATGGGATATACCTAGGTTTGAAAGCCATGGGATATAGCTTGGTTTGAAAGTCATGGGATATAGCTTGGTTTGAAAGTCATGGGATATAGCTTGGTTTGAAAGTGATGGGATATAGCTTGGTTTGAAAGTGATGGGATATACCTAGGTTTGAAAGCCATGGGATATACTTAGGTTTGAAAGTCATGGGATATACCTAGGTTTGAAAGCCATGGGATATAGCTTGGTTTGAAAGTGATGGGATATAGCTTGGTTTGAAAGTCATGGGATATAGCTTGGTTTGAAAGTCATGGGATATACCTAGGTTAGAAAGTGATGGGATATACCTAGGTTAGAAAGTCATGGGATATACCTAGGTTTGAAAGTCATGGGATATACCTTGGTTTGAAAGTCATGGGATATACCTAGGTTTGAAAGCCATGGGATGTAGCTTGGTTTGAAAGTGATGGGATATAGCTTGGTTTGAAAGTGATGGGATATAGCTTGGTTTGAAAGTGATGGGATATACCTAGGTTAGAAAGTCATGGGATATACCTAGGTTTGAAAGTCATGGGAATTACCTAGGTTTGAAAGCCATGGGATATACTTAGGTTTGAAAGTCATGGGTAAAAACCTAGGTTTGAAAGCCATTGGATATAGCTTGGTTTGAAAGTCATGGGATATAGCTTGGTTTGAAAGTGATGGGATATACCTAGGTTAGAAAGCCATGGGATATACCTAGGTTTGAAAGTCATGGAATATACCTTGGTTTGAAAGTCATGGGCTATACCTACGTTTGAAAGTCATGGGATATACATAGGATTGAAAGTCAATCTCGATCAACATCATTGTCTATGATAAGAAATATATACTCCTAAAAATAACAAAAAATAACGCATATGTGTTTTAATAGAAATTCATTCTGTGACTTCTACGCAGCTTTAAAAACGATTCTTGGGACATGCATGTGTTTGGAAGTTTATAAAGTGGAGGAGAAATCTTTGTATGTCACAATAACGTCACAATCTCAAGCACTGTAACTGTAAGCCTTGTATCGTGTGTGTCCACTATCGGCCTCAATGACTGCACGAGAACTCTTGTTCGAAATCGGAACAGGATTTTATTTGAAGTCCGTACTTCAAAACCAATTTTCGTTTATATATATGTTTGACGTTTTACGTCTACTTTTGCAGTTTGGGCATTTCTCATTTCCTTGCATCAGAACAAACGGTTGTTTGGAAAAGAAGGCATTCTCCCAAACGCATCCAGTCCATATCTTGGAGACATCATTAACAGACTTGCTAACACAGATCGAGAGGGTGTTATTAACGTTCCAAAAATCGCCTCCTGGTTTTTCAACGGCCTTCTCCCATACACGTCCAATACAGATCTTAGATACATCATCAAGAGTCTTGCTGACACAGATCGAGAGAGTGTTATCGACGTTCCAAAAATCGTCTACTGGTTTTTCAAGGACAACAAGCCAGATGAGAATACTCTTGTTTTTATCACGCATGTCGGCTTGGCTCTGTCTCTGTCCCTCATCATTAGAGGAGCAGCAAATTGGGTTTTGATGTTGTGTCTGTGGACCATATACCATTTACTTGTTGACGCCGGACGGCAGTGGTAGGTAGATTTGTTTATATTAGATCTGTAGCTTCGCATTGACAAATACTTTATTGTTTAGATTAGAATTATTTTGTAAACCCTTATTGCAAAAAAATGCCTCTTGATAAAACTTTACATTGAAATATTCGCTTTGAGACTTTCAACAGTATGTATACTAAATCCCCAGTAAATAATCGTGTTTTGTTTATGTTGTAATCTTTATTACATGATTCGTTTATCTTTTATCATAGTGTTGTGTCTGTATTGTAAGAAATCTTCAAGCTGAAACATAACCAATGTTATTGTACTTTTTTTTGTAGGCACAGCTTTGGTAAGTTGATTTGTTTCTTCATATAATTTACCAGTTTAGATTTTGCTAGTCTATTGTTTGCTTAACAAAGAAACCAGTCGAATTCAATATGACAAACAATACTAAATAACTTTGAAACTATTAGGATAGAACACGTGGGTTTAACCTGCATCAGATCTCATGTTATGAATGATCATAACTGATTGTAAAACGTCTGTGTACTGCTTTTGTCCGCTCTTTTTATCATGAGTGAGTGAGTATGGTTTTACGCCGCTTTTAGCAATATTCCAGCAATATCACTGCGGGGAACACCAGAAATGGGCTTCACACATTGTACCCATGTCGGGAATCGAACCCGGGTCTACGGCGTGACGAGCGAACGCGTTAACCACTAGGCTACCCGACCGCCCCCTTTGTATCATGCCTTGGGCATCAATTAATGACATTGTCTTCCCTTAGGTTGGGAGTTTCAGCTTCTAGAGACTGGATTCCTGGCTACATTCCTGTGCCCTGTGTGGAGCCTGAGACAACCACCGACATCTCGCGCTGTCATCCGGGGGTTTAAATGGATGTTTTTCCGCATTATGTGGGGATGGGTTTGTATAACATTTCATTATTGCTAAGGAAGTAGTAAAATAGAAGAGAACATCCCGTGTGTGTTGTATCTCTGTCTGTCTGTCTGTCTGTCTGTCTCTAACATTATAGGCAGTACTTATTGTTTATAGCTCCTAGACACAAGTATTACGTTGATTCTTGGTAATCATGTTGTTGTTTTTTGTTATAGACTTAGGACAAATTCCGGAGAGATCGTGTTATTTGCTTCACATATTTCACTTGCATGAATTATCATTATCAGGTAACTACAAAGTTGTGAATATAAAACGTGAACGCCAGAGAATACCGTGTCTCGATTATTACTCGAAACAGATTCCATAGGTCGTAAAAGGATTATTATCGGTGAACATTATGTAAAAGGATCACTGAAAATCACTTATGACACCAGGTGTTCACGAAAAATGTATGCATGTCCTAACCTAGCGAGAGCACCGGCAGCCATGAATAATAAATAAATATATTTTGCATGACAAGGCCAATTCCTATCAACTACTCACGTGGCTTCTAATGGCGCAGCCATGCTATCTATGTTATAGTTTAACCTAGTTCAATGACAACTATGTTCATCAACAAAATGTAATGACTGATGATAAGAACTATATGTAAAGTTATTTTTCCCACAGACCACGCCATTTAGCTTCAACAGTGACTGTCCAAAGACGAGGGAAGACCAGATTATAAGGTATCATGTCCTTGCTCCATTTATCCTGATATTTGGACGCAGAATGGCCATCATTGCAGGAGCAATAGGCATATATTCTCAGGTATGTCCACCAGAATAATACTGAAAGTCCACAGACTATGTCTCATGTGTGTCTAGCAGGTTATGTCTCAAGCATATCCACCAGTCTAGGTCTCATGTGTGTCTGGCAGGTTATGTCTCAGGCATGTCCACCAGTGTATGTCTCAGGCATGTCCACCAGTGTATGTCTCATGTGTGTCTAGCAGGTTATGCCTCAAGCATGTCCACCAATGTACGTCTCAGGCATGTCCACCAGTGTATGTCTCAGTCATGCCCACCAGTCTATGTCTCAGTCATGTCCACCAGTGTTTGTCTCATGTGTGTCTAGCAGGTTATGTCTCAAGCATGTCCACCAATGTATGTCTCAGGCATGTCCACCATTGTATGTCTCAGACATGTCCACCAGTGTATGTCTCAGTCATGTCCACCAGTCTATGTCTGAATCATGTCCACCAGTGTTTGTCTCATGTGTGTCTAGCAAGTTATGTCTCAGTCATGTTCACCAATGTATATCTCAGTCATGTCCACCAGTGTTTGTCTCATGTGTGTCTAGCAGGTTATGTCTCAAGCATGTTCACCAATGTATATCTCAGGCATGTCCACCAATGTATGTCTCAGGCATGTCCACCAGACTATGTCCCATGTGTGTCTAGCGGGTTATGTCTCAAGCATTTCCACCAGTCTATGTCTCAGGCATGTCCACCAGTCTATGTCTCAGGCATTTCCACCATTGTATGTCTCAGGCATGTCCACCAGAGTATGTCTCATGTGTGTCTAGCAGGTTATGTCTCAAGCATGTCCACCAGTCTATGTCTCAGGCATGTCCACCAGACTATGTCTCATGTGTGTCTAGCAGGTTATGTCTCAAGCATGCCCACCAGTGTATGTCTCAGGCATGTCCACCAGTCTATGTCTCAAGCATGTCCACCAGTGTATGTCTCATGTGTGTCTAGCAGGTTATGTCTCAGGCATGTCCACCAGTCTATGTCTCAGGCATGTCCACCAGTGTATGTCTCAGTCATGCCCACCAGTCTATGTCTCAGTCATTTCCACCAGTGTTTGTCTCATGTGTGTCTAGCAGGTTATGTCTCAAGCATGTCCACCAATGTATGTCTCAGGCATGTCCTCCTGTGCATGTCTCATATGTGTCTAGCAGGTTATGTCTCAAGCATGTCCACAAGTCTATGTCTCAAGCATGTCCACCAGTGTATGTCTCAGGCATGTCCACCAGTCTATGTCTCAGGCATGTCCACCGGTCTATGTCTCAGGCATGCCCACCAGTCTATGTCTGAAACCTGACCAATTCAGACACCAGCATATTACTGAAATGTCCAACACTGTTTATCTCATCTGTGTCAACCAGTCTGGGATTCACGTGTGTCGAGCAGTCTGGGATTCATGTGTGTCGAGCAGTCCATGTCAAAGATCTGTCTAACGGTCTATGACTCATATGTGTTCGCAAGCTTATGTCTCTATCTGTGATGTTTCCACCTGTATATCTCGATCTGTGATGTTTCCACCTGTATATCTCGATCTATCATGTGTCCACCAGTGTATCTCGGTCTGTGATATGTCCACCTGTGTATCTCGGTCTGTGATATGTCCACCTGTGTATCTCGGTCTGTGATATGTCCACCAGTGTATCTCGGTGTGTGATATGTCCACCAGTGTATCTCGGTCTGTGATAGGTCCACCAGTGTCTAGGTCTGTGATATGTCCACCAGTATATCTCGGTCTGTGATATGTCCACCAGTATATCTCTGTCTGTGATATGTCCACCAGTGTATCTCGGTCTGTGATATGTCCACCTGTGTATCTCGGTCTGTGATATGTCCACCAGTGTTTCTCGGTCTGTGATATGTCCACCAGTGTGTCTAGGTCTGTGATATGTCCACCAGCGCATCTCGATCTGTGATAGGTCCAACAGTGTCTAGGTCTGTGATATGTCCACCAGTGTATCTCGGTCTGTGATATGTTCACCAGTGTATCTCGGTCTGTGATATGTCGACCAATGTATCTCGGTCCGTGATAGGTCCACCAATGTCTAGGTCTATGATATGTCCACCAGTGTATCTCGGTTTGTGATATGTCCACCAGTGTATCTCGGTCTGTGATATGTCCAACAGTGTATTTCCGTCTGTGATATGTCCACCAGTGTATTTCGGTCTCTGATATGTCCACCAGTATATCTCGGTCTGTGATATGTCCACCAGTGTATTTCCGTCTGTGATATGTCCACCAGTGTATTTCCGTCTGTGATATGTCCACCAGTGTATTTCGGTCTGTGATATGTCCACCAGTGTATTTCCGTCTGTGATATGTCCACCAATGTCTAGGTCTGTGATATGTCCACCAGTGTATCTCGGTCTGTGATACGTCCACCAGTGTATCTCGGTCTGTGATATGTCCACCAGTATATCTCGGTCTGTGATATGTCCACCAGTGTATTTCCGTCTGTGATATGTCCACCAGTGTATTTCGGTCTCTGATATGTCCACCAGTATATCTCGGTCTGTGATATGTCCACCAGTGTATTTCCGTCTGTGATATGTCCACCAGTGTATTTCCGTCTGTGATATGTCCACCAGTGTATTTCGGTCTGTGATATGTCCACCAGTGTATTTCCGTCTGTGATATGTCCACCAATGTCTAGGTCTGTGATATGTCCACCAGTGTATCTCGGTCTGTGATACGTCCACCAGTGTATCTCGGTCTGTGATATGTCCAACAGTGTATTTCCGTCTGTGATATGTCCACCAGTGTATCTCGGTCTGTGATATGTCCACCAGTATATCTCGGTCTGTGATATGTCCACCAGTGTATTTCCGTCTGTGATATGTCCACCAGTGTATTTCCGTCTGTGATATGTCCACCAGTGTATTTCGGTCTGTGATATGTCCACCAGTGTATTTCCGTCTGTGATATGTCCACCAATGTCTAAGTCTGTGATATGTCCACCAGTGTATCTCGGTCTGTGATACGTCCACCAGTGTATCTCGGTCTGTGATATGTCCACCAGTGTATTTCGGTCTGTGATATGTCCACCAGTGTATTTCCGTCTGTGATATGTCCACCAGTGTATCTCGGTCTGTGATATGTCCACCAGTGTATCTCGGTCTGTGATATGTCCACCGGTGTATTTCCGTCTGTGATATGTCCACCAGTGTATCTCGGTCTGTGATATGTCCACCAGTGTATTTCCGTCTGTGATATGTCCACCAGTGTTTCTCGGTCTGTGATATGTCCACCAATGTATCTCGGTCTGTGATAGGTCCACCAGTGTCTAGGTCTGTGATATGTCCACCAGTGTATTTCCGTCTGTGATATGTCCACCAGTGTATCTCGGTCTGTGATATGTCCCTTTAGTATATCTCGGTCTGTGATTTGACCACCAGCATATATCGGTCTGTAATGTGTCCGCCATACATTGATGTGTTATATTCAGAGCTCCAGATACGCTTTTGGTGTTGTGGGTATTTTACCCATGCATTTTGAAATCATTGGGTATCAGTAATTCTATCTGGGTTTTCAATTTTCTGTTACCCACTAGTTTTTACACATGTGGGTATTTAAGTTAAATATTTAAAAAACACTATTCATCTAGTCCCTGCAAACTGGTGTCGTGTGGGTTCGAGAGCTTTATAGGACTAAAAAATACCACGATACTTCCACAAGAATGTGTGATGGCAAATGATCATGATGTAACTGCCATCGTGCAGTTTGGCAAGGTTGACGGAATGCCCGTTTATAATTTGAAAATAATTTGCCTGATTTGCTAAACGAATACGCAGGGTTACTTCACAATATTTTGATGATACACACAAGTTTTATTTTTGTAGCGTATCTGTAATGTTCGTTGCGTATTTGATACGCTTGGATTTTATTTTACTGCGTAATTCTGCATTTCTGATGCGTATTTTACGCAGATACGCAGCTTATCTTGATCTCTGTATATGTTATATATTATATATAGTGGGCACACTAACAACCTATGATCGTGGGTTCGAATCCCGGGTCGCCCTGTTTTTTTGTGTCAGCACCATACCCGTGCTCCTGGGTTTTACCAAGGTGGTAAACGTCTGAGACCTGCATCACTTCGGACTTTCCTCTCACATTAAGTAGTGATACGACGACTGGTCAAAAAGTTCTAAGCCTGACTAACTTTCAGCTATGGGCCACAACAAATTACATTGTTTGAGTAGTTCATTGCAAGACTTAGTGTATTTGGTCTGTTGAGGATGTTAGTATATTAGTTACAGCCAGTTGAACGTGATAGGTGTCCAAATGGACACAGAAATGGAAACGAACGAGTACCTAGCAGTCATCAAGTTTTTGACTTAAGAGAAAATGTATCCCCAAGAATTTCATGACCGCATGTCACAAGTGTATTGGGATAAGACAGGCCCTAGCTATTCCACTGTTAAATGTTGGGCAGCTGTGTTTAAGACTGGAAGGACAAGCCTTGATGCTGACCCTAGGTTTTGCCAGAGAAAATTTAGAACTAACTGGGGAGGATTTCGTCAAATTCAAAAAGAGGTTAGTAACGGATGATGAAGCATGACGACAGAGATGACATCAAAGCTGTCGTGAATGGGTTTTTCAGGGTGGCTTCACAAAACTTCTTCCTGACTGGAATTGAAAAACGTGAGTCTCGACTATGTATTAAAAAAACTAGGGAGATTATGTTGAAAATGAAATAAAAAATACTTTCACAATTGTTGATTTTGTTTTTAGGCCTAGAAATAGTTTTACCAGCGCTCGTGTAACTGGAATTCTGTTCCAAACGACGTTTAACCTATTCACCCACTCACTATTTATGTGTTTCCATTGCACAGGTTTCGTTAATTTACAGTGGAGACCTGAGTCTGTTCAACTGGTTAAACATTGTTCCCTGTCTGGCATGTTTTGATGATCGGTGTATAAGTTGGCTGCTGCCCGGGCGTTTGAGGAGGCAGATAGCCTACAAGCAAGAGCTCACGCAGACAGAGGGTAAGAATTTTGTCAGTCACATTTTATCAAATAAATGTAAAATGGTTGAAAAAATAAAAAAATTATTAAAAAAATAAAATAAAAAATTTGTCAGTCATTTCGAATTCCTTATTGTCTATCAACACGGCTATATCATTATTTCCTGTTGCACTGAATCATGTACATTGACTCAATCTGATATGTTGGTGATTGTTTCAGGTCTCAAAATGTTCAACCTCGGTTTGGGATTCTTCATTATCCTGCGGAGTATTCAGGTTTTCAGCAGAACGTTTGACGATATGCTTTGGCTCGTAAATACCAATACCAAAGGGTAACTACTAACTCTGCAATTGAAGCTTCATTTCTTCATCCAAATGTATTTGATTATGTTCGAACTGTACAGAGAAGCAGATAGAAAGAATCAAGTGTTTTGGCAAACGAATATCCAAATGTGGCTCGTAAATACCAATACCAAAGGGTAACTACTAACTCTGCAATTGAATTTTAATTTCTTCATCCAAATGTATTTGGTTATGTTCGAACTGTACAGAGAAGCAGATAGAAAGAATCAAGTGTTTTGGCAAACGAATATCCAAATGTGACGCCCCAAGTACAGATACATTGCACGGATCAACATCGTTTCCGGAAACAAATATTTCAATAAGGGCATATGATCAATTGAAATTCCATGTTGGATGATAAGGCAACGGTTAATTAAGTGTGACTTCTCTGGATTGTATATCAACAGAATAGTTGTCGTTGTTCATTAGTACTTCTTATTTTGTTTGTTCCGTTACATGAAAAAGACCAAATACATCCCTTTCGTTATGAAGGGTGGCTGAAATGTTCTGAGCCAAACAACAACGGATGTATAGTGCATCCGTAACACTTTGCATGTATTAAGTACAGTGAAATCTGTCGAAATCGGACTCTCAAATTCTGAGTTCAGTGAAAACCGGACCTTTTCTTAAGTCCCCTCAGTTCCTGAATAAATTATAATTACTCAAACTTACCTGCAACTCTCTAATTTGGACCTTTTACACTTCGGGCTAAAATGTCGGTCCAAACAACCAATTTACTATTGAAAAGAAGCTGTCTAAATCGGACTGGACCAGACCGGACCGAACCGTATGTTCTCTTACTTTGAAGTAACTCAGGCACTGCCAGCATGAACTGGGCATGACAAAGGTTTCACGCACTGGACTCCAAGACTCCTGATCAGAAACGCTCCAGGTTCATCATATGTAGTGAGAATTTTCAAACAGACCGAAATGATTTGTAGAGTGAAATTTGAGTTGACCCCTATCATCACGAGGCTACACAAGGGGCAAGGCAGCGGAAACGTATAAGTAAACATTCCAAAAGAATCCTACTGGTGGACTACCTCCTGAGATGCCAGACCATTAATGGCTAATATCTGCTTATAGGGCTACCGCGTGAGACCATCAAGGCTATGCTTGGCCTGAAACTCTCTATAAGTGTGCTGTTCCACTTTACACAAGTCTGTGGCTGCAATGCATAAATGTGGCTTTCAACATCCCCCGTTTTCAGCAGATTTTCCACAGTAATATATGAGTAATCCACCTCCTCCACAATTTGAAGAAACATTTGTCAAACATTATGCGGCCGCCACATATCTCTTTGGACAATTCCATGGTCATTTATGCATGTGCCCATGTCTGCATATGGCCTGAGCAGCGATCAGCGCAGTCGGGGTACGACGACACATAATGGACCGAATTCAGCCTCATAACCCGATCCTTTTGATCACCCCTTACAACCAGCATAGGAGACCCACAAGATGTATGTATACAGTGTCACATACAGAAATATCGACCAAACATATCCTACGACCATTGATATCACATATAGGGATTAACGACCAAACATATAAAACGGCCATTGATATCACATACAGAGATAAAGGTTAAAACATCTCCAGCGACCATTGATATCACATATATACAGAGATAACGACCAAACATATCCAACGACCATTGCTATCACATACAGAGATAACAACAAAGATATAGCCAACGACCATTGCTATCACATTCAGAGATAACGATTAAAACATCTCCTACGACCATTGCTATCACATACAGAGATAACAACAAAAATATAGCCAACGACCATTGATATCACATACAGAGATAACGATTAAACATATCCAACGACCACTGACATCACATACAGAGATAACGATTAAAACATGCCCAGTGTCTCGTATATCACATGGCAAAGATAACGAAAATGTTTAAATATATATATAACTCATATACCATTATACAAGTTGGTTAATATATGAAGAATCACTCATATTCAAGAGATATTAGATTGGTTCGACGCACAAACGAACATACTGGTACGTTGTGGGAACCGACGCTCATGAACGTATCACATGTGACGTCATAGATCCATGGTGCACCATTTGTCTCGTGCAGAATTAGCGTGTAAAGTTTGGAAATCACGTGCAGCATATCGTGATAAGAACACACCAGAAATGGGCTTCACGCTTTGTACCCATGTCGGGAATCGAACCCTGGTCTTCGGCGTGACGAGCGAACGCGTTAACCACTAGTTTACCCGACCGCCCTAATCCTTGAGCTTGTAAATGGGTAGCCTCACGTTTCCATCAGACAAAATCAAGTGTTCCTTGAGTCGATAAAAGAAGAGCCCAAATCGTCACACCCTTACCTTGAAAAAGAACGTCACCAATAACGTCATGATCGTAGTTAAAGAACAAAACATATCGTGCCAGTTCAATGCCTATCCTTGGTGTTTGGGTGATGGTGTTGCACGTTTCGGTTGTGCCCTATTTCGATTAAATGTTTGCACTGATGCCCTGATTTGTGTGTTTTTCTTTTTGAAAAAATATATTAAGTAGAAGGGGGTGGTGCGTGCGTGTGCGTGCGTGTGCGTGCGTGTGCGTGCGTGTGACTTAGGAGGAAGTGTTGTAGGCTAGTATGTGGTTGCTGAATCTGTAGCATATTTTAAGTAGTGGTGAGACCCTCAAACGACCGACATACCCCTGCCCATAGAAGAACAAAGCAAACTTGGATTTTCTTTGTGTTTTTGTATCAGAAAATGACAGTTGGGGTCAAATGTTTTGGTGGCAGATACTGTTTTGGGGGTCAAAATGCACATTTCTGTTGGGAAATCATATAAAGTCTCTAAAAACTGTACTGTGTGTATTGGGTCATTTGTTTGATAGTTTACACGTAGTATATTTGAATTAATAATTAGTAAACCTATAGCCTCGCACAAATTTAGTAATTAGTGAAAATAAGCCAACAAATGGTGAATTTTATGCTATTTTCCTTTTCCAATTATACGAAAATGAACCGCAATGTAATATTAGTATTATCAACCATGCCATTTGATATCTCAAAATATGCCGACACGTCTTGAGATGAGATGGCAGTGTTTATATTCCACATAACTTTTACGATTTTTGAAAAAAATGTTAAAATTTTATCCCACCCCCTATTTTGTCAAAAAGTGCAATTTTGGTTCCCATTGTTAATTCAATGAATAATAGCTTTATACAACACGTACCTATCACCGTTTGCAAATTCATTTCTATATAGGATATATTGAAGCCTGAAGGTTTGTCTAAAATCAATGATTTCTTAACCACTGTAGAGATCAATTTGAAGGTCAATGTCTCTTTGAAGGTCAAGTTTTACATCAATGCATATACTGTACAACAAAATGCTACAGAGGCACATACAGCTACCATTACTGATTCTGGGTATACTTAGTAAAGCCCTACAGTGTGTACGAAGAAACCAACAAAAAATGAGCACAACGAAAAAACTACTCCCCCTCACAAATGGACCAGCAGATGCTACTGTGGACGCAGACTCCACCTCAAGACACACAGGTATGTTATTCTCAGAATCTGTCATTTTAATAAAAATAAATATGAATACACTATTGCTCTCAATACCCAAGGAGTGCACTATTGTGATAATATTTGTAATTACATGGATTCTTCATAAGAGAAAGTCGCTTAAACGACAAAACGCGTACAGTTCAGTATGACAAGACTGTGAAAAGTACTCAAATGTAATAGCAAATGAATATGACCGAGATATAACCGAGACATATTTTTATTCATGCATATGTTGCTGTGCAGCCATGCTGCGTTCCAAACAAGCGTCTGCACTTGTACACAGCAAGCAGACCATTGGTAATGAAAAGACAGAGATCATATTCGATGACTAATTATAAACAGGGATAATAAGGATACATCGTGTTACACTGCTTGGAATCTCATTAAAATCAGATCTTAGTTCTCGATGTTTTGTTTGGCGGCAGCGAGAACTCAGATCTGATTTTAATGAGATTGCAGTGCTAGGGACCCAAGCTTCAGTGGCGTAATTGTACAGAGGTCGGATAATCGAGACTGGGTATTCTCTATTGTTATTTGTAAGTGAATCGGGAAAGGCAGTTGCATGCTGGTAATTGTGACCAAGAAGCACGCAATGTTCCTATGGTGATGGCTGGTTATAAAAAACAGCTTTTTGACGATGTGAGACGAACCTGCTGTCGAATATTAAATGAGTTTCAGTATATTTTACCACATTACTGTTGTTGTTTAATATACAGCCTTTGAATAACGAACCCGGTATACTGGCTTGTTTTTCGTTATTCGAAAAACGAATAACGAATAACGAACCCGCTGCTAACTTCAGGCCCCTGACTGAAGCCACAGTAACCTTCACACGCTAAGCCTGGTTTATACGGACAGTGGCTACCAGTAAAGAATCACGTAGTTTGAACCATCGGTTATCTTAATTAACAAAGCAGGCTCTGTAAGATATTTTATAAAAAAAAATTTCCATCTGTATAAAATCGTAAAAAGTTGAGTTGTTCGGGGCATTTTTCTTCGCGAGGACACAGTGGACACTTTTGCCAAGGAGTCAGTGAGTGAGTTTGGTTTAACGCCGCTTTTAACAGTATTCCAGTTATATCGCGGCGTGTCAGCTTAATGTGGGAGGAAAGCCTGAAATGATGCATGGCTCAGACGTTTACCACTTCGGTGAAACCCACGAGCACGGGTTTGGTGCTGACAAACCTAGAAACATAATCGGGGAGAACCGGGATTCGAACACACAATCATAGGTTTCTGGCGTACCCAAGGGACGCAACTCTGCACAGCGAATCGCGGCGCCTTAGACGACTGGGCCACCCGTGCCCCCCTTTTGCCTAGGAAAGATGGGAGCATTTGTAGTTTATTATTTGTCGGGGTAGACTGCCGTGTGGCAATGGTTTAGTACTTGCACTTAAAGTAGTAAAGTAATCATTCGCAATACTCTTTATGCAGTTTCAGTTGAACACATAACAAAAGTAGGAATCGCGGGCAGTGCTATAACCTTGATGGCGTGGGTGGACGCACTCACACAATGTTTTTTTGTGTGGTTTTTGTTGTTGTTTAACAAAACAAAGCAATATTCCAGCTATATGGCGGCGGTCTGTAAATAATCGAGTCTGGACCAGACAAGCCAGTGATTGACATCATGAGAATCGGTCCATCAGTTGGGATACAATGACATGCTTTAACCAAGTCAGCAAGCCTGACCACCCGATCACGTTGGTCGCCTCTTACGACAAGCATAGTCGCTTTTACGGCAAGCATTAATTGCTTAAGAGTTAGTCTACCCCGGATCTTCACGGGTCGCTCACATAATGAGTATTGCCCAATCATTGTGAAGGTATAACGTGTGCGTGACTGATAATTTAGATCGCATACAGACGTTCATTTTGGCTTTACGATTTAACACGTTAATGATATTTTTGTAGTGTCCGATTTTCATGTACAGCGAACATCTAAATATTGAATAGCATTGACACAAATCACATTTATTGGACTGATAAACCGTAAATGTTCGATCATATATTTTTCAGAGTTTCCCACTTGGTTAACTGGTTAGTAAATTTTTTTAATAAATATTTGATACCAGTAAAACAGACTAGCTGGTTTGGTCATTAGGGCCCATGTGTCTGGTGAACACGGATCAATGTTTGGCAATTTTAAAAAAAACCCGGAACAGTGAAATGTCGATCGAAATCAACAAGCAATTTTCTTAGTGAAAATGTTCTTATTTCATTTTTTAATAGTTATTAGCCAGTCATGATCGTGGCCATGGCCGTTCTGTTTGTGCAACAAAATCATAATCTGCATGAGCGAAGCATAAAATATTTAGCGGTCAGCAATAGGGTATAGAGAGATAGAGGTTCGGAGTTACCTACCTTAGAAAGATTTGTTTGGATCCACGTTTGTTCGCTTTCCAGGAGATATAATCATTTCCTCCAAAATGAGCGATGCACGTGCGGAAAGAGAATTCAGAGGGGAAGGTGTTAGGAAAAGGAGACAAAAAAATGAGAAACTAAAAGAATCAGAAGACGGTACAAAACAGACCGTTGACAGTAAATCACGCCTTAAAGAGCCGGAAAACAACACCGCTGGCGCTGGGCTCCAAAGGGGGACCTTTTGGTTGACAAGAATTGTCCTTTTGAGATATATTGGATTTATTTACTGTAAGTGTGCCCGTCTTATAGATAAGCTTATATATCTATATAATGTGTGTTAATAGTTCCTGAGTGGTTTTTCCTACGTCGAACATTGCTTCCTAGTCCTATATTACCAGCTGATTAGGCCTACTATTAGATATGTTAGTTCAGAGGGTGACCTGTCATTTCGTATTCCGGTAGTTACGTCACCCAGTAGTTTCGTATTCATTGTGTCATTTCATAACCAGGATGTTTCCTAGTCCTGGTTCAGTTATAGTATCTCATTTAGTTTTTTCTCTAAATCTTCCAAGAGTAAGGTGCTTGATTATCATAGTTCACGGACATGCCCTTTGTCATTCATCAACAAAGTATCAGGTCCATGCAGGGAAAGCTGTGTCCTCGTCATGTGAAATCATAAATAAATAAAACAACACTTTCATATTACACTTGTAAAATTATCTTTGATCTAGAACCCTTTAGATTTGAAAGATGCCACTTTACAGTCTTCAAATAAAAATGATATAAGTAATGAAATAAAAAAATGATGAATATCACTTTCCCTTTATCGTATTTATGCTTGTTAAAAAACACTCTAGAAAAGATAAAGAGCAACATACTACACAGCTCATGGTGCCCTGATTAATTGTTTGTTATGCATGTCATGATGTAGTCTACAGCAAAAACTGGAAACCTGAGCTCATGTATGACATGTATACAGTACTATCTTTAATTGTATTAAGGGGGCACGGGTGGCCCAGTCGTTTAAGGCGCCGCGATTCGCTGTGCAGAGTTGCGTCCGTTGGGCACGCCAGAAACCTATGATTGTGGGTTCGAATCCCGGTTCGCCCTGATTATGTTTCTAGGTTTGTCAGCACCATACCTGTGCTCGTGGGTTTCACCGAAGTGGTAAACGTCTGAGACCTGCATCGCTTCAGGCTTTCCTCCCACATTAAGCTGACACGCCGTGATATAACTGGAATACTGTTAAACATGTTAAAAGCAGCGTTAAACCCAACTCACTAATTGGATTAAATATCTTGATTCAAAATACCTTGCTTCATTTACAAACAAGATTAAATTTTGAGGCTTATGTGGTGGCAGAATAGTCTTATAAATCAGAATTAATGGTTTCATTATTGTTTATAATTTGTGTCATGTTTATGTTTACTTTCACAGTTGTGGCATTTCTTGTTGCACTGCATCAGAACAAACAGTTGATTGGAAAAGATGGCCTTCTTCCAGCAAATAAATATCTCAACAACATCAAGAACAGAGTTGGAGGAATTAAACAGGACATGTTCATCCAGTGCCCAAGTATCATCTGGTTGTTCAACTACAACACACACCTGGATCAGATCCTCGACTCTCTGGCGTACACAGGCTTGGCTCTGTCTCTGTTCCTTGTCATACGTGGAGCTGCAAACTGGTTCATCATGTTGGCGCTGTGGGTGATTTACCACTCCATTGTCAGTGTTGGGCAGCAGTGGTAGGTATATTTATGCACAGAAGGAATACACTATGTTTTTTAGGGATGTCATGATACAACTATCCCCTGATACGATATGTATCGCGATACTTTGTTCATGATATGATACATATCATGATACTTAATTCATTTAAAACACCATTAAAAAGGCTTGAAACTTCCGGAATATCGGGTTTGAAAATAGAAATGTCCCATTTCAATCAGTTCTTAATTTCAGATAAAACTTGAGTGTAATCACCAGTTAGAAAATGACTAGAACAGAATATAAGTATTAAAACTGGTATGTACACAGCTGTACACTGTGCAATGTTGATACAACATATATTAATAATTTTAGATTATATATTAAAGTGTAGGTAGGACCCATGTCGCCAACAAAGTAACTCAATACCAAGATTATGATTCGATACAGCATTAAAATATAAACCGTTACAGGTAAATCAGTATTAAATATCATATGGTCTGAGAATATTATCTATATCGTCAGTATATATAGGTGTATCATGACATCGCTAATGTTTTTTTTAAAAATGATTTTAACAAATACATGATATATTTTTAGGAAATCACAAAAAGACATATTTATGTAGTATTAGACAAAATATGCACACTGTATGACAGCATGTTGTAGAGCGTTTATGACATTGTACAACTTCTAAGATCCTGATCTTTTCAGCATGTTCGGTAATTCTCAAGCAAGAAATTTACATGTTCTATTACTGATCACTATAAATTTATGACTTTAAGTAAGGATTTCTGTTAATCATATCTGACAGGTTTTAGTGTGCATTTTTACTTATTTATATGTGTATGTATGTATACATGGTATACCCAGCAGTAATTATTTGAATGACATCAGCAAACCATTTTCTTATATGTGTTATTTCCCTTCCTTTCAGGTTCAGCTTTGGTAAGTTGAATTTACTTTTGATGTAACTCTTTGTTTCATAATATGTCTTCCATTCCTGGGGATACTGGGTAAGAATATATACTGTAGGTCCCTGACAACCTATGCTTGTAAGAGGTGGCTAAATGGCCGGGCCAGGGTCAGTGACTTAGTTGATCATGTTGATTACATGTCAAATATCCCAACTGCATAGATCGATGCTTGTGATGTTATTCACTGGAATGACTGCCCAGGACTTGATTATTTAACCCATCACATAGTTGGAATATTGCTGACTGGGCGTAAAACAATTACCATTCCATTCTGTGTAGAGTATCAAGTTTTTTTAAATATCAGTAGGGGTTAACTTGTTCAGCAATCAATTATAGAGGCATTCTTCTTCCATGTTAAGACACATACAGACAATTACTAATTCTGTGTAATACTGATTTTGTTCACAGAAAATTGAAGTAATTTGTCAATTGGGTGAGAGACTGTGTTCATCCGCAGCATTTCTGTTTGGATAGGTTGGGAGTCTCAGCTCTTGGAGACTGGCTTCCTGGCTATATTTCTGTGTCCTGTGTGGAACCTGTCGACCATTCCGCAGCACACGCCCACATCTCTCATCATCATCTGGGCATACAGATGGCTCATTTTCCGCATCATGTTAGGAGCGGTGGGTATTAGGTTTTGTATTCAAAAGTAAACAGTGAAACAAGTTGGAAAGAATATGTTCTCCATCCTCCTCTGTATCTCCAGGGTTCCTATTTTGGTAAACCTACACTAACACTTGGATCCAATCCCGTGCTTCTTGCAATATCAAATTATCCGCCAAATTATTACCAAAATGCAATGCCTGAAGATATAGAAGGTATACAAACACACAAATAAACAAACATAAGACACCTGAACTGATGAGATATGATTTGTTTTCCATCTGGATTGTGAAGTTAACTGATATTTTTATATTTTTTTATCTATTACTTTTATCTGGATTGACAGGTCAAACGTCAAAATGTTATATTATTATAAAAGAATGCTTTTCCCCAAAAAATAATGCAAATACAGACCAATTACAACAGATTTAATTCTTAATAATGCTGTTGTGTGACTTACAACAATTATAAGGCCTCAAATTTGATTTTAAGTGTTTAACTCATATTTTGTTACCAGGGTCTGATAAAGATCAGGGGAGACCAGTGTTGGAGAGACCTCACTTGTATGAACTATCATTATGAGGTGAGATTGTACCGTCATGTCGTCTGTGTTTTCATGTTGCTATGCTGTGATTATCAGAAAGGATGTGTGAAATATTTGTACAAGGTCAATATTTATGCATTCTTTTTCCTATTTAAAAAGGAGGCCAAGTTGTCTGAGGCACCACAATTCGCTGTGCAGATTTGTGTCCATTGGGAATGCCAGAAACATATGACTGGGGGTTCGAATCACGGTTCACCCCGATTATATTGCTAGGTTTTTCAGCACCATACCTGTGCTCGTGGGTTTCACCAAAGTGGTAAACGTCTGAGACCCATGAAATTCCAGCCTAGTTTTGGCAAGGGTGGAAACTGGACTTTCATAGTCAGTTGACACCCTTGCATCAAGAAGATGCATCAAGAATGTGAAGCTGACTTCAGTCGAATAAACTCACTCACTTCTTGAACAAAGCCATGATGTTGCAGACAGTCACATAAAACTATCTCTGTAGTTTCAGAAAATTCATAATTATCTGAGATATTATGTGAGATACATGTACTATGTCAATACTTACTAGTACTGTAGGCCTGTGAAGATCTTGAGTAGAATAGGTCTTCAGCAACCCATGCTTGCCGTGAGAGGCTACTATGCTTGTCGTAAGAGGCGACTAACATGCATGTCATCGTATTCCAATTGTGTGGATCGATGCTCATGATGTAAATCACTGGCTTGTCTGGTCCAGACTCGATTATTTACAGACCGCCGTCTTATAGCTGGAATATTGCTGAGTGCGGTGTTAACCAACAAAAAAACAACAAAAAACAACAAACAAACAAATAGTACTGTATATTCCCGGGTTTTCTTTGTGAGACTTTGTGTTTCTCAATTACAAAGATTTGATACGTAATCAAATTTCTACAAATGTTCAGTGGCATTAAAGTTGTATTTGTTGTCAGACCCAGCCGGTGCCGAACCCCCTGAGTTACTACCTGCATCAGTCTCCCGAGCTGATACACAAGATGGAGACACTCAGCAACCACTTCATCGAACTTGTGGCCCCATTCTTCCTGATCCTCGGACGGAGAATGACCATCATCGGTGGAGGAATACAGATCTTCTTTCAGGTGTGTCAAAGCAGCTATTCTCACACAAAGCATCATCGAAGCAAGAATAATACTATTTTGGATACCTGTATTTCGAGTATTTATTTATTAAAATATGTCAAAAATTGTATTCAACACCCTTTTTAAAACTTATCGGAATATTTATGAACACTCGTTAAAAGACTCAAATGGATTGGGTGGTCATCAGTGCCTTGGCATGCCATCGTATATGAAATGATGATGATGATGATGATGATGATGATAACATGGCTCATTGCTCATTATTTTGTTGATCCAAACTCAATTATTCACCGGCCACCGTAATATGGTTGGAATATTAATGACTGGCATAAAACAACATTCATTCACTCACTCCATCATACCTGATTGATATGAAATGTGTTCTTGTTGAATAAGGCCATATATAAATATAGGTTTACATGGTTTGGTGGACAAACAATAGCTTGTGTATGCCAACAATGGTCAATCTTAATATCTCCTAATTTTGTGTATAGTGAAGGATGTGACATGTATTTGTAATTACTTATATCAGAAAAGGCTTTGTTTACATACATGCCCATTATGACTGATTTATAGTGGCCAGATACTACACACAATGCTTTGATCAGTTAATATTTTACTTTTTCTAACTCAACAAAACATCATCTTCCCGAAGCAAGGGACTTAACTGACTATAAAAGTCCAGTTTCCACCCTTGCCAAACTAGGCTGGAATTATGGAGTTATATTTTGGCTGGTCTGACGAGTCTATGCATAGTCTAATCAAAATCGCATAACAAAATTGACATCTGGTTCGTAAACTGCCATGCAGATTTCTGTCAATTGCAGGATTTGCAAAGCACGTGTACCATCAACTTAGCGTCAACAGATATTATTAAAATCTTTTCATGTTCCTAATCAGGGTGCTCCCATGATTTGATGCGCCTCAAGAAGTAAGACCCGTTTTATTACAATATAGAACTTGATTATCGAATAGAGCATCTTAACTGGGCACCGCCATTTTGTTTGAAGCAAATGCAAGGGAAATGAGAGGTGGAATCTGATCTGTCAATAGGAGGGACATAGAAGGGCCTTAACTCGTTTGTTTGTTTGTTTGTTTGTTGTTTAACGCCATACTCAGCAATATTCAAGCTATATGACGGCAGTCTGTAAATAATTGAGTCTGGACCAGACAATCCAGTGATTGACATCATGAGCATCGATCCACGCAATTGGGATATGATGACATGCATCAACCAAGTCAGTGAGTATGACCACTCTTATGACAAGCATAGTCATCTTTTGCCCAGCGGTCATTGCAATGCTGGGTTGTGTTCCCTGTATGTTAAGGTTTGTGTCCTTTCCTGTGTCTTTGTCAAGTTGAAATTTGATTTTCTAGTACAGAAATAAGGGCTGGTATTGTAGCCAAGTGACTGTTGGACATGGCTGGGCTGTGTTCCCTGTATGTTACAGTTTGTGTCCCCCTGTAAGTGCTGTTTGTGTTGCAGGTTGTGTTAATCACCAGCGGTAACCTCAGTTTTCTCAACTGGTTGACCATTGTCCCTAGCCTGGCATGTTTTGATGATCGCAGTTTAAGTTGGATGTTCTCTGGGGGTTCTCGGTCTGTCAAGTGTCAGGTAGCCCAAATACAACACCAGACTGAAACTGGAAAAGTGACACCTAAAATGGGTAAGCCTGTCAGTGTTTCGCTTAATGTCATAGAATTGTTGACACATAAACCATCGGTTGATTTGTGACACAGTTTAGTTAAGGATGTAATGAGTGTCACATAACAAGATATTGAAATATTTGCAGGTGGTTATATCAGACGTGTGTTCAACATCAGCTTCGGCCTCCTAATCGCCTATCTGAGTGTCCCTGTCGTCCAGAACCTCCTCTCACAACGTCAAGCCATGAACACATCGTTCGATTCCCTGCGGCTTGTCAATACATATGGAGCATTTGGAAGGTAATCAGGGGAATCCGAGGAGGGTAACTAATAATTCTGACAGTCTCCAGTGGAGGGTCATGAGTGAGTGAATTACACTACCCCATTTCCCCAAGTGAAGGTTTTGGACAACCAAAAGACGATGCATAATTGTGAGTGAGTGAGTACGGTTTAACGCCGCTTTTGACAATATTCCAGCAATATCACGGCGGGGGATACCAGAAATGGGCATCACACATTGTACCCATGCCGGGAATCGAACCCGGGTCTTTGGCATGACGAGCGAACGCTTTAGCCACTAGGCTACCTGACTGCCCCTGGAGGGTCATGAAAAATAATACATGTATTAGGAGAATGTCACTTTTTTCAGTATGATAGTGTATCAAACCCCTCTGTAATAATTACCAGTCCCTCAGGAAGCTGAACTTTTGCATGTATTTTCCTGTGACATCATATTTGGTTCAGATCATTAGATTTTAGTGGAATTTTTTAGTTCTATTTGACTGTCAAATCTGACTTTCCTGCAAGCATGTCTATCTTTATTGACATTTTAACTGTTGGCTCCATATCCAGGTGAGCTACAGTGCCCGTCACAGTCACAACTTTTGTGACATGTTTAGCACATCATGTGAATATGTGAATTTATCAATTATTGTTATGTCTTATATACCAGTGGAAAAAACAACACATGTGTAATGCCTTGTTAAGACAGTGACATATTTATGACACCTTTCAGTGTTACCAAGGAGAGAACAGAGGTCATAATACAAGGGACCTCGAGCAGTGACCCCAGCGACCCCGGTGCCAAGTGGCTGGAGTATGAGTTTAAGTGTAAGCCTGGCAACATCAAGCGGCGGCCGTGCATTATCTCCCCTTACCACTACAGGATGGACTGGCTTGCATGGTTTGCAGCTTTCCAGGTGTGTACTCCATAGTAGCATTTCAATCCGATGTTTTACTCTGATATGATACCTCTCTGGGCACATGTCCATAGGAGGTCATGTTCTCATGAGTTGTCATGGAAACCCTGAGGGTTCGCCCCTTGCCTCTGTGGTCTAGTGGGGTAGAGCGTCTGCCTGGAGACTGTAACGTCCGGGGTTGGATCCCCGACCGCGTCATACCAAAAGACGTTATAAGATGGTATTTGTTGTTACCTTGTCTGGTGCTCGGCATTAAGGGGCTTGTAGTCTGTGTCTGAGTGGGGTATTCATGTTAAACTGCAGCATGGTATTTCACTATAGCACTATACATTTGGCATCAGTCCGGACTAGTACAAGCAGCCACACACACATGTACATGCATGTCGCTATAGAAGTGCAATAACCTTGGACACGACATTAATCGCCATTTCACCTTACCCCAGATTTCTAAAACAATTCAGCTGCATTTCTTTACCACCTCAATGTGGAAATTCGTGAATTTGGATTTCAGCAAAATAAAAATGCAACAGAACACAAACATACCCTTGATACCACACCCAGCTTAATTTTGTTGCATTCGGAACACCACTTTTTGTCTTTGTGTTAGAGATACAGAAATCATATCTGCATACTGAGAATTTAGAATCACTGACGCTGATTGGCTGATTTGAAAGTTCACCTGGTACAACATTGAGTTGACTTGAGATCTTAATTTAGAGAAGTATTGAATCAGACTAATAGAGATTGATGTATTCCATGATTCATTATGTGTGTAAACACCTAAGTAAGGGCATTTTAAGCTCTTATTCAACTTATTTATCTTTCTACAACTCCCAACTTGTGATTGACTTTCAGCAAGTGATCCATGTTTTATGTGTAACCCATTCCTATATGCCATAAACTATAAAGACCCCAGGCCCCCCCGTTATTTTCCAACACTGCATTGATTATCCAAATATTATGTCAACTGCAGGTGAACACCCCCCTCCCCCCCCCCCCAAGCGTGTATTAAGCACCTTCCCAAGACAAGAGAGTTAACTGACTACAAAAGTCCAGTTTCCACCCTTGCCGAACTAGGCTGGAAGTCCTGGGCCCGATCGTAGCGCCACCAGTGGATATTACGAATTATGTCCCTTCTTTTTCTCCCCTATCAGATTCTACCTCTCGTATGACTTGCATTTGTTTAAAACAAAATGGCGACGCCCACTCAGGACGATCTGATCTAACATCAGTATCTATATTGTGATAAAAAGGGGCTTACATCGTGAAGTGCATCAAATCATGTCAGCACCTTGATTAAAAACATGAAAAGATTAGGAAAATATCTGTTGACAATGAGTTGGCGGTGCACATATTTTGCAAATCCTGCAATCGACCAAAATCTGCATGACAGTTTACGAACCGGATTTCGATTTTGGTGCGCGATTTTGATTTGACTATGCATAGAGTCGTTAGTCCAGCCAAACTGTTACTCCATAATACCAGCTAGTTCGGCAAGGATGGAAAGTGGACTTTTTAAGTCAGTTAACTCTCTTGCCTTGGGAAGATGGTATTCATGAAAATAAGATCACTCTCTGATAAATAATTCAACAGTATGGGAAGCATGTACAAGGAGGCCCGGCAACTCATGGCGCACTGTTTCAGTGACAGCTTCCGTGCAACAGTCATGAGCATTACGTGGCGGCCATGTTTGTTGTTCAGGATGTATTATTACCTGAAAAACAAAGATTGAAAGTTATGATAAGAATTATACATGTGAATCTAATCTGAGCCCTCTGTTCCAGAACTATCAGTACAACCCCTGGCTGGTGCATGCTGCCATGAAACTACTGATTAATGATGAAGGCACGACGTCACTGATTGCTCACAACCCATTTGAAGATCGAACACCACCGAAGTATGTAAATACCGGTAGTTATCAGCAGGGCTGGCTATTGATATCTATAGATCATTGAGATCAATTATCGATAAATATCAGAGAAGCTTTAAGCAAATATGCAAGAAAGTCCCGAAAGAAACCAACCTATTTCACGCCACTGGTGAGCAGTGACACATTTAGGCATGGATTACTTTGTTGACATTTGTGATGTAACAAAAACAGTTCTTTCCGTCTTCGACAATTAACATTATTGGCAATGACAAGTCTGTTTCGGTAAATCTAAACTTTATTTCATCACAATAGTTTAAGTGAGTTATTATTGATGACAACAGTTTCATTTGGATACTCATTAATATTTCTTCCCATCGACGATAATTCTGATTATCAATCTTTTTAGCCAGCCCTAGTTATCAGTATGGTGTTATTTAGCATTGTTTAGTATTCTCTAAGGATTTTCACAGTTATTAAAGATTATATTCATGTAAAATCAGCAAGATCAGATTGGTGTATGATATATATATTTCTGATATCCATCAGTTTTTTACCTTCCAATTCTAATGTAGAATGTTTGGTCTGATTTACAGTTTCTGTTACTTTTACAAATGCAATGTATGTAGTACTGAACACTAAGCACACATTCACTCGTTCATTACTATATGATACCAGCCAAATGTCATCACAATGTTATGTGTACACAGATATCACAAAAGCCCATCTTCCCGAGGCAAAGGAGTTAACTGTCTGTAAAGGTCCAGTTTCCACCCTTGCCGAACTATGCTGGAATTTCATGGCACGATTGTAGTGCCACAAGTGGCTATTATGAGTTATGTCCCTTCTATTGACCAATCAGATTCCACTTCTCATATAACATGCTTTTGCGTCAAACAAAATGGCGGTGCATTCACAACTTTCTGATCGATCATCAAGATATATATTGTAATAAAACAAGTCTTACCTCGAGAAGTGCATCAAATCATGTGAGCACCTTAATAAAAAACATGAAATGATTTGGAAAATATCTGTTGACGGCCAGTTGACGGTACACATCTTTTGCAAATCCTACAGTCAACCGAAATATGCACATTGAAATCCTTGTTTACGAACCGGGTTCGATTTCATTAGGCGATTTTGATTAGACTATGAATAGACTCATTAGTCCAGCCTAGTTCAGCAAGGTTGGAAACTGGACTTCTACAGTCAGTTAACTCCCTTGCCTCGAGAAGATGCAAAAGCCATACTCAGCAATATGTTTCTAAACATAACCGCTCAGTGTGGCACTACAATGGAACCCTTGTCACATGGACTGGTTTCTGACTATTAGTTCTTCAACAAACTTAATGATATGCAGTCCTTTCAGGATCTGTTCTCAGGAATCTATTCCTTACCTTGTAAGCATACGAGCCAGGCTAACACCTTTGGTTATGTGTTAAGATCTCGGATCAGAAGGTCCATGGTTCGAATCCCATCATTGGACTAGGAAAGTTCATGGCCGCTACATTGGCGCCCAATGTTGGGCTGCGCATGTTCATATTGAATTTGAGAAACATAGATCAGAGCACCCTACTATGATGTGCTTTCTGATGATGGGGGAGTAGGGGATGGAGTCACCACACAGATGACATCTGTACCTCGTCAGCTTGCTGGACAGGTTAACCTCTTGTGGATAAGACATCTTCTGACCTTGGATCAGAAAATCCTCAAAAAAACATTATGGCTGCTACATTAGCAAATAAGGCCAAGAAAATAATAGTCTTGGTTCCCAGACACCACCCGCATCATAAAGTCTGCAGCACGTTTCCATTTAGAAAAAAAAAAAAAATAATCCTCATATTTAATAACAATGCGATCCAATATAGCACACCCTAACTTCCCTTTACATGTGCACTGCTTTACTGCACATCTTGTGTTATGGTGTTATTTTTTTAAGCCTCAACCTGTTGGGACTGACTGCTCAACATTGAATATTTTCGCCTATTTTGCATGGTACTAAAGATGAATGTCCATGTTTGAAATATTTAATATCAAAATAAAGACAAAGCTTGTTAAAAAGACAGTCCCATTTATCCATGTAACAATCCAAGCAAACAATTACGCTATATACTTGCAGGTTTATCCGAGTCGAACATTACAGATATGTCTATACAAAGGTTGGAAGCAGGGAAGCCAAGTCGGGAGCCTGGTGGCGCCGTAAACACATCGGAAACTATCTGCCGCCAATATCGCTGAGAGCTGCACGAGACATCGCCAGACAGATGGACTGGGACATACCTAGATTGAAGAGAAAGTAACCATGACAACACTGCAGGGAAACCTGCCGGTGTACTTAGTGTTGATGTCTGCTTCCAGGGGAGGAGATTATTGTTTCAGAGTTTTTATTTCTTTTGAGCTTCAACTTTATATGAATGATTCTTTGAAGGAATTTTTTTCCATCAATCTCATTAAAATCAGATCTTAGTTTTCGCTAACGCTAAACAAAGATCTGAGGACATCCCATAACGGGTCACGTCAGAACGACCTTTCGCGAACTTTGACCAACCAATGAAATGACTGACAAGAAATTGACATTAGCCAATCAGAAGGCAACTTTCTTGAGCTTTACGACACAAGTTTCAAACTGGCGACTACGCTTCGAAACATATTTTGACGTATTCTCGTCTAAAAAAATTTAAACTGATGAAAAGAACATTCTGGAATGGCTTATAGATGGTCTAGATTGTATGGATATAATCAAAAAACCTGTAACTGTCGTTCGGAATACCCTCTGTTAAATTTTTAGAAAACACATTCCGTCCGTCACTTTCTTGATCTGGTAAGCGACGCTCTGATTGGTTGGATGAAAGGTCGTTCTGACGTGACCCGTAATGGGATGTCCTCAGATCTTTGCTAAGCGATAGCGAGAACTAAGATCCGATTTTAATGAGATTGTTTTTTCCATCCACTTAGTGATCAGGGTGTTTGTATGATTATTTAAGGATTAAGACCAATTTTTTAGTTTTACAGATAAGTCAACCCAAAATTTTGCAAAATAAAAAAACATAAAAATGTTTTACTTTTTTTGTGAAAAAATATATTTCCAGAGATTCATTTAGGAAATGAACTTCAAGTCAATGTTTTTAATTTCTTTGTAAAACAAACCCTGTGAAAAAAACAAACAAATTGCTCTGGCGATGATTGTTAATATATATACATAACAATATTTAGTTTGCTCTGTCGGGATAAAACAAGGCAATAACTTTCAGTTTTTGTTGGTCAATATTACAACACAAACATTCCAGGCATCCATTTTATATGTAAAGATTTACTTTACATAGCCAAATGTGTTGGCAGTGCCAACTGGAGATTTCTTCCATTCCATGAACTAACCTCTGAGAGTTGAAGACAATTAAGATAGTAATAACCTAGATAATGCTCCAAGTGATTGCATGAATGAGGTAGGTGCTCTACCCATAACCATGGATGAAAATAGTAATTTCTTTTCCTTTTAAGGCTAAGGGGGCACGGGTAGCCCAGTCGTCTAAGGCGCTGCGATTCGCTGTTCAGAGTTGCGTCCCTTGGGCACGCCTGAAACCTATGATTGTGGGTTCGAATCCCGGTTCGCCCCGATTATGTTTCTAGGTTTGTCAGCACCATACCCGTGCTCGTGGGTTTCACCTAAGTGGTAAACGTCTGAGACCTGCATCACTTCGGGCTTTCCTCCCACATTAAGCTGACATAACTGGAATACTGTTAAAAGCGGGGTTAAACCAAACTCACTCACCCACTCACCTTTTAAGGCTAAAAAATAATAGTCTTGGTTCTCAGGCACTGCCCGCATCATCATAATGTTCGCAGCATGTTTCATTTTTATTTCCATTTTTAAAAAAACAGTTGACAAGGCATTTAAACCCTAATGTGAAAAACAATATCATACAATCATGATGTTCTATAATGTGTTGATCTCAGTGTTCTAGATCAGAGTAGATCTCAATATGTTGCACTGGCTAAGATTCAGTTCATGTTTTGAATCATAACATACATACAATTCTTAATAATTATAACGTTTCATATGTGTAACTGTATTACCAATAAGTTCCCCCTGACAAAATTCTAAACCAATCTGTAACTAATCCTTATGAGCGCTAAGTACTAAGAACGAAGTTATACATGGCAGTCAACAGACCTTGTGTATATTTCAGAAAAAAGTAGCGTAGAAGGTTTACAAAGTTGCCTAATACCTATTTTGAAAACATTTTAGTTTCATTGACATTTTAACAAAGTTTGTTCACTACCACTTGATCTCTGAAAAGAAATTTCATTTGTTGTGTATGGTTTAAATAAGCGCATACCTTTGTCAAGTTTCTTCTGGGGCACTTATTATGGCGAATACAGTATTCGTTACAACTTTCAAAGTCTAATGAGTAATGACAGATTTTCTCCCCTTAGTGAAGAAGTGATAGAAGCCTTGAGTCTGTAAATATTCTTAGATGATAAAATGATTTAGTCCATGAATGAAAAGCCATTATCTCATTCAAACATTTAACAGGGGAAAGGGTGGCCCAGTTGACCAAGGCACTGCTATTTGCTGTGCAGAGTTGTGTCCCTTGGGCATGCCAGAATACTATGATTGTGGGTTGAATCCTGATTTGCCCAGATTATGTTTCCAGAATTGTCATCACCACAGCCCTGCTCATGGGTTTCACCAATTTGGTAAACGTCTGAGACCTGAATCAGTGCGGGCTTTCCTCCCACATTAACATGATTAAGAAGACCTGCCATGATATAACTGGAATACTGTCCAAAGAGGTGTTAAACCCAACTCATTTACTCATTCAAACAATAATCCATACAACAGTAGTTTTCAGTCTTGAGGACCAAATAGTTTATAAGATTAATTCTCAAACAGTGTGTGGGTGGCGGTCAGGTAGCCTAGTGGTTAAAGCGTTCGCTCGTCACGCTGAAGACCCTGGTTCGATTCCCGACATGGGTACATTGTGTGAAGCCCATTTCTGGTGTCCCCTGCCGTGATATTGCTGGAATATTGCTAAAAGCGGCGTAAAACCATACTCACTCACTCACTCACTCCACAGCTTGATAGATTGCACAGGAGTGTGTGTTCCTAGCCCTCATAGTAATATAATTGTGGAATAGGTCCTTGTCATAAGAGATGGGTATCGGGTGTGTCATTCCATGCTGGCACAGATCATTGTTCATGCTATCAACCACTAAGATGATGGGTGGCCATGACATATCAGGAATATTGGTGACTGCACTGATAAATCAACACTCACTCACTCACTCTGTCTTTTTAGCTCACCTGACTCTTTCTCGTATTGATAATATCTGGAGTGTTAGTTAGATCAGTGTCTTGATCTGTTTTTCTATGTTGAGTTTCGTATAGCTTAACATATTAATGTTGTCTGTTTGTTATCAATTAATATTTGTTGTTGTTACTGTACCATTGTTGTTCTATATGCTACGTCTGCATCCTAATTTCCTCATGTTCTTGATGGTTTATGGGTATAAATGTCAACAGTTGTGTGAAGTTGTTTGTGTGGGCAAGTGTTTTAGTCAAGATGATCACATACGTCAAGAGCATATTTTTGAAAGTCATAAAGCAGTTCAGTACATGAATATAATCTACAAAACTGGGCGCCGTTCCACAAATCGTAGCACTATGACAGTCAGACAGAAGTTACAATCACCTAAAAAAGTAGCGCCCTGGATGCCTTGTGGAAGTGGTTGCTGGTGTAAGATCTACAGTACTGGTTGTATGATGTACGATACTAGTAGTATGATGTAGGATACTGGTGGAATGATCTACAGTACTGGTAGTATGATGTACGATACTGGTGGGAAAAAAAGACTTCTTAATGTTTTTGTTTTATTCCAAATTTGTGAAAATTTGGGTTAATGGGTTGGTAAACAAAGTACATGTAATTAACAAATGTGAAACAGATCTGTCTCATCAAATGTCTCTCTTATCATTGCAAAAAACTTTTTCATGCAGTTTTGCATCTTCCTGAGGCAAGGGACTTTTACAATCAATTAGCACCCTTGCCTCGGGAAGATGGCAGTTTTGTCGTCAGTAAAGTTTCATGAAAACTGATATTTTTTAACAGATGAGAACAACAGATTGTGTTTATTCCAAGTGTCATGAAATGTACTCAACCATTGTTGTATATATTTCATCTGCATAATTTAACTGAAAATAATGTGTTGATTCCCTATGAGGTGATAAATGATGATGCCAAGAATCACGGTCCTATTGTGTTTGCCAAACTGGAGAGTTGCTGATGGTTGTGCTGTCAGTTCTTAGTGTCACTTAAAACAAACTGTCCTTTCGAAAAAAAGAATGTCCCCAGTGTCAATATGTTTAGGGTATTAGAGTATTAACAAGCAAACAGTTTTATATACATTAACCGAATATATTTATACCTGCGTTAACCTGTTCTTCTCTCCAGGAAATTAACAACACATGTCTACATGTAAGGGGGCACGGGTGGCCCAGATGTCTAAGGCGCCACAATTCACTGTGCAGAGTTGCGTCCCTTAGGCACCCTTAGGCACGCCAGAAACCTATGATTGTGGGTTGGCATCCCGGTACGCCCCGATTCGCCTTATTTCTAGGTTTGTCAGCACCATACCCGTGCTCATGGGTTTCACCGAAGTGGTAAACATCTGAGACCTGCATCACTTCGGGCTTTCCTCCCATATTAAGCTGACACACCGTGATATGACTGACTGCGGCGTTAAACCCAACTCACTCACTCACTACATGTAAAGGGGTGCAGGCTTAAACGGCACTTCAACAAAACGTCACCGATTTCTCTGGCGAAAACGGCACCGCATTTGGCGAAAAGGGCAAATATGTGTTGGGCGAAAACGGCACCTCTATTTTTAATAACGATAACAATGATTTTTGTAGTAATATATATGGTTTATTTACATGGTATTTGATGTATTTACATGTTAATGCATGTATGTGATGTATTAACATGTTACTGGATGTATGTGATGTATTTACATTGTATTTCCTGTTTTCACAGATAAGTACATATGTTCATAGATACAGTTCTTCAGTTTTGTCGGCATGTCCATCGTCATCTTCATCGTGTTCACAATATTGGCCCAACATTGTGATAGTAGTTGGCTCAGAGAGAGGTCTCCATCTTTGTATCGTCGCCATATGTCAAAAATCACCTCTTGGCGAGATGTGGATGATTTGCTCACATACGCCCTGAGTGGTCCCTCCTGAATGAGTCTTGCCTGTAGAGGCAACAGACGGGCCTCTCTGAAGAGCTCCGGGATCAATCTGTAGATCCCCAGGGACTGCTCACCCACCTTGTTACTGATACGTCTGTGCCAACCTAAAACGTGAGAAAACATTTTAATGTATAATAAAAACATTTTTATTGTTTAATATAGTTTATTTTTATTGTGTGTATTTGTATTTAAACTATTTGTATTAGTATTACCTCTCACAAAGTTGTTCGTCCTGACAGCTATGTTGAACACAGACCAGGATCTGGGAGAGAAGGTGGGATGAGCAATCCACTGGGCTTGAAAGTACCTGCAATCCAATTTCCTGACATTTCCGCCAGACTGTTTGAGTCAGGTGGAACAGTCATCCACGGATGCGGGTTCTGGAAGGGTTTTTCTGATTGCTTTCCAGAAGGCAGAAGGGGGCACCAGCATGGTGATATTTCTTATTGAACTAAAAAAATAATATAATAATAAATTATGCTGCTATGAATACTATACTATGAATTATTATTATCATTATTATTGTTATTATTATTATCATTATTTTATTTTTTTATTTTATTTTATTTTTTGGAGGGGGAGGGGGGGGGGGGGGGGGGGGGGGGGGGGGGCAAATACTTTGAAATTGTGATCTGACAATCCCATGTTAGACCTCTTAAATACAGTTTCAGCTTAAATTGAGTAAAGGTACTTAAAACTTCAAAGCGTATAGTGTTTTCACAATAAGTTAACAGCGCCTCCCAATCAGAGTCGCAGAAACGATGTGAGTTTAATTTCTATCACTACTTAATTACTATACTTTGAGGATTTCTGTGGCCAGTGGCGGACGTTATTCAAACTCCTTCCACACTGAAAATTTTAAAGAAATCTTTTCTTACTTAGTATGTTCCCTTGAAAACAGCATGTTTAAATTTGTGAATACCTTTGACCGAGGCCGGGCAAAGACCGTAGAGTTTCTGGACTATTGGGTTTACAGAATTAAAATGGGACGTGTTACTCAATTTTCTTTCTGGGCTCCCTTGGGAGTAGACCTCCTAGGCTGCTGTGAGGCGCCAGAAGTGTAACAGTTACCATCTCATCCTACCGGGTACCCATGCACTGCTGGGTGAACAGAGGTTTATTTCGAGCCAAAACACTTGCTTAACCCTACAATTAACATGGGGAGGTGGAACCGAAGCCCTGGAAACCCTCAGGAGTCAAGCTACCGAACACGGACCCCCATCCATCTAACTCTCCACGACCAACGTTTGGTGTGTGCTGGACACAGGACCACTGTGACAGACATAATGTTTAAAGCGGCGTTGAACCCAGTTCACTTGATCACTTAAATCGCTGTTTAAGAATATTTCCCTTTTAAAGGGCAAGTTCACACGGAAATGAACCTATTTTTCTTGTACTTTTTCCACATTAAAAGTGTTAACCTAGAAGTGTCATAGACAAAAATATAAAAATATCACAATTAATTAACATATTTTTCGCATTAAAACGATTTATATTTTTCACATTTACCAAGTGTTCTATTTCCACAACAAAAACACCATGGCTTATGCCCCTTGCAATATGACGTCATTGGTGCCAATTGATAAACATTATGACGTCATCATGCTTTGTTAGAGCCGCTTCACGTGGTGTAGGTACAGTTTTGTGATTCTAGCGTCTCAGATGCCAGCCAGAATTGTGTTATGCTGAGTCACCACTGCGCCGGAGTGTGTCGTAGACCATGTTGTTTAACCGCAAACTGGTCCTTGATATATTTTGCGTTGAGAATAGACAGGGACCCAGTTGAATTGGCACCAATTACGTCATAATCTAAGGGGGATAACTCAGGCCTGTTTAGCTCGAAAAACGAAGGCCTCATAACGGCATATCATTTTCACACTATTGTGAGCTTCCTACTTTCACTGTGAAAAAAATGAGTGTATATTTTCAAACACAGATACTAATTAATTCTAAAATTGCGTTTTGTTTAGAAAAAGAAAGAAAGTGATTTTTGCGTGTACACTTCCCTTTTAACGTGCCTTACACTAATGCCGTCCTACGTCTATGCCTGACATGTTTAAGGTGAGGTGAAACGGGGCTTAAAGTCGCGTCCAAGATTATTGCACTTATATAGCAAAGTGTGTGTTTGCGTGCGTCCGTGCGTCCCTGTGTGCGTGCGTGTGTGTGGCTGCCTGTACCATTCCAGAATAATGCCGATTTTATAGTGCTAGCCCACTGATATACCATGCCGCAGTTTAACCTGATTACCCCACTCAGACACAGTGTACTGCCTCTGAGCCGACCAGTCCTTGTTTTAACCCCTTAACGCTAAGCGCCAGGCAGGGTAACGAAAAAAACACATCTTTTAACGTTTTTTTTTATGACGTGGCGAAGGATCGAACCCCATGTTTAAGAGAAAACGAAATGGAGGTAGTAGATTATGTCTTTTGCCCATAACATGCGTTCCTGAAGCAAAGTTTCTATTTCTATTCTAGATTCCATGTTAAGCGTCGCCGAACAGTTATTTAAGTTGGAAATAAAGCACTATATAAATCCATTTTGTAACGACACATGTTGCTTACTGCAGCAAGAAATAACATTCACTGACGCTAAGAACTTGACCACTGTCCGCTGGTTTTATAATGTGCCCTTCTTAGTAAGAAAATGAGCACGACAAAACATCACAATAAACTTTTACAAAATTTGGAAGCCAATTTATCCCAGTACAAAAAAGACGGGTAGTTGACTGCGCCCTGTTCATGCGCATCATGCTATCAACGTAACGAGTTAGCCTAAATTGTTTATTGACTCTTGATGACACACACATATAATTAATGAAATCTCGTTGGTATAATCTCATTCAAATCAGATGTTAGTTTTCGCTACCGCTAAACAAAGATCTTTTATGTAGTGGCAGCGAGTACTCAGATCTGATTTGAATGAGATCGGAGTTCTTACAATTTTATACATATCCGAGGATATATAATTTTGCAGTTATGTTTGTGATACCACTACCATCGATTGCATATTATTATCTACGGGATATTATTCCAATATTATTTCTCATTCGTACTTCATATTACAGGGATGTTTTTTTTATATTAAACACAATGCCAAGCACACAGGAACTCAATGATAGCGTGTGTAGCATTACAATATTCGTATAGAAAAAAACCCAAACCCCTCTATACATATAGAGTCTTTGTCCTAGCACAACTGATACGAGCTTCCCTTTGTGTGGTTATAATAGTGACTACAGAAATCATTATTTGAACCAACGAACATTTAAAAAAAAATTCTAACATATTTGTAAATATTGTTTAAGGTTTTAGCGGTAAGTGTCAAACGAAGTATACGAGAGTTATCTACCTTTAATATTTACAAACTCAATGGTACTCCATCTGTTGATGTCAGATATGTTTATTTTGTGACACATATGAGTAATTTAGGAAGTGACACTGATGATAGAGAGAAAGATTTGAGATGGAGGAAGAAACAGAGGAAGAAAAACTTGGATGACAGTGACTCCTTACGTGAAAAATACATATCGGAAGGGAGAGTCTGTTACACTGCCAGTGACACCAGCAGCAGTGAAAGTCCCGACACACTGACTCCGAAGAACGGCAATGGTGATCTGGATAAGGGGACATTTTGGTTGACACGGATTGTCATTTTAAGATCTTTTGGGTTCGTTTACTGTGAGTGAACTACAACTGTAACAAGAAAATGTTAAAGTTGTGTTTAACTGTTTAACGTTCATGATTTAGTCTATATTGTTTTTGATACACTATGTCGGGGTACATATGCACGATGCTTTTTCAACATATAAATTCAAATGCCAAAAATAGGCCAGTGACTATATACTCTAGGGACTAGTGTAGTTTTCAAGTCTGGGGCTAGATGTAACTAGTGTATCGTCGGACCATAGGTTTTCGGACATCATATATGTTTTCGGACGGCCATGTTTATCGCGATTACTCGCGCTATAACGGGGGGTGTTGCATCACACAGACATTTTAAACTCTCAGATGATGGCATATTTGTAAGTGAAAATTGTCTTTAATAAGTGAATGAGATGTGTTACAGTTGTTCATGTGATTAGAGTGTGATTCAATGTTTCTTCAGCGTCCGAAAACCCATAACACAGGGATATAATGTGTAATGCCAATTCATTGCGTCTGTGTATTTAGAGTGTCATAAACTGATCATATGATTGGAGTAAACAGCCAAACAGAGTGGGGTTTGATTTACTTGATTTACTTGAATCAAACCTCCTAGAACTGCAAATTTGTTGAGACCCATCATACTTGAACTTTATCCTGCAATAATTAAAGCATCATCATTTGTATAAATCTATCTTAATCCCAGACCATACAGGATTACAAATCTTTAAGACAGAGGGTTTTACCATAATATTCTCATTGGCAAGTGTTCTTTGACATGTGTAACTACCATTAATTTAAAAATTGAAAATAAATCTTGTCTTCGTTTTTTCAGTCATTGCTTTCCTTGTGGCCTTGGATCAGAATAAACAGCTGATTGGAATAAATGGCCTCCTACCTGCCAACCAGTATATTAATGACATTGAGAAAAAGACAGATGGAATTAACAGGGAGGCATTTAACACATGTCCAAGTATCATCTGGTTGTTCAGCTATGACACACACCTGGATCAGATCCTTGACTATCTGGCGTACACAGGCTTGGCTCTGTCTCTGTTTCTTGTTGTACGTGGAGCTGCAAACTGGTTCATCATGTTGGGGCTGTGGGTGATTTACCACTCCATTGTCAACGTTGGACAAAAATGGTAGCTGTTACTTTTCTGCTTAGTTTTAAAGAACAGTAAATGTTGTAAGGCTATATTGTTATGCTTTTTGTTCACTAGTGCTATCATATTAATTACACATCTTGTATTATGTTGGATATTACTTTGGGATGTAACTATTCAATGAAGGATCAGTGCTTGTCAGTACTTATGCCACGATAGGAGAATTTTATTGTGATATCATGTATTAAAACGCAACAATACATGCATACACACATAAGAAGCACATTTCAAGTGGCATAAATAAACAGAAAATGCTATTTTCTGACAGGATGTTATTTCAGTTAACTCAGATGTAGGGTTAGACCTCTTCACACTAAATGCATTACGGTCATCCAGCTAAGCATTCCCAGTGATTACAGAACATGTCTTTGTAAAATGAAACATTTTGAGTTTTAATGTATGTTTCATTCCATTCTTAATATCCAGGACCAGTGCAATACCATTACCTTGCTTTGAGCCTGATTCAAATGATCATATTTTATGATCATGATATTTTCTATGTACCATGAATGTACCATGTTAGGTTATACATAATAGAGCCTAGGATTGGTTAACCAGTGGTTGATAACATGAACATTTAAAAACAACATTTGCCAGGTAATACATTGTGACCATCTGATTGTCTTATATAAGAATTTGCCCATATGAAGCACTGAAGACCTATTCTGCCCACTCAGGTGCAGGGCTGTTGCAGTAGATCAAGTTGAGTGACAAAGTATCACTCAAATACATGAAATGTTTTGTCAAATGAAAATTGAAACGTTGTGACTGATTTATAAATCTGTTTTATTTTTTCAGGTACAGCTTTGGTAAGTTATGTGTCTTATGTTTAGGATATGGTTGTACCTTAGAATGAGTGCGTGATGTTTAATAAAACCTGGTGGTGATAACAAATAAAATAACTGACTACTCGGCTATCGGCGGGGAAAAAAAAGTGGAAATCTGATTATTTTTTTTACATTTTCTCAAAAATGAGAGTCGGCAGGTCCGTAATCTGAAAAATATAAAACGCCTGGCCTTATGACACATTCTTAATACATCACTTAATGACACTTGATGTACATTGAATGCTCATGTATATATTGGCATCAACCTCAAGCCTGGAGAGTGTTATCATGGTTATCAGCTTACAGTGTTTAGAGTTAACTATCTACTTGAGAGAGTATTAAGAATGTCATGAACCAACCTAAATTATTCCAATAGGGCATATTGCCATTTCAAAGATTTTTTTAGCACTCAAAAATTCTATTTTTGTGTAGGTTGGGAGAACCAGATGCTTGAGACGGCATTCCTGACGGTGTTCCTGTGTCCCGTTTGGAGCCTGTCATCCATTCCACGGCACACGCCAACATCTCTCGTTGTCATCTGGGGACTTCGCTGGCTGCTGTGCAGACGGATGATCGGAGCGGTTAGTATTCATGGAATTAATCAACACAGACAGTGATGGAATGAATAAAAATGCTTTCACTGACATTCAGATAATCACATTTTCAAGAATTTCATGCCAGGGGAACTAGGAGGAGGACCGAGGTATTCCCAGAAAATTTGATTCAAGTCATTTCGACCCCACTTGTTTGTGAGGCTAATTTTGTGCTGTATATGAAGTTAATGACTTCTTTTATTACACAGACAGTCTGAGTTTTACACTAAGCTTGATGTAGAGACCAAGGGGCTTTGATATTGTAGGTATACAAAAAGTAAATATTGAACAAGCTTCCTCAACATTTGCATATAATCAGATGAGCAACAGATTGATGTGCCATATTCACTGTTTTCTGCGTGTAGCAGGGTGTGGAGTCATCCCACAGATGACATTCTTATCTCATTAAAAATCTCATTAAAATCAGACCTCAGTTCTCGCTACCGCTAAACAAAGATCTGAGGACATCCCATTAGGGGTCATGTCAGAACGACCTTTCATCCGACCAATCAGAGCATCGCTTACCAGATTATGAAAGTGACAGTCGGAATGTGATTTCTGATCATGCAACCTCGAAAACTTTAACTCCGAACGAAAGTTACGGGTTTAACGACTGAATCCATACAATCAAGACCATCTATTAGCCATTCCAGAATGTTCTTTTGTTTAGGTTTCAAATTCGTAATCGAGAATTTATCAAAATATCGCCAATTTGAAATTAGTGCCGTAAAGCATGAGAAAGCTGCCTTCTGATTGGTCATTCCATTGGTTGGTCAAAGTTCGCGCAAGGTCGGTCTGACGTGACCCGTAATGGGATGTCCTCAGATCTTTGTTTAGCGGTAGCGAGAACTGAGATTTGATTTTAATGAGATTGTTATCTTGTCAGCTTGCTGACGGGTTTAACCTCTTTAGTCATGTGGACAAGGCATCCATACACGAATCAGAAGGTCCGTGGTTTGAATCCCATCATGGGACTCGGCATTTTATAGCTGCTACATGTAATATACACAAGAAAATAAGGACTTTTGTATCAACTTTCAGTCTTAGTAGGAGGCACTTATAAATATTACAGATTGGCCAGGAATTTGGTCAGGGGCCACTAGTTGGTTGGTTGGTTTGTTGTTTAACGCCGCACTCAGCAATATTCCAGCTATATGACGGCGGTCTGTAAATAATCGAGTCTGGACCAGACAATCCAGTGATTAATATTATGAGCATCGATCCACGCAATTGGGATCGATGACATGCATCAACCAAGTCAGCGAGCCTGACGACCCGATCCTGTTAGTCGCCTTTTACGTCAAGCATAGTCGCCTTTTACGGCATGCATGGGTTGCTGAAGACCTATTCTACCCCGGATCTTCACGAGTCTCAGGGGCCACTAAGTGGAGCTAGCACTTAATATGGTGAATATGTAAACAAGGATTATATCCTACCTCAATATTATCCCGGGGGAAGTTTTACTCTAGAGTGTAGTACAGGATAGGATTAAACACACTGGTATGGGTTCAAATTCACTAGGGAGAATCATCCTGACACAAGAGAATTTCATCCCCTGGATAAAAAATAGGGTAGGATAATATTCGCTATTACAAATACACTGTATACCAGCACTTTGTAATATCGGTAATCAGTCAAATATTTAATATGATAATTAGTTTGTTGTTTCGTCAGTACTAAAACAATTGTTCAAATATATATTGTTTGTCAATGATATGAGTGTCTGAATTGAGGGGGGCAGTCGGGTAGCCTCATTTGCTCGTCACGCCGAAGACCTGGGTTTGATTCCTGACATGGGTACAATGTGTGAAGCCCATTTCTGGTGTCCCCCGTCGTGATATTGCTGGAATATTGCTAAAAATCAAACTCACTCACTCACTCACTCTGAATTGAGTATTAATATTCTTTTAGGGATTGATCAAGATAAGGGGAGACAACTGCTGGAGAGATCTTACTTGTATGAATTATCACTATGAGGTAAGATTGTGTACATTCCTCTGATCCTTTTATTCCTCTGAAGTTTTGTCCAAAGAATGGCAGCTGTATCTGTCATAGATAGTAGTAACCATTGAAACTCAAATTGGTATTTGGGTAAAATAAAACAGATTCTTTGGAATCAAAGTCCAGACAGGGTCACTTTCAAGATCCTATTATTGTTCTTATATGATATTCATTATATCTATATCTCAGCATGTAGCAGTAAGTGTAGACTCTATTAGGCCACACCAGTAGCAGCTTATGGACTGGTCATTTATCATGACAAAAATACACAGTACTAATTTAAAAAAAAATATAATTATAAATATGTGAAAATTATTTAGGGATTGGTCATTTATATTAGAGACAGGGGGCCATGAACATTTTTTCATGAAATGAGGGAGGCAATATGAGTCCTGAAATATACACTCCCTCCCAGAGCTCCAGATAAGCTGCGTATCTGCGTAAAATACGCTTAAAAAATACAGAAATACACAGTAAAATAAAATCCAAGCGTATCAAATACGCAACGAACATTACAGGTACGCTACAAAAATAAAATTGTGGCATATCATCAAAATATTGTGAAGTAACCATCCTTTTTCTATTAGCAAATCAGCAACTTATTTTGAAATTATAAACGGGCATTCCGTCAACCTTGCCAAACTCCACGATGACAGTTACATCATGATCATTTATCATCACACTTTCTTGTGGAAGTATCGTGGTATTTTTGAGTCCTATAAAGCTCTCGAACCCACATGACACCAGTTTGCAGGGACTAGATGAATAGTGTTTATAAAATATTTAACTTAAATACCCACATGTGTAAAAGCTAGTGGGTAATAGAGTAGTGGAAGACCCAGATAGAATTACTGATACCCAATGATTTTAAAATGCATGGGTAAAATACCCACAACACCAAAAGCTTATCTGGAGCTCTGCCTCCCTATTATAAATGACGGTCCCTTACTTAAAGCATTCACCAAGCAGTAGGGTAGCCTAGTGGTTAAAATCAGGCTGAAGATCCTGGTTTCTCATATTTGTACAAAGCTTTTGTGAATATCAGAGATGGTGTGTGGAATATATGTACATGTACTAGGTTTATGTTAAGTATTTCTTGTTTTGTGATTGAACTTAGTGTCATTCATTTCCTGCTGTGTCGCTAAATATGTATAATGACATTAAGGTTGTACTTGTCAGACCCAGCCAGTGCCGAACCCCCTGAGTTACTACCTGCATCAGTCTCCCGAGCTGATACACAAGATGGAGACACTCAGCAACCACTTCATCGAACTTGTGGCACCATTCTTCCTGATCCTGGGACGGAGAATGACCATCATTGGTGGAGGAATACAGATCTTCTTTCAGGTGCGTCCAGTCAGCTAATCTTAAGCAAAGCTTTAGTGAAGCAACATTAATGCTATTTTGGAAATACATGTATAGATCTTTGAATGGCATTCAGAAGTGATACACAAGGAAGAGAATTTATGGATGTCAACTTCTTTATTATGAGGAACACAACGTTTCGGAGTATATGCTTACTCCTTCATCAGGTGAATGAATGCCATGAGGCAGAGAGCATATTTTTGTACATGTAAGGACAACAAAATTAATAAGATAACAAAATGTGGAAACCAACAAGGGGTGGAAACTAACAAGGGAAGCCAACATATGCTCTCTGCCTCATGGCATTCATTCACCTGATGAAGGAGTAAGCATATACTCCTAACTGTTGTGTTCCTCATAATAAAGAAGTTGACATCCATAAATTCTCTTCCTTACATGTAAAGAGTTGTTCGTTTGAGCAAACTATGTCCAAAATTGTATTCAACACTTTTATTAAATATTTAGTACTTCTATTACATCTTAATTTGTCTTTGTCAAGTTGAAGTTTGATTTTCTTGTACAGAAATAAGGGGCAGTGTTGTAGCACAGTGACCGTTGGACATGTTACAGTTTGTGTCCCCCTGTCCTGTGCCAGGTGTATGGTGTAATGATTACAGATATTAGTGCTGTTTGTGTTACAGTTTGTGTCCCCCTGTCCTGTGCCAGGTGTATGGTGTAATGATTACAGATATTAGTGCTGTTTGTGTTACAGGTTGTGTCCCCCTGTCCTGTGCCAGGTGTATGGTGTAATGATTACAGATATTAGTGCTGTTTGTGTTACAGTTTGTGTCCCCCTGTCCTGTGCCAGGTGTATGGTGTAATGATTACAGATATTAGTGCTGTTTGTGTTACAGGTTGTGTCCCCCTGTCCTGTGCCAGGTGTATGGTGTAATGATTACAGATATTAGTGCTGTTTGTGTTACAGTTTGTGTCCCCCTGTCCTGTGCCAGGTGTATGGTGTAATGATTACAGATATTAGTGCTGTTTGTGTTACAGGTTGTGTCCCCCTGTCCCGTGCCAGGTGTATGGTGTAATGATTACAGATATTAGTGCTGTTTGTGTTACAGTTTGTGTCCCCCTGTCCCGTGCCAGGTGTATGGTGTAATGATTACAGATATTAGTGCTGTTTGTGTTACAGGTTGTGTCCCCCTGTCCTGTGCCAGGTGTATGGTGTAATGATTACAGATATTAGTGCTGTTTGTGTTACAGGTTGTGTCCCCCTGTCCTGTGCCAGGTGTATGGTGTAATGATTACAGATATTAGTGCTGTTTGTGTTACAGTTTGTGTCCCCCTGTCCTGTGCCAGGTGTATGGTGTAATGATTACAGATATTAGTGCTGTTTGTGTTACAGGTTGTGTCCCCCTGTCCTGTGCCAGGTGTATGGTGTAATGATTACAGATATTAGTGCTGTTTGTGTTACAGTTTGTGTCCCCCTGTCCTGTGCAAGGTGTATGGTGTAATGATTACAGATATAAGTGCTGTTTGTGTTACAGTTTGTGTCCCCCTGTCCTGTGCCAGGTGTATGGAGTAATGATTACAGATATTAGTGCTGTTTGTGTTACAGTTTGTGTCCCCCTGTCCTGTGCCAGGTGTATGGTGTAATGATTACAGATATTAGTGCTGTTTGTGTTACAGTTTGTGTCCCCCTGTCCTGTGCCAGGTGTATGGTGTAATGATTACAGATATTAGTGCTGTTTGTGTTACAGTTTGTGTCCCCCTGTCCCGTGCAAGGTGTATGGAGTAACGATTACAGATATAAGTGCTGTTTGTGTTACAGTTTGTGTCCCCCTGTCCTGTGCCAGGTGTATGGTGTAATGATTACAGATATTAGTGCTGTTTGTGTTACAGTTTGTGTCCCCCTGTCCTGTGTCAGGTGTATGGAGTAGTGATTACAGATATTAGTGCTGTTTGTGTTACAGGTTGTGTTAATCACCAGCGGTAACCTCAGTTTTCTCAACTGGTTGACCATTGTTCCTAGCCTGGCATTCTTTGATGATCGCAGTTTAAGTTGGATGTTCTCTGGGGGTTCTTGGTCTGTCAAGTGTCAGGTAGCCCAAATACAACACCAGACTGAAACTGGATTAGTTACGAAAGGTGAGTTTTTGACACAAAATTGATGAGTTGGTAGCTGAGATATTTGTTTCATATACCCCATTTTCATTTATAATGTTGTTTTTATTTTATTTCAAATATAAGCTGTTCAGTATTGCATGTTGTTACGCTTGTCAAAATGACTTAGTTGTCAAGAAGTCATCAATAGACAATAGTTATGCTTTCCTCACACATTAAAAAAAAAAAAGCTGACATGCTGTGATATAACAAGCATACTGTTGAAAGCGGCGATAAACCCAACCCACTCATTCCTTGATATGAAGAAAACATGAGGTGATTTCCAAATTGAAACACATATGTTTACCCAGAAATCAGTTCACACAGTTCATCTACCAGAAATAGAGTTAGTTTGGCCTTCGCTATTGCATCTCTTAGCTTTAGGAGATCTACAACCGATAGCGGATCTAACTGTAATTCTTGTTTTAACTGTGCTCGAGCCAGTAACAAAGTGAGTAATGGTTTCAGGTTGATTGTGAGATGGACATACCTGGTCATAGTGCTTTTTGTAACCGTGTCTGAGATTTTTGTGGATCTCAGGTTGATTTTTTATTGGCATCTGTCAGAGGCTTTGCTTTTGCTTTTATCCCTCGTTTACTGAAGGGAATGGGCTGTATGTCCTCTTTGTCTAGAGATGCCTTCGCCAATATGTCTGCTTATTCATTTCCATGAATATCTATGTGAGACAGGATCCAACACAGCACCACTTGTTCCCCTTGGTCTGATAGTTTTGTATAGTACAGAATGGCATTGACTGTATTTTGTCTCGAGTTTGAGTTTGTGCTGCTGCTGGCTTGTAGAGCAACTATATCGGAGGTTGCCGTTATTGCACTTCAGCATTCCTGTTGTCCTACACTGACCATGTTTCATTTATTGTGTTGTTGTCTCTACCCAGACAGCTCACTGAGACGTATGTTCAACATCGCCCTGGGCTGTCTCATCCTGAGTCTCAGTGTTCCTGTTGTCCAGAATCTCTTCTTCTCCAAGCACCAGGCTATGAACAAATACTATGACAGTCTGAGGCTTGTCAATACATATGGCGCTTTTGGGAGGTAAGTCATTCAGCAGTCAATCAAATATGTAGTACTGAAGCAGTGAGAACTGGTTAAGAATCATAATCCTCGAAAGCTACTTGTCACTGAGGACTACCTTCATTTTTTACTTGTCTGCGGCACAATTTAGTAGTCTTGGGATAGCGGACTAGCGTGAATTTCAAAGCCTGATGACCATAGCAGATTGGAAGGGTATTGGGTGGCATTTCAATGTGTGTCTCAATGTGTGTCTCAACCTGTGTCTCAATGTGTGCCTCAATGTGTGTCTCAACATGTGCCTCAATGTGTGTCTCAACATGTGCCTCAACGTGTGCCTCAATGTGTATCTCAACATGTGTCTCAATGTGTATCTCAACATGTGTCTCAATGTGTGTCTCAACATGTGTCTCAATGTGTATCTCAACATGTGTCTCAATGTGTGTCTCAACATGTGTCTCAATGTGTATCTCAACATGTGTCTCAATGTGTATCTCAACATGTGTCTCAATGTGTGTCTCAACATGTGTCTCAATGTGTATCTCAACATGTGTCTCAATGTGTGTCTCAACATGTGTCTCAATGTGTATCTCAACATGTGTCTCAATGTGTATCTCAACATGTGTCTCAATGTGTGTCTCAACATGTGTCTCAATGTGTGTCTCAACATGTGTCTCAACGTGTGTCTCAATGTGTGTCTCAACTTGTATCTCAACGTGTGTCTCAACTTGTATCTCAATTCAGACTTATTAACACTTTTTAGCAGTCTTCATTCCCAGCTCCACTATTACTGACATTGGTGTTATAGAACTTCACCAATACCAAAAGGGGACATGGTTGGCCCAGTCATCTATTGCGCCACAATTTGCTGTGCAGACTTGTGTCCCTGGGACACACCAGAAATCCATAAATTGGGGTTCAAATACCAGTTCACCCTGATAATGTTTCTAGGTTTGTCATAACCATACCCATGCTAGTGGGTTTCACCAATGTGGCAAACATTTGAGACTTTCATCACTTCGGGGTTTCCTCCCTCATTAAACTGACATGCCGTGATATAACTCCAATACTGTAGGCTTTATACCTATCGCACTCACTCACACGAGTACCAAAATATTTAATCCTCTTCTCTGAACCAACGATGGTGAGAGAGATGAAACATGATGAGGATGTGTACATTAGAATTTGTTTATTGCATTCATAAACATTAATTATTTTTCTTGGATGTTTTTCCATTGTAGCATAACAAGGGAACGAACAGAGATCATACTGGAAGGGACCTCGAGCAGTGACCCGAACGACCCCAGTGCCAAGTGGCTGGAGTACGAGTTTAAGTGTAAGCCTGGCAACATCAGGCGGCGGCCGTGCATTATCTCCCCTTACCACTACAGGATGGACTGGCTCATGTGGGTCGCAGCCTTACAGGTGGGTGGGCAACATCACCAGCTTCATTGTGTAAAACCTTGAGGGGTTCAATGTTTGAATAGAGCCCCAGTCCCTGCATCTTCCTAAGGCAAGGGAGTTAACTGACAATAAAAACCCAGTTTCCACCCTTGCCGAACTATGCTGGAACTCTGCAACTAGATCGTAGCACCATCAGTGACTACTATGAGTTACGTTCCTACGATGTCCCTCCAATTGACCAATCAAATTCCACATCTCATATCACTTGTATTTGCTTCAAACAAAATGGTGGCACCCAGTCAAGACAATCTGATAAATGATCATGATATTTATTGTAATAAATGGGTCTTACTTCGCAAAACCAGAATATAACTCCATATTTCCAGCCTAGTTGGGCATGGGGGAAAACTGGACTTTTATAGTCAGTTAACTCCATTGCCTCGAGAAGATGCAGTCCCCAGTGGGAAGTCTGGGTTAGAGTTGTCCCCAGCAACCTATACCTGTCTGTGGTTGAGACTTATTGGATTAGGTCACCTGGTGGTCAGGAATTTTGACTGGGTTGTCCTTCCAGCATCGATCATTGCTCATAATATCAATCACTGGTTTTTCTGGTCCAGACTTGATTATTTACATACACATCACTATACATGTATATGATGTTTTATATCAATTTCATACTTTTTTTTGACCAAGTTTGTTATACCTGTTTATTCACCTGGAGGGATACGATGAGTTGTTTTTTTTAAAGCGCATATTAATACTCGATAATTTTTTTTTTACACTATGAATCATGAATAACTCCTATTCTAATCTTTTTTGAAACCCTGAAACGTGCAACGTAGATCGTGTTAGGTAGGCAGAGCATGTATACTGTTTTGTTGGTCATCTACCACATACAACTCAACCTTCGTTAAACCGCTGATCATCTATAAGGCTCATCAATTATTTGGACCCCGAAGGTAGCGTTGTAGCGAGGAATCACCGTAAGTGCAATAATCTTAAATGCAATGTAAACCCCATTTCACTCACCTCTTTCTTCTTTATCCAGGGCCATAAGAAGCATCCCTGGCTGAAGCGCTTCATCCTCAAACTGCTAGGCAATGATGAGAATGTGATGTCCTTGATTGCTTATAATCCTTTTGAAGGTCACCAGCCACCCAGGTAGGTAGCCCTATCTCCCATCTTAATACCATGATTAGCAGAAGGCTGGGGAAGTTTGACTCCACCATTTAAACTCCAAGCATGTTTTTGTGTTAAATGTTTACTTTGTTCTTGATATATAAAATGTTTATCCAGCTTGTTCGTATTGAACAGCACTATTTCTTGTGTAGCCCTGTTAAATAAGGGACATTATCTCTCTTGAAAATAACCTCCCTTTTGGAACTCTTTGATCAGTTGACCACCTCCTTGATCTGATGGTGGAGCGTCTGCCCAGAGAGAGGAAGGTCCAGGGTTCGATCCCTGGTCGTGTCTTACCAAAAGACGTTAAAAGATGGTACTTGTTATTACCCTGCCTAGCGCTTGGAATTAAGGGGCTAAAGCAAGGACTGGTCGGCTCAGTCAGTATACTCATTACTGTGTCTGAGTGGGGTATTCATGTTAAACTGCAGCATGGTATCTCAGTGGGCTAGCACTATAAATCGGCATCAGTCCGGACATGTACAAGCAGCTATATGTCGCTATATAAGTGAAATAATCTTTGACGCGACATTAAACCCCATTTCACCTCACCTCTCTCTTGAAAATCACCACCCTTTTGGGAACTCTTTGTTCAGTGAGAACTGGTGATATTGCATCTGGAGAGCAACATGGCCAGACACTTAGAAATTAGTATTCTGTAGAGAACACCAAGCATTCTAAGGGACCGACCATTTGATGTGTACTCTCTCCATGATGTGAAAATGTCACAATATCATGAACAAAGCATCATAAATTATTGAATAATATTTCAGATTTATCCGAGCTGAGATATATAGGTACACCTACACTAAGGTTGGAAGTCGAGAAGCCGAGTCTGGTGCATGGTGGGTCAGGAAACACGTGGGAACCTACCTCCCAGCGTTGCCTAGCAACATTGTACAGAGTGCTGGGAGACAAGATATGCCTTCAGTCAAGATGAAACTGTAACCATGACAACGCATATTCAGTGTGATAGACAAATCATGTTAATTTATTTATATTTATGTCAATAAATATTGATAATATATTGTGTGTATTGTCATCATATGGAGTCTTTTTTCATTTTTATGCATATTAAGGTCTTATGAATAAAATACTTGTTTAGGGGGACCCATTTCTCTCCGCCTGAGGGGATTATGCTTATAGTAAGAAATGACTAACGGATGGTCAGGCTTGCTGACTTGGTTGATGCATGTCAACATATCACAAATGCAAAGATCGAGGCTCATGAGGTAAATCACTGGATTGTCAGGTCCAGACTCGATTATTTACAGACCACCGTCATATAGCTGGAATATTGCTGAGTGCGGCATTATTCCAACAAACAAACAAACAGAAACTTTGTCAGATTGAAGGGAAGGTGCTGTGTATGCCTTCTTGAGTGAGTGAATGGTGATTTACTTCAAGGTCAGCAATAGCCCAGCTCGTATATGTCAATATACGTTATATAATTGTCATTGACAGGACTTCCAATGATAAATAGCATGAACAAAGACCTGCGGGTTTCACATTGTAACCACCTGGTCCCCAGCTTGGTCTGTTCCAATGATAAGCTTCATAGGTTCTGCTTCTTTGTCCATATGGGGCAGTTTCAGCCATTCAATTATACCGGTATAGGCAATGCATGTGTGCAAGCAATACATTCAGTTAACAATAAAAACAGTTCACAATAAAACATAAAACATTCTGTAAGTGTTGTTCAGGCTCTTAAAGTGTTTTAACATTTTCTCGAATGTGGTAATTTTATGACCCTGAAGATCAGGATTAGAATAAGTCTTCAGCAACCCATGCTTGCTGTAAAAGGCAATTATGCTTGTGGAATGAGGCGACTAACGACATCGGGTGGTCAGGTACGCTGACTTGGTTGATGCATGTCATTGTATCCCAAATGCGTAGATCGATGCTCATGATATCAATCACTGGATCATCTGGTCCAGGCTCGATTATTGACAGACCGCTGTCATAATTCTGGAATATCGCTGAGTGCGGAGTTAAACAAACAAACAAAAACATTACTAACACCCGAATCATCCAAATTTGGCATAAAATTTGACATTGGTATTAATCTGTGTGACCCAAACTCAGAAAACATCGCCCATGAATTCCTTTTAAAGCTGTACATAATTATGATTTGTTGACTAACATATGTAACTATTACAAGCTTTTATCTCCAATCATGTCCGTTATAAATATTACATTGATAGCATGTATCGATTTATTCATTAGAAAGAAAATATCTATTTTCTGATCATATTGACGCCACCTTGACACGAAAACTTTTACAGGTACCAGTGTACCCTTAGACTACTTCGGTTTTTTTTGTTGTAAACGGTACACGTTTGTCTTTATATAGGTAGTCAGCTGAACAGTATTGGCCATAAGTTTAAACAATTAGACAATGTACACCTGAAACGGGGTTCACACTTTGCATCTATTTTGGGAAGCGAACCAGAATCTTCGACGTGGCCAATCAACATTTAGACCACTGGGCTACAAAAGCAAACAACACTGTCACAACCTCCACACCACCCATAAGCCAGTCACCCCACCCCACCCCAACCCTCATCATACAGGAAGGAAAATAGCGACAGTCTCTGCTGTGCTTTGCTTGTTGTTTTACGCCGCACTCAGCAATACCCCAGGTATATGATGACGGTCTGTAAATAATCGAATCTGGACCAGACAATCAAGTGACATGCATCAACCAAGTTAGTGATCCTGACTACCCGATCTTGTCAGTCGCCTCTTACGACAAGTATTGGTTGCTGAAGACCTAGTCTACCCTGGAACTTCACGCGTTCTCTGCTGTGCAAGCCCCATAGATGAGCAGCACAAATTGTATTTCCGTTGCAGCAAAACCAATTATTGTTTTGCAGTTTGTTACTCATTTTGGTTAACGCCCTCTTCAGTCATATTCCAGCTATATCATGGTGGCTTGTAAATAATCGAGCCTGGGTCTGACAAACCAGTGGTTGACATCATGAAGACACACTCTGCCACGTGACAGTTTGTCCACACGGTCCCCACTTTAGTATCGTGTGGGATACTGTTACTTCACCTCGTCTTAGCTTCGTGTGGGATACTGTTACTTCACCTCGTCTTAGCTTCGTGTGGGATACTGTTACTTCACCTCTTCTTAGCTTCGTGTGGGATACTGTTACTTCACCTCGCCTTAGCTTCGTGTGGGATACTGTTACTTCACCTCGTCTAAGCTTCGTGTGGGATACTGTTACTTCACCTCGCCTTAGCTTCGTGTGGGATACTGCTACTTCACCTCGTCTTAGCTTCGTGTGGGATACTGTTACTTCACCTCGTCTTAGCTTCGTGTGGGATACTGTTACTTCACCTCATCTTAGCTTCGCGTGGGATACTGTTACTTCACCTCGTCTTAGCTTCGCGTGGGATACAGTTTCTTCACCTCATCTTAGCTTCGCGTGGGATACCGTTACTTTACTTCATCTTAGCTTCGTGTGGGATACCGTTACTTCACCTCATCTTAGCTTCGTGTGGGATACTGTTACTTCACCTCATCTTAGCTTCGTGTGGGATACTGTTACTTCACCTCGTCTTAGCTTCGTGTGGGATACTGTTACTTCACCTCGTCTTAGCTTCGTGTGGGATACTGTTACTTCACCTTGTCTTAGCTTCGTGTGGGATACTGTTACTTCACCTCGTCTTAGCTTCGTGTGGGATACTGTTACTTCACCTCGTCTTAGCTTCGTGTGGGATACTGTTACTTCACCTCGTCTTAGCTTCGTGTGGGATACTGTTACTTCACCTCGTCTTAGCTTCGTGTGGGATACTGTTACTTCACCTCGTCTTAGCTTCGTGTGGGATACCGTTACTTCACCTCGTCTTAGCTTCGTGTGGGATACTGTTACTTCACCTCGTCTTAGCTTCGTGTGGGATACCGTTACTTCACCTCGTCTTAGCTTCGTGTGGGATACTGTTACTTCACCTCGTCTTAGCTTCGTGTGGGATACTGTTACTTCACCTCGTCTTAGCTTCGTGTGGGATACTGTTACTTCACCTTGTCTTAGCTTCGTGTGGGATACTGTTACTTCACCTCGTCTTAGCTTCGTGTGGGATACTGTTACTTCACCTTGTCTTAGCTTCGTGTGGGATACTGTTACTTCACCTCGTCTTAGCTTCGTGTGGGATACTGTTACTTCACCTTGTCTTAGCTTCGTGTGGGATACTGTTACTTCACCTCGTCTTAGCTTCGTGTGGGATACTGTTACTTCACCTTGTCTTAGCTTCGTGTGGGATACTGTTACTTCACCTTGTCTTAGCTTCGTGTGGGATATTGTTACTTCACCTCGTCTTAGCTTCGTGTGGGATAAACCCTTGACGACCCATGTTCGAATAGGTCTTCAGCAACCTATGCTTGTCGAAGGAGGTGACTAACGGGATCGGGAGGTCAGACTCACCTTCTTTGTTGATACGTGTCACCGTGTCCCAATGATGTAGATCTATGCTCGTGATGTCAATCACTGCATTGTCTGATCCAGCCTGGTTATTACAGACCGCTGACATGCAGATGGAATATTACTGAGTGCGGCCTTAACAAAAAACAATCAAATCATTTGGGATGAAAGACAGGATCCTGAAAAAGACAGGATACAGAACACGGGCATGGTGCTGACAAACCCATCTTCCCAAGGCAAGAGAGTTAACTGACTTTAAATGTCCAGTTTCCACTTTTAAAGTCAGTTAACTCACTTGCCTCGGGAAGATGTGGCAAACCATGCAAGGATAGTAATTTGTGAAAATCGGGAATTCGAACCTCCGAAAAACAGATCCTGGCACGTTTAAGGGGCACAACTCGTGAGCTGTGGCATATGAAAACACTGGCCCACGCCACGATAAAATACACGTCATCCGTAGTGTTGTTTTATTACACTGGATTTCAAACAGATAAATTGAATAAAAACCGAAGATCATACCATGCGTTTCTTGTAGTATTGATACGATATTGTAAGAGGTGTAGTCTCCATAATATATGAAAATTGTGTCGGGTGTAACAGATTTCGGGGGTCATCCCTTGATCCAATAGACCTCCTCCGTGGTCTAATGGTAGAGCGTCTGCCCGGAGAGCGGAAGGTCCGGGGTTCGATCCCCAGCCGCTTCATACCAAAAGACGTTAAAAGATGGTACTTGTTGTTACCCTGTCTGGCGCTCGGCATTAAGGGGCTAAAACAAGGACTGACCGGCTCGGAGTCAGTATACTGTGTCTGAGTGGGGAATTCATGTTAAACTGCGGCATGTATCTCAGTGTGCTAGCACTATAAATCGGCATCAGTCCTGACTAGTACAAGCAGCCACACACACACACACACACACACACATACACGTGCATGCACGACGCTATATAAGTGCAATAATCTTGGACGCGACGTTAAACCCCATTTCACCTCACCACCTCACCTTGATCCAATAACAATAGATTAATGTTTATTAATTTGTTAGTGACAAAAATGAAAGTTGATCATTTTGACATATTAATATTTTATAATAATTATCATGTAAACACACAATTTATTATGCTTTGACGTTTTTACAAGCAATAAGCTTGATACATTCAAAATATTATGCTTCCATGATTCTTTTATCGTTTCTCCATGTGTGAATAAGGTGTTGTCACCACCATAAGTGTGGACCAAACCCAGTACGTTGCTTTAAAGGGGCACTGATCTAACGCAATTCCCCCGACTGGTTGTTGCCTTTGTTATTGTTTTTCCCCAGTGAGTACCCGGATGTATAGCAGAAATCTAGACTAGTTCGCGACCTCTGCTGCGCCATTCGTTAACTCATTAGTCACTTTTATGGGTAGTAATAATTTTAAGGGCGTATGGTCACATTGATCAACAAAATGAAATACAGTTTTCGAGATAATAAGGAAATGTATCTTTGTGGGTAGCATCGGTAATGGTGACGAAGTTTTGATAAGTCACTTGCTTGGTAATATTGCGATTTTCGTTTACACTATTTTGACTTGCAACACAAAGTAAATATTCAGTTATTTTACAAAGTGACTGAAAAACATTTCCATCTGTATTATTATGATAACGAATTCCAAACATTTTGATGTTTAATGTCATCACCAAGAGACTGAAAATGTAACGTTGAAAAGTACATTTCTATGTTGTTTGGCTTCTAATCCTACATAATAATCTGTTGTGATGTTTGTAGGCCCTTTTGATCGTCTTAATCAATCTGGACAGATTTTTTAGTCAAAATGACTGAAATATTAACACATTTTATAAATTGCCTGAGAGAATCACATTTTAGAAATTGACGGTAATATATACACGCTTACAAAGGAAAAGACCTGTGAAAACAACGTCTATCGCGCATTGAAGAATTTACCAACCAAGACGTAGAGAAACAAGGACGAATCGGTTCAATGCTACAGCAAATGAAGAAAAACAAAATGCAAATACCATAATTACAACCTACCCAATTTATGTGTATAAATTTTAGGCAGCTTCCTTGTTCGAGGAATGTATCCGTGAATATCCACACAAAGGAACAATATCCCACTCGTCTGCAGCTGTACAAAGAAACTTATTCGATGTCACGTGTCTCTGTAACAGTCAAATATTTTAAAAGATATATATCGTTACGGGATACTAAAACCCGTGTTCGTTTCTCAACTGATCACTTGGATTGTTTCAGGTGTTTCACACAGGTGTCAAGTCTCAAGGGTCGGCTGAGAAAGCCCACGTGACAACTATTTTCATAACGTCCACGGTTCCTAAAAAATCCATTGAGTGATAGATAACAATGACCAATCAATCAACGTATTATCAGTTAACCCTTTGAACAAAGTAATTTGTTTTTACATCAGCACTTCACGCCATGATATAAGTGTATTCCCTTTGTTTTAGTAAACCTACACATGTAAACACTCACTTTTGACATAGCCACTGTACAAGATAACAGTGATTAATCAATCAACGTATTTTCTGTTGATCCTTTGATGACTAGGAACGATCCGTTGATTTACAAAAAAAAAGTAAATCAACCGATCATTCACCTCTTGCTGGTATGCCACGTGCATATTACATAACACACATTTCACCTCACTTCAAACCTGGATTTAGATTGAATAATTACCCCAGACACAATAAATGCCAAATGGGAACCTTTGTCAGGTAATCTAAGTGGTGCTACCACTAATTGTACCTGTAATAAATTCATTAACTGAGCATCAAGTGAATGACGACAAATACACAAGTGTAGGGTTATACGAGAAAACGTGGATGACAACAAGGGAGTGGTAATCGTGTTATCGACGCAATCTGAAATCCCAAAATGCTTTCACTGCATAGATACTTTTTTTAGTATTAATTTATAACCATCTGGGGTATTTCCAAATGAGGACATCCGATGAGCTCCGCCGTTTTTTTTGTCTATTTGTTTAGGCTGAAGAAATTAATTAACATGCGCCCTTTGTCGAAATCTTTATAGATCATGGTTAACCAATCAGTGTTTAAGCAAAAATGCGTAAAACAAATATTGCCTCCAGCCTCCAAGTTTATTTAGCTGTCCTTGCAGACGGTAGCCCAGTCTCTGGTCACGCTCAGTTGCGTTGCGTATCATCCGGGTACTCGCGGGGAAAAAAACAATAACAAAGGCAACAACCAGTCCGGGGAATTGCGTTAGATCAGTGCCCCTTTAAGACTGAATCAATCAATGTGTATAAACAATTACCATTGAAAGCAATAAGCTCAGACCACAAATTGAAATTTCGCTGAAGCGTGAAGTCATGTGACTAAATGTTTTGATCATGTGACCTAAAATGGCGACCAACATTGCACCACACAAACATGCGATTGCTAAGTTGACGCTATTCGTAGCTTTTGACGTATTTTAAGACTGTCAGTATCATAAGGAGAGATACACACTACCCAACAGTCGTATTCAGTGTAGCCGAGAACACAATGTATCAAACAAAAGTCTCACTAGGTCTTCTTATAGTCCCTACACTCATTGTTGTGGGTCTTGGATTTGGAGGTATGTTTCCGATCGTGACATGATTGTTGTCCATGCATATAACGCCATAAAGAGCCGGTTCATTTATACATCAATGATTATTTTCCTGTCGTGAAAACCAGAAATCATATTTGGTTTATAAAGCGCTTGGACTATAGACACTTGTTTAATTATATTATCAGTATTTAGATCTATATATCTTCCCAACACTTGATGGAAAAAAATGACAACAAAATCACAAAACGATTGTATTATTCACCATAAGCATAGCAAGTGTAGGTTTCTAAACATATTTTTCTGAGTACTATTTAAAGGGAAACAACACTCCAACTTTCAGTCATCTAGAAGGCACCATTTTAATTAGCCTGCGACTGATCACCAGAAGCCAATTAGAAACAGCGATCCAGCAAACATTATCATTGATGTATCTTTCAACAAGAATATCAAGAACATATGTTATTTTAATTATCATAATTTTATTTATAATAATTCAGCTTGAAATGTCGAAGAAAATATTATTTTAATTAACATATTTATATATACAGTCTTTCAACATGAAATGTATACAATGTCTGACCCCACTTCTTGGTGTTTACTGCCATTCTATTGCTAGAATATTGTAAGTGTGGCTGAAGCCTGAAACCATCCTCACAGTCTGTCAGGGTGGCACGGGTGGCCCAGTCGTCTAAGGCGCCGCGATTCGCTGTGCAGAGTTGCGTCCCTTGGGCACGCCAGAATCCTATGATTGTGGGTTCGAATCACGGTTCGCTCTGATTATGTTTCTAGGTTTGTCAGCACCATACCCATGCTTGTGGGTTTCACTGAAGTGGTAAACGTCTGAGACCTGCATCACTTCGGGCTTTCCTCCCACATTAAGCTGACACGCCGCGATATAACTGGAATACTGTTAAAAGCGGCGTTAAATCCAACTCACTCACTCACTACAGTCTGTCATTCGCCAACATGTCTGAGCATGCTGAGTGAAATAAAGTAACAGAGCACAAGCTACAAATCAGGTGAAATCGGTCACTGAGGAATAGTTGGATAGGGATGACCATATTCAAGAGTCCCTGACAGTTTCTAGGGCTTTGGTCCTGCCACACACTGAAGCACTCTCCTAAGACAAGGGACTTTGTTCCAAATGTCCCCCTGTTCACCTAGCAGTGAATGGGTACCCGGTAGGATGAGATGTTTATGTGGCTGTTAACTTTCGAGTGTCTCATGGGCAGCTTGGGTTGTGTACTCCCCAGGGAGGTGAGAATGAAAATCGAGTCTTCCATTGACTCAGGTAAGAATGAAAATCGAGTGTTCCATTGACTGGGGTAATAATGGTAGCGCTTTGATAATGCACCTTGATATGGAGTCTTGCGCAATATAAGTACACATTATTTATTTATTTTTAATTACTCCAGGATATCTGCTGTGGACCAAGAGTCACGTGACATCAGATTCAAGTCGAGTCAAGAAGAAAGTGAAAATTCGGAAGAAAGGCGAAGGAATCACTCATGTGATTACAACAGCTGCACAGTGGGAAAAAGTCTTTCCTCAGCTTGTTAAAGATACTCAACAAATTAGGGTTTGTTTCAGACTTGATTCTTAAATATATTTGCCAAATGTAAACTGAGTATGTTATAGTTTTGCCTTAAGATGCTGTATTAGCATGTTAGCTTGTTAGGGTCAGCCCCCAGAAACCAATGCTTGCCATACAACCTGACTGAGTGTGGGTGGTCATGCTTGGTGACTTGTTTGACTGTGGAAATACCCACCTGTGCATAAAATGGACTTGTCCGACGTTGCCGTGGTCGGATTCTATAGAGGGAGTCATCATTATTTAAATAGGGATTGATATTTTTAAAGCTTGTACGATTTATCAACATCCTTAAAGAGGCTGTACATAATGTTGATTTCTCATATAAGAAATAAACAACTCATGGTCATCGTTTTTCGTAGAATAAAACACTGCAGGGAGAATAAACCACTCGGGGGCTGCACCCTCATGGTTTATTCTCTCTGCAGTGTTTGCTTCAGTAACAATAGCAAGTAAAAGAAACATGTACTCTATGTTTGTAAACATTATGGAATGCTTATACATAAATCACATGTGAAATTAAAAAAATGAAGAAGCTGATTGGATCTACTCAACTGTATGCATTTGTAGGTGGTGGGTCTGGATTGTGAGTGGGTGTTTGAAGAGTTCGTCCGTCACCCCGTGGCCCTGCTGCAGATCTCCACACAACAAGGCCTCTGTCTGCTGGTGCGCCTCTGTCTGCTGGAGCACAGAGTCCTTCACTCACTCAGACACTTCCTCACGGACAAAGAGTCAGTATTATCCAAACAGTTAAATCTATTTGAACCTAGCACTACAGTGATAACATAGTATGACCTTAAGACACGTTTTCTGTACCTGGGGTTGAGGGGTTGTCTGGTGGGATGGCTTGAGGACTGTTTCCTATTTCACTGACACCCCACCCCAACCCAAGTTTTTCATGACCCCCCCACCCACCCTACTTGTGGAGATCCGGGGTAGAGTAGGTCTTCAGCAACCCATGCTTGCCATAAAAGGCGACTATGCTTGTCGGAAGAGGCGACTAATGGGATCGGCTGGTCAGACTCGCTGACTCGGTTGCTGCATCGATCCAAATCACTGGATTGTCTGGTCCAGACTCGATTTTTTACAGACTGCTGTCATATAGCTGGTATATTGCTGAGTGCAGCGTTAAACAAACAGACAAAACAAACCCCCCCACTTGTAACATTTGTTCTTGTGATCCCCCCCATTCCCCTTGAAACACACACACACACACACACACACACACACACACACACACACACACACACACACACACACACACACACACATGTATATACAAATTTGGATAGACTGCAGTATTTGGGTCCCACTTCGGAACAAACGTTTTTACGTGTTAATGGAAGTTGTTGAATAAAAAACGTTCCACGCATGCGCACTTCGTTATTTATGGTCTATTATACAAAAGACATATATAAAATGTTACATGTTAAAATGTATTATTCTTTTATTAGAAAAAATTGAACTCCCCTCCCCCTCCTTAATCTCACTGGCCCACCCCACCCCATAATAAATGCCCAATCCCTTACTTCTTCCTATATTTGATGTTATTGTTAATATCAGTGGGAATAAATTTGTGATCACTCAGTAGCTTGTAAACCATTTCACTGACATCGCAGGAAGACATATCTGCTGGACTCTGCAGTGTCCTTCAAACACAGGAATCATTGTCACCATTGTTATTGCTAATTCCAAGATACATAATTTGAAAGGAATTGTGTACTTCCCCCCATGTTAAGTCAAATAGAAAAAATATACTGATTGGTTCAAGTTTAAAAAACATTACATATGTGATTTATCATTTCAGTGTTTTGAAAGTGGGCGTGGCAGTGAAGGATGATGGCAAGAAGCTGTATCGAGATTACGGCCTTCCAGTTAACGGCTGTGTAGACTTGAGGTTCATCATGTCTCAAGTGGCCCATATATACAACTGGTAAGACTAGGTCAGAGTGACTGCTGCACGGTTAATAAGATGTCGACTGGAGACAATAACCAGAAACAAATGGAAAATATTTTCATGCTGAAAGACAAGATGTATTTAGCCTGTGTGTAGGGTGCCTTTGTAGAGTGGTCTGTGTGTAGGGTGCCTTTGTAGAGCGGTCTGTGTGTAGAGTGAGTGAGTGAGTATGGTTTTACGCCGCTTTTAGCAATATTCCGGCAATATCACGGCGGGGGACACCAGAAATGGGCTTCACACATTGTACCCATGTCGGGAATCGAACCCGGGTCTTCAGCATGACGAGCGAACGCTTTAACCACTAGGCTACCCGACCGCCCCTGTGTGTAGAGTGGTCTGTGTGTAGGGTGACTTTGTAGAGTGGCCTGTGTGAAGGGTGCCTTTGTAGAGAAGACTGTGTGTAGTCTGTCCATGTAGATGAATCTCTATGTGGGATGTTGGTGTAAAGGGATCTGTACCAAGTATTTACAGGGGCACAGGTGGTCCAGTCATCTAAGGTGCCGCGATTTGCTGTGCGGAGTTGCGTCCCTTGGGCACGCCAGGAACCTATGATTGTGATTTCGAATCCCGGTTCGCCCCGATTATGTTTCTAGGTTTGTCAGCACCATACCCAAGCTCGTGGGTTTCACCGAAGTGGTAAACGTCTGAGACCTGCATCACTTCGGGCTTTCCTCCCACATTAAGCTGACACGCCGTGATATAACTGGAATACTGTTAAAAGTGGCATTAAACCAAACTCACTCACTCACTCACCAAGTATTTACCCACTGTTTCATGTGACAGTAAGACTCGGGGCCTGCAGGGTCTGGCAGAGTCTGTCCTTGGCGTGATGCTCGATAAGGACAACAACATCCGCTGTGGAAACTGGGAAGCAGAGACCCTCAGTGAACAGCAGGTAAGTCTTTGAGAGAAAACCGGTCTACTCTTAGTGTCAGTCTTCACAGAGAGATAATACATAAATCTAATTAAACTTAGAAAGCTTATGAGAACGAGTCGTCTAATTCTAAATCTTCTATTAATTTTATTCAGTTACTTATTTGATATATTATGTACAACATTCTGTTTCATATAGCAATGATCTGTGAAGTCTTATCAAGAAATATTTTGAGAAATGTTTAAAAAAAATATGTACTTGCCAAATATAAACTATCTACTCAAAATAGGTTAAAGAACACCCAATTCTTTCATATGACTGTTGTTATTCTGTCATGGCTGGTTGGTATTGCAACCCACAGCCTTCCAACTGTGGGTGTTCTTTAACTTGTTTTGAGTATAAAATTTCCCATACTGAATTTTTGGTTCCGATGATTAAAATCCTTAAAATACAATAGGCAAGGGAAACTAACTAAACAGTTCATCTTGGTATGAGTGAGTGAGTGAGTTGGGTTTAACGCCGCTTTTAACAGTATTCCAGTCATATCACGGCGTGTCAGCTTAACGTTGGAGGAAAGCCCGAAGTGATGCAGGTCTCAGACGTTTACCACTTCGGTGAAACCCACAAGCATGGGTATGGTGTTGACAAACCTAGAAACATAATTGGGGCGAACCAGGATTCGACCCCACAATCATAGGTTTCTGGCATGCCCAAGGGACGCAACTCTGCACAGCGAATCGCGGCGCCTTAGACGACTGGGCCACCTGTGCCCCCCATCTTGGTATGAACCAGCGTGTCATTCTGATGCTGATGGTGTGTTGCAGATACAGTATGCAGCGGCCGACGCTGCTGTTGGTGTGGACATCTTCACGAAGCTGGTCCTCACCAAGATGCTGACGAGGAACCCAGATGAGCTATACCCCCCAGGGATGGAGAGTGTGGGGGAGGGGGAGTTTTGGCAGGCTGCTTTAGCCATGTGTCAGGGGTATATAGACGTGCCTTTCTGTAGTCAGAGATCTCACAACAAAGAAGATGGTGCCAAACAGGTGGGTGTTGAAGTCAAAGATATGATCAGTTCGTGCATCCTTTGCATTGCTCAAAGAATGTTTATGTCTAAGCAGTATATCTAGAGAGGTGGCTTCCGGAGGTTTTGAAAGAAATTGTCAGAGATTTATCGCTTCACCTTTTGTTTTAAAAACATGTTGATAGTATCGAAATATAGCAGGGATATCATTTTAAGTACATTTACTTACTGTTCCCTCTGGACTTTCTGGACACCCTGATCACTTATGTCAGGGGTCAAGGCCATTCGCAAGGTCATATCTGTGAAAAGAAGTGTGTTCACAGGATATGTCAATATGAGACGTCTCCCTTCGGGCACGGCTGCAAAATGATTAGCTTTTAGTGACCTCCATATAATGTCAGTTGTAAAGAATTTTAAGAAAAAAAGTTTGCCAGTTTATTTACGAGAGGGTAGTTTTCTGCAGATAGTTTACTTTCTTTGCATGTAGTACTCATATGACATTTATTTGGCACCAGGTAAAGTCTTTTGTTTTAAATACATTTTATAAATGGTGGGTGACAGGCAGCAGTCATAGGTGTGTCTGTATTTGACACTTTCTAGTTTCATCATCTTTATTGACGATAATGACGATCTGTTTTTTTCATGATGTTGTAATTTTTCTACTAGCCAGTGAATAAAGTGGTTGACACAGACAGTCGTGGAGCTCGAGCCTACTCCCCCAGACAACGCCCCCTAGATTTCCGGTGTCAGCTCCAGACGCTGAGCGGCAAGCTGATACAACGATGTGACATATTTAAGGCAGAGTGGTACCTTGAGAAGAATCTTGGAAGTAAGCAGTTCTGACATACACATATGTTGATAATTGTTCATCTTCCCGAGGCAAGGGAGTTAACTGGCTTTAAAAGTCCAGTTTCCACCCTTGCCGAACTAGACTGGAATTCCTCGGCTCGATCGTAGCGCCACCAATGGCTATTACGAGTTATGTCCCTTCTATGCCTCTCCTATGGTCCAATCAGATTCCACCTCTCGTATCACTTGCATTTGCTTCAAACAAAATGGCGGCGCTCGTTCAAGACGATCTGATCGATAATCAAGATCTATATTGTGTTAAAAACGTGTTTTACATCGCCAAGTGCATCAAATCACGTGAGCACCTTGATTAAAAACATGAAAAGAATGGGAAAATATATGTTGACAACGAGTAGGCGGTGCACATGCTTTGCAAATCCTGCAATTGACCGAAATCTGATTGACAGTTTATGAACCGGATTTCGATTTCGTTGCACGATTGTGATTGGACTATGCATAGACTCGTTAGTCCAGCCAAAATGTAACTCTATAATACCAGTCTAGTTCGGCAAGGGTGGAAACTGGACTTTTTATAGTCAGTTAACTCTCTTGCCTCGGGAAGATGATAATTGTTAGTATCTGTTTCAGTTGAACAACTGTTAAGAACCACATATGATTTAATGAGAAACTAAAAGTTCCGAAATACCAAAGTCACGATTTGTGGACTTGAAACAAATGGAATTTCATTATGTCTATTTCAGTGAGTGAGTATGGTTTTATGCCGCTTTAAGCAATATTCCAGCAATATCCAGGCGGGGGACACTAGAAATGGGCTTCACACATTGTACCCATGTCGGGAATCGAACCCGGGTCTTCATCGTGATGAGCGAACGCTTTAACCCTTGTCTATTTCAGAACAGCCTTTTGAAGATTTAGGGTTATGTGCACTTCAGGGTCAATAAGCATTAGCCAATGCCTCCTTGTGGAATGGCACATGTAAATCAATGTGTATTGATTCAGACAGAGATTTTTTATATTGGTGCTTCATGCTGGCAGGAAAGATCAGCGATGACCCATACATCGTCCAATTAAAGTATGAGCTAGAAATGACAAACGAAGATGAGGTCCATGATAATCTGTACGAAGACAATGAGGATACTGTGGCCATGTGTGTAGTGTGCGGCCGGACGCATGCCTTCATCAAGAAATATGTCATCCCCACAGAGTACAAGAGGTGAGACTTCAACAGTTCTCTATCACGGCGTCGTTACACAGTGAAATTAGGTTATTTCCAATTAGATTTAACTCAAACGTTTACCCAGAAATTGGTTAGTACACAACTGAATTGTGAAATCAGTAAATGACTACTGTCAAACGTCTTGAAAGCTAGAGGCCAATGCCCCATTTTTTAATCCAGAGTAGTGTCGTAAACTGTCAGGAATTTGTTTTCAAATAGGTTAGACACAAGTCAGGTCGCAAAAAGCCTTGAATCTCCCTTGTGTTGCTCTTACATAGGTACATCCACACTTCACATTGTGAAACCACTCGAATGATCAAATTGTCCTGTTTATCAACAACCAAGGGAGGTAACTCTAAATGACACTTCCTGTTACAACTTGGCGACAACTGCACTCAATATTTTACGAGCGCTTCAATCATCTGCTGCCACTGACTATCCCAACAATAATATAAACTTATAACAATCTCCACTGCGACATAGCAATGATGCTTGTTCGACACTGATTCATCAATGTAATTTTGTAAGATGTTGGATAATAGTTGTCTTTGGAATTGGGCATTGGTGTGAAAAAGCAATGAATGATCTACCTTTTAAATGTCTCATTGTGAATGAAAATAGAAACATCAGTTAATTGCATCATTAGTTACATCATTCTTCTCCACAAGAAATCAAACATCAAATCTTATTAAAATCAGATTGTTGACTGCGATACCTCTCTACTTAAAGAACTGAGGACACCTCCTGTACCCCATGCCTGTCATTAGCCACAACATAGGCCTACTACAATAAAGAATTGGTTCTCAGGCAATGGCTTTTGAATAAATAGTGCGGGCGGGCGGTGTTTTTTCTGTGTTAGGGGATGTTTAAACTAGTAGGTCACCAAATTTAACAGTTGAGTACAATCAACTTGGGAAAGGGCCTCCCTACATAAATGTTTTCTTTGATGACTAAAATACTGGAATACAGTCTTTGACTACCATTGGACTGCGAATATTTAAGGCTTTCTTTGTTTTTTTAAGAATGGAAATAAAAACGAGACATGCGACAAACTTTATGATGGTGCGGGCTGTGCCTGAGAGCCAAGACTATTATTTTTTTAGCCTTAATAGGATCGGTTTTTGTTGGTGTAAGCGACCTGGCTGATTGTGTGTCTTCATACCCTGACGACCAAGAACATGTTGAAGGTATCAGCCAATAGTGTCAGTGATCCAGACTGTTTACACAAAACTACAGACTGCTGTGTCAGTGCATCCTCTTGAGGCAAGGGAGTTAACTGACTTTTAAATTCCAGTTTCCACCCTTGCCGAACTAGGCTGGAATTTCTGGGCTCGATCATGAAGCCACCTGTGGCTATTACAAGTTATGTCCCTTCTCTGCCCCTCCTACTGACCAATCATATTCCACCTCTCATATCACTTGCATTTGCTTCATCGATGATAAAGATATATATTGTAATAAAACGTGTCTTACCTCGTGAAGTGCATCAGATCATATATGCACCTTGATTACAAACATGAACAGATTTGGAAAATATCTGTCGATGCCCAGTTGACTGTACACATATTTTGCAAATCCTGCAGTCAACTGAAATCTGCACGTTGAAATCCATGTCATTTACAACTGGATGTCGATTTCGGGACAAGATTTTGATTGGCCAATGCATTATGTGCATAGACTCATTAGTCCGCCCAATATATAACTGGACTTTTAGTCAGTTAACTCCCTTGCCTTGGGAAGATGGTGTCAGTGCAGTAACACAACATTTACTCTTTCTGACAGATATTAGACCGCCTCCGTGGTCTAATGGTAGAGCGTCCGCCTGGAGAGCGGAAGGTCCGGTGTTCGATCCCCAGCCACGTCATACCAAAAGACGTTAAAAGATGGTACTTGTTGTTACCCTGTCTTGCGCTCGGCATTAAGGGGCTAAAACAAGGACTGGTCGGCTCGGAGTCAGTATACTGTGTCAGCGTGGGTTATTCATGTTAAACTGCGGCATGGTATCTCAGTGTGCTAGCACTATTAATCGGCATCAGTCCGGACTAGTACAAGCAGCCACACACACACATATACGTGCATGCACATCGCTATATAAGTGCAATAATCTTGGACGCGAAGTTAAACCCCATTTCACCTCACCTCTGACAGATGTTATGATATAGATGAGACTCCTTTATAACCAAAATTAATGGATTACTTTAATAATTAATTTGAACTTTTCTTACAGGTATTTTCACAGAGTACTTAAATCAGCACGGCGCTCACAGAATATTCTGATCTTGTGTCCTGACTGTTACCATCTGAGCTCACAACACGACGCAATCCTCCGACAGCAGCTGGCCCACAAGTGTAATGCTCCACTTGACTCAGGAGCCGGCTCCAAAACTGTGACAGATCATGAACTTCAGAAGGTCAAGGCTGCTGCTAAGTATGTGCTCAGGCACCTATTATTAAATCTATCCAGGTCAGGACAGCTTCTTTAAAAGCTGACCATTTTATACAGGACATTAACCTCAAATCAATATATATATTACTTCAGAAATAAATTATTCTTTTCTCTCTTATGCCAGAGCTCTCAAGTTCAACAGAGAGAAGATCCCACAAGCAAGGGTTCAAGAATTAGAAAGTACTGTGATGGATTTTTTTGAAGTTACCTCCCTTGAACCAGAAATAATCGAACAAGCTCTAGAAATGGATGTAAAGTGAGTCTTCCAACATCTTAATTATTATTTTGATCAAATCGCTTTTATTTCAGCTTTCCAGTATATTGAGCACCAATGCCATGCACAATTTGTTGTGGTTTTAGATCAAGATAAGATGGTGTCATGTAAGGTGGGTATTGATGTATATGGTACTTCCTGATCAGGGATGGGACACAGGTGGCCAAATCATCTAAGGTGCTGCAATTTGCTGTGCAGAGTTGCATCCCTTGGTCACACCAGAATCCCGATTCACCACAATTATGTTTGTAGGTTTGTCAGCACCATAGCTGTGCTCATGGGTTTCGCAAAACTGGCAAACAGGTAAGACCATCATCACTTTGGGCTTTCCTCACACATCAAGCTGACGCGCTGTGATAAAACTGGAATACTGTTCAAAGCGGCTCACTGACTCACTGACTCCTGACCAGGGAATTCTGACGATCCTTTTCTTTGATTTTTAGCAAGTGAGCGAGCTAAACTTTCACATCACATCTGCAATATTACATCCATATAGTGGGAACAGCGATGTCAACAAAGGATGTCAAAATATGTGCAATATATATGTCACAGATTGAAGGGTGTGTCAAAGGCATGGAATTCACTTTCAGAGTTGCATTCCTGAAGCATGCTAGAAACCTATGATTGTGGATCCGAATCTCAGTTCACCTTGATTAGACTAAACAAAATAATAGTCTTAGTTCTCAGGCACCACCAGCATCATTAAGTTCCCTGCACGGTTTGTTTTTATTTCGATTAAAAAAACAACCTAACGATCCTTAAATATTCCAAGTCCAACAGTAGTCAAATACTGTATTCCAGTATTTTACTCATCAAGTATTTTATGAAGGGAGGACCTTATCCAGGTTCATTGTACACAACTGCTTTATTTGGTGACATAACAACAACCAAAAATATATATATATATACCCCCTGCCTACACTGTATTTTCAAAGGCCATTGCCTGAGAACCAATTCCTTTATTTTTTAAGCCTTATCTTTCTTGTTTTCTCATTGGTTACATGCTAATGGGTTTCGAAGTAGTAATTAAACATCTCAGGCGTGCATCAATTCAGGCAATCTTCCCACGTCACGCAGACATGCCATGATACAACTGGAATATAGCTTTGCTGTTCAACATGTTCAAAGCAGCAGTAAACCCCACTCACTCACTCACTCTCTCCTTCACCCATTCACAAGCCATTAACATTATGGCTAGTCTGCTAGATCATGACAACTAAATTGCACAGTGGACAAGTAAATATCCAATGATGATATTCCTCAATATCTAGTGGCATTTGAGGGCTAGAATTCTAAACCAGTTCTCCATGCTTCAATTTTGCTAGAAATTGGAACGGAATAAAACTGATAGAAAATGTTAGTACAGTAATGTTTTGAGTCTTGTCCAAGCAGGATCGACTAGCTATAAAACCTGAGGACTAGTGAATATGGTTTCCACTAGTCCTGGGGTAGTATTCATAAAACTTCTTAGAGTGCTAAAGAGGTCTTAAGTCTGAGAAATTTCTAAGAAATACCAAAAGTTACTCTTAAATCTAAGAATTTTCTTAAGTCATATTCATAAAATGTTTAGCACTGAGAGTACTCCTAAAGTTAAGCGAGTTAAGAGTATGCTTAAGAAAGTTCTGAGAATTTTTATGAATAATGCCCCTGCACTAGTCTAAAAAAAGAGGAATTTCTAAGGCTGCTAAAAGACCCATGACACCCACACACTCACTCACTCACCCACCCACCCACCACTTGAAATACTAAAACATTCATGTCGTGTTTCAGAGTTGTCAACAGTTCGTATGTTCCCCATGGTAAAAGGGTGGTGATGTACTACCGAGCTGACAACAAACTATATGAGTTTGAGAAGATGTGGAGGCAGCATTTCCTTGACACCATGCAGCCCAAACACATGCCACAATTTTGGACGGTGGACTTTAGAGACAAACAGCTTCACCATGTTCACCCTGAGCAATCCCAGCGTTCATCAATCACTGAAACATCACGCTCACATAGACAGTCAAACTAATGTGGAACGTAGTGTTGCAACTTATTTCAGAGATCATCCATTTTCGAAGCTCAAGTATTGTCTCTCTCCTCATTGTGGTCTGTGATTTTCAGGCAGTGCCTCGTTTCACAATACCAGTTACTACAATAGTTGATCATCCAGCATTGGTTAGCATGTTGCTGTATGAATTGGATATATATGTTTAAACAGCAAGAGTTAGGGACTGGTAATTTGTTTGGGGTGGGTGGGGGTGCGGTGTGGTTGGGTGGGGTGTGTGTTAACTGGTCTTAGGACCTATATCTTATTTTGCTGCAACATTCTACCCATCCCCGCTTTTATGTCACTTTTTTTCATGAGATCAAAAATGTTCAGAATTAATTTAATTAATTCACCATTGACTATTTCCATTTTACCATATTGACAATATATGGGATTTTATTTTTTTGATTTACAGAGAATATTAACATTAAGATTATGAAGTGATATCCTAAATTTACAAAAAGCCCTATTAAATGATTTAGCTGATAAGTGAGTGATGTATAAGTCAGCTTCATCAGAAGATTTTAAACAAGAGGAAGTGCAAAGGAATTTTGAGGTGACTTTTGCATATAACTGTCTGAATTCTTTACTCAAATAAATATAAGAATACCTTTTCATCTTCAACATTGTTGTTTAACGCTTCACTCAGCAATATTCTAGCTATATGATGTTGGTCTGTAAACAATCGAGTCTGGACCAGAGAATCCAGTGATTGCCATCATTAGCATCGATCTACCCATTTGGGATACAATGACATGCAACAGCCAAGTCAGCCAGCCTGACCACGAAATCCCGTTAGTTGCCTCTTACGACAAGCATAGTCACCTTTTATGGCATGCACGGGTTGCTGAAGACCTATTCTACACCGGATCTTCACGGGTCTATCCACATATGAGAAAAAACATATTTTACTTGTTAAGCCCAGCTCTATTTACCATTTGCCTCAATTCAATATTTCAAAATATTGATAATGTTATCTCCAACAATTGATATCGACCGGATATTTGAAGCATATTTGCACCCAAAAAATGCTTAAGATAGAACATATGTTTCTTTTCATTGATATCATAATACTTCATTCCTCAAATTTCAGAAGCGTACAATAAGATAGATGTTATATTACTGTAAAAAAACCAATCACTTTCATTTTTGTACTTTTATTAACTCTCAGGAAGTCATTGAATGTTGTACATTTCATAAGCTGTCTTGTTACTGTTGTTTACCATTGATGTATATATGTATTATATGCACAGTATTGATCGTTTGTCTTGTTTGTTTTGTCTGAATAACAATGTGGGAAATTGAAGCAAAATGCATACTCACACAGACATATCATTTTATGATGTACTATATAATTCCTTGACATATTTACCCATGCATGCCCTGATCAGACTTACACTGTCCTGATTAGCCTTACAAGACCTATTATTATCCGGATTCACACAGTATGACAAGCGATATCTAGAGCTTGGGACTTAATCTAACCCAGAACCACACAGAAACAAACGACAGAGTGCTGGGGACCTATTGTAATCCCGAACCACACAAAGTAACAAACGACAGAGTACTGGGGTTCATTGTAACCCAGAACCACACAGAAACAAACGATGAAGTGCTGGGGATCCGCTGTAACCCAGAACCACACAAGGTAACAAACGATAGAGTGCTTGGGACCTATCGTAACCCAGAACCACACAGAGTAACAAACGATAGAGTGCCAGGGACCTATCGTAACCCAGAATCACACACAGTAACAAACGATAGAGTGCCAGGGACCTATCGTAACCCAGAATCACACACAGTAACAAACGATAGAGTGCCAGGGACCTATCGTAACCCAGAATCACACACAGTAACAAACGATAAAGTGCTGGGGACCTGCTGTAACCCAGAACCACACACAGTAACAAACGATAGAGTGATGGGGACCCATTGTAACCCAGAACCACACAGAGTAACAAACAATAGAGTGCTTGGGACCCGCTGTAACCCAGAACCACACACAGTAACAAACGATAGAGTGCTTGGGACCTATCGTAACCCAGAACCACACACAGTAACAAACGATAGAGTGCTTGGGACCTATCGTAACCCATAACCACACACAGTAACAAACGATAGAGTGCTTGGGACCCGCTGTAACCCAGAACCACACACAGTAACAAACGACAGAGTACTGGGGTTCATTGTAACCCAGAACCACACAGAAACAAACGATGAAGTGCTGGGGATCCGCTGTAACCCAGAACCACACAAGGTAACAAACGATAGAGTGCTTGGGACCTAACGTAACCCAGAACCACACAGAGTAACAAACGATAGAGTGCCAGGGACCTATCGTAACCCAGAATCACACACAGTAACAAACGATAGAGTGCCAGGGACCTATCGTAACCCAGAATCACACATAGTAACAAACGATAGAGTGCCAGGGACCTATCGTAACCCAGAATCACACACAGTAACAAACGATAAAGTGCTGGGGACCTGCTGTAACCCAGAACCACACACAGTAACAAACGATAGAGTGATGGGGACCCATTGTAACCCAGAACCACACAGAGTAACAAACAATAGAGTGCTTGGGACCCGCTGTAACCCAGAACCACACACAGTAACAAACGATAGAGTGCTTGGGACCTATCGTAACCCAGAACCACACACAGTAACAAACGATAGAGTGCTTGGGACCTATCGTAACCCATAACCACACACAGTAACAAACGATAGAGTGCTTGGGACCCGCTGTAACCCAGAACCACACACAGTAACAAACGATAGAGTGCTTGGGACCTATCGTAACCCATAACCACACACAGTAACAAACGATAGAGTGCTTGGGACCCGCTGTAACCCAGAACCACACACAGTAACAAACGATAGAGTGCTTGGGACCTATCGTAACCCAGAACCACACACAGTAACAAACGATAGAGTGCTTGGGACCTATCGTAACCCAGAACCACACACAGTAACAAACGATAGAGTGCTTGGGACCTATCGTAACCCATAACCATACACAGTAACAAACGATAGAGTGCTTGGGACCCGCTGTAACCCAGAACCACACACAGTAACAAACGATAGAGTGCTTGGGACCTATCGTAACCCAGAACCACACACAGTAACAAACGATAGAGTGCTTGGGACCTATTGTAACCCAGAACCACACACAGTAACAAACGATAGAGTGCTTGGGACCTATCGTAACCCAGAACCACACACAGTAACAAACGATAGAGTGCTTGGGACCTATCGTAACCCATAACCATACACAGTAACAAACGATAGAGTGCTTGGGACCCGCTGTAACCCAGAACCACACACAGTAACAAACGATAGAGTGCTTGGGACCTATCGTAACCCAGAACCACACACAGTAACAAACGATAGAGTGCTTGGGACCTATCGTAACCCATAACCACACACAGTAACAAACGATAGAGTGCTGGGGACCCGCTGTAACCCAGAATCACACACAGTAACAAACGATAGAGTGCTTGGGACCTATCGTAACCCAGAACCACACACAGTAACAAACGATAGAGTGCTGGGGACCCGCTGTAACCCAGAACCACACAGAGTAACCAACGATAGACTGCTGGGACCCGCTGTAACCCAGAACCACACAGAGTAACGAATTTGATAAACAGGGAAAAGATGCATTCCTTCAGTCTTTTTTCCAACTCACTCGCTCATGTAACACGGAGAAGAAGACGTATGTATGTTGATCTGTAAATCTGCACTCATCACGCTATGATGATACATTACGCCTGACCCGTGAAGATCCGGGTTAGAATAGGTCTTCAGCAACCCATGCTTGCCGAAAAGTGCTTGTAAGAGGCCACTAACGGGATCGCGTGGTCAGGCTCGTTGACTTTGTTGATGCATGTCATCGCATCCCAAATTGCGTAGATCGATGCTCGGGATGTCAATCACGGGATTGCTCGGTCCAGACTCGATTATTTACAGACTGCTACCATATAGCTGGAATATTGCTGAGTGCTGCGTTAAACAACAAACAAACAGAACACAATACCTTACAGTATTTTGTAGTCATATTCCATCGTCAATGATTATGCAAAGAGGCCATCCGTACCAAATGAAGAAACTGTTAACATTCAGATTCATAGACTTTCAGGAATAGCTTTTTGAAAGAGAAAAGTATTAATTTACGTGCATCGATTCAGTTGATGTCGAGCCAAGCGTCTTAAAATACCCACCAACGATTACCTTGAAAACCACGAGTTGTCTCCCTTAGACCCCCGCCGTTTGCCTTCCGCGACGAGGAATCAATAACGTACCTGGTGAGACAAGCGGGATGCTTGGAGTCATAGAGACGTGGGTTAGGTGAACCGTTTAACATACTAAGCATGACATTAAATATTGTTAATGAAGTCAAACGTTCCACTGTCCAGCCAACACTACACTATAGTCATGGATGTCAAACACTACAATATCGTAATTGCTGTCAAACGTTACACTAAAGTCATTGCTGTCAAACTATTCGCTGTACTCCCATCAAACACTTCACTTTCGTGATTGCTGTCAAACGTTACACTAAAGTCATTGTTGTCAAACTATTCGCTGTACTCCCATCAAACACTTCACTTTCGGGATTGCAGTTAAAACTCTACACTATAGTATTTGCTGTCAAACACAACACTAAAGCGATTTCTGTCAAACACTACGCTTTATAGTATATGCTATCAAGCACTACACTAAAACGGAGTCAAGCGGTACACATTCGTGATTGTTGTCACACTAAACACAATTCGTATTTGCTGTCAAACACTTCACGTAAGTGAATGCTGTCAAATACTACACTATTGTAGTCAAACTTTTCACTATACGGTGTGTCAAACATGTTAGGTATGTTAATTAATGAAGACTTTATTCCTTTATTCCTGTAATGTGCACAAGCATACAATAGAACAAGTGATTGAGAGAGTATAGTTTTATGCCGCTTTTACCAATATTCCAGCAATATCACAGCGGGAGACACCAGAAATGGGCTTCAAACATTATACTCATGTCGGCAATCGAACCCGGGTCTTAGGCGTAACGAGCGAACGCTTTAACCACTAGGCTACCCGACCACCCTGATAGAACAAGAGAGCATATCCTGTCACAGGCAATGTGTACAGCAATTAAGTACAACATTGATATAAGGTTCTTATCTACTATAAGATTGTGCTGTAATAGTAACGTGAACTAGAGAAACTAGTGGATCCAGTTTCGACACGGATTCCATCCGATGCGGGACAAGATGACCTATATGATTGAGATGAGTGACAATCATAGTACTAGGTTTATCAAGTTGCGGTAAAATAACAGTTAAATTGGGGAGTGATTGAGCTGACACCAAACGAATGGCATGTTATCTAGGTTATGTGTAAGACCTTGATACAGTAGCAAACAAATGCATTGAACTTTTTTTATATAAGT